GGCTGGTGCCATGAATGATCCTAAGGTCAAGAAGCCATCGCCCGAAGGAGTGCTGTTCAGACTGGACCCGGACCTTAGTCTGCATCGTATGCTGGCACCAGTGACGATCCCCAACGGGATTGGGTGGAACCATGCTGATGACACGATGTACTTGACCGACTCGCCGACGGGTCAAATCTTCGCCTTCGACTTTGACGCCGCGACCGGGGCCATTAGCAATCGCCGCGTGCATTTTGACATTGGTGAAGCACTCGAACCAGATGGGTTTGCCATAGATGTTGAGGGTTGTATCTGGACGGCCATCTATGGCGGTGGAAAGGTTCTTCGTGTTTCGACCGAGGGAAAGGTTATCGGCCAGATCGATCTGCCAACACGAAACCCGACTTGTCCGGTGTTTGTAGGCACGGAGCTATTCATTACCTCGGCGAAGGACGACCGCGATGACGAGAAGTTCCCACAGTCCGTGCGATACGGAGGTCGAGTGTTCAAGGTTGATGTTGGGGTCCGAGGGAAGGCAAAGAATGAGTTTCGATTTGCGAACTAGTCCCGAGGTCGTTGCCCGAGGCTTTGAAGGACTCGGGTTAACCGAGAGCGAGTGCGATCCTAAAAGAGTGTGTGATGGATACCAGAATAACCAGACGATCCATGCTGTACCTAAAACGATCGACCGTGCATTGCCTTTTTGAACCTTCTGCACTGGCGATTTCATTGCCTGGCATCAATACCGAGTACATACAGCCTGTTCCATGAATATGTATGTTCATAGTGTACCTAGGTATACAGAAATACTCCATAGTTCAAAGCAGTACGGAGTAACCAGCAAAACCATGCAGCAAAACCATGAGCTACAGTGGGTCACGATCGCCAAACGGGCGAGGGGATGACGGACCGGCTCGCTGTCACAGTGGCTCAGACCTCCAGGCGGCAAGGGGATGGTGGGAGAAGGTTACATGTCTAACCAGGGGTTTCGGCCGGATCGAGATATTCGTACTGACAGTACGGAGTACGTAGTCCTGATCTGTGCTGCATTTAAGTCCAATTTGCAATACGTCCGATCGCACGCGTGTGATGAGAGGTACTGCACTGCCACGGCGGGTCCGCCCTGCAGGATGAATGCAGGGACGGGGAGATGTGATTTCAAGGTTGTTTACGGGGGCTGGAGCATTGTTTCAGTGTGCTAAGCACACAGATTGTAGCTGCGGTGAGAATGAAGGACATTGTCCTCTTAGCCACCTGGGCACCCGATTGCCTCACGCTGCATGTAGTGGATGGCAGGCAGATACATAGACTCTACACAGAGTTTTTTATGTTTCGCAGAAAGAATAAAGCGATACCGAATAATGAGCACAGCGGAAAACTATTCCGGGTCTAGGCCATGAAGATCGATGATGGCTTCGTTTCTTTTGCCTGGCGGTTGCAGCGGACACGAGATATCGAGCGGATAGTACGGAGTACCGAATGGAAGGTTTGAAATTGATATTCATCGGGGGATGGGGAAAAAGCAAACAAAACTGCAATAGAATTTGACTGTGGAGTTCAGTACGGAGTGTACAAATCCACATTCATTCGCTGTCTAGCCACCACTATCATCACTCACGTCATATCACCAGCGTTCTTTGTCAAGAACCAACAAATCCATCTACGACCCCGTGTCTATGCGCCATCCACGAGGAGTAAACGAGGGGGAAGGACAAGTAGTAAAAACAACACACACGCTAGCAGCTTCGAAGTACCGGTACTCCACGACTGGAACCTTGGAACGCAAAACCCACGTACCAGATACCTGGGACTAACCCCGACCTCCAAAGTTTTGGCCCCCTATCACGCTTACCTTGGCATGACACGCATCCGGGGGGGTTTTTTGTCTAGCATCATGACCCGGCACTTTGGGAATGGCGGTTTGAGAACATACGCCACCACAAGCCTTTCGAGTTAGTCCCCTTGGGATACCTGCGAGACGCGGCGGCTAGTGCTTATAGGGGGGCGAGAGTCGGACAAGGCTAGAAATGTCTGGTCAACCGACCAGTCAGGTGTGCTGGATCTATCAGACCACAATTGTTCACCCATACTCACTCGGTGATTCGTTGTTTACCATAAAGGCGGCTGCGGATGCATGATGTGGTGCGATGTAACGAAAATCGGTGTACACTGGATTGTGTACATAAGTACGGAGGTACAGAATGTGGGAAAAAAACAGAACAGAGCAAATGTGGTTTTCGCCTTACTCCGTACTCCATCCCCAAACTCACGATCTAGAATAGAAACCTGACAGCTGCCAGTCGATCTATCGTAGGGAGATAGCTACCGAGACCTACCCCCCCCCCTCTGGAGAACATCGCCCCTCTTTCCCCAGCGGGTTAGCAACTCCATAGTAGCTCTTCCTACTCCGTAGCAACCCCTGGAGATAAAACTAGCGAAAAAAAACTGGCCGATCGGCGTTGGGCCAGTGACCAGGAACCAAGTGATCGGGCTCAGCCCCCTGCACGCAAGACCAAGACTAAAATTGAGTCTGGGCTCAGCTCCGGCCATGTTAAAGGATGCCCCATTTATTTCCCCCGAAGGATTGCGGAACCCACTTTGCGCTGCAGCCACTCGAGTCGCTAGCCCGATCTTCATCAATTCTCGTCACGCGGAAGCCATCCGCGCTAACGCCGTTCGGCGGGTCGAGGTAAATTGAAATTGAAATTGAATCGATGTCAAGATTCGGGCCCCATTCACTGAGGTACGGAGTACACACTCCGGTCTCCCCACCGCTGGTGGACTCTCGCCCCGTTCATGCACGCGATCACTGGTGAGGCTTCAGGGAAGCTAGTGCTGCGGATTTGCCTTCCACGCTTCCGGATGGGGATCATCGTGCTGAGGTGTCATATTTTTGGCCCGCTGTATGTACTGAAGAGACATGCTTTTGCTTTTGCTTTCTGACAATTCGTTTTGGTCTTTTTTATATCATTTTTTGGGCGGGAAATGGTATTTGAGGAGTTGAGTCCAAAAAGACAATTAGCCGCTTAATGGCTGCCGTCTTTCTGTTGGGTCTCAATGCCTCATAGATCACTGTGCCACGGGTACACCTGATGTCAAAATTGACAATTTACTCTAGAGGTTGATTTTTCTTTCCCTTCGATAGTCAATGGAATCTTCGGAGTGACGTAAGGGTAGTCGGTACTCGGTTCTATGATCATCGTATTCCTCCGATCTAACGGGCCCGAACTCAAGCCGAACCTCCTGAGGCTAGCTAACTCGTCAGCTCTTGACTTGTTAGCTGTTATCTGCTCGCTCAGAGATAGTCGGTCACTAGCGAGTTTCTCCTCGTTGGTAATTTCCTCATCCCAGCGCCATGGAAACGAGCATCGTCGCAGACTGGGCCCACGCTGTGCCAAATCCACAAATCTAATCCACTTTCTATGGCGGGTCAGGTCCTAAGGACCGGTAAGGAACCACTCCAGCTCATAGTGGCATCCACTGACTCTAGTGGAGGAGTCATTGTCCCCCCCCCTGTTATGTATCCTTCCCAACGGTCACCAACGGTGTCCGCCTCCCCGTGTCGGTCTCGGCAAAAGGGACAATGAGGCATGCATAACATGGAATTTCTTCAGGCCTTGCTGGAAAGAAGTATGTACCTTAGTGTGCCTCGCACAGAGTTTAATCGCAATGCCCGGCATTGCATATATCTGTAGCAAAAATGCAGGCTCGGGCGAACTAGAGAGTCATTGGTAATTAGGACGAGGCAAGTCTGTACAACGAACGTGTTGCGTTTTAGGTTTGCTTTGTTGTACCCATTATTCGTTTTCTTAACTCCATTCCCTTCTTCGGTAATTTTTCAAGCGAATTTCTTTTTATTTTACATTCCTTTCCCCTTTCGTCGACTGGATATGCCTCTGATTTCGGTTAGCTTCTCCTCCAAGAGCCAAACCCTCGGAAAATGGCAGGACCCCTGGTGAAAAATGAGTCGTTCCTCTCTGCGTCATGGATCTAATCCTGACATGATAGCCATGGACATACTCCTTACTACTCCCATTCCCCGCCCCAAAGCGTCATCTTCTCCACTAGTCCCTTGTCCATGTCCACGGTGACGGCACCCGCGCACTTGCAGCTCCCCAGTCGCCTCTCGGCCGGTGATTCGCGCCCTCCGGCGATCGCTAGGAAAATGAAAGATGGCATGGCCCATAGCATAGCCATCACTCCATCACGCCAGGTGGAGACAGTACTCGAAATTAGCTCGGTCTGGGCGAAAATTGACTGACTGGCATCGCCCAGGACGATCCATTGATCCACGATCCCACGAGGCACTCGAGAACTGGAACCGTCCTAGGAGATCCTGCCCAACGCTATCCGACAGGCTGGGTCGGACAGACACAGACACCTGGGCAACTCTGTCTTAGCCCGCCCCCCCCGGAAGGTGATGGATCATGCCCCCCCCCTCTCCCTCGCACACCGCTGAATCTCAACGGCTCTACAAAAGCTCCATTTTCTTTCTCGCCTTCTTCTCACCCCCCCTCCCCTTTCCTTAGCTTTGACCCCTTTGCTAAATGGGGACTCGGATCGCTTCCGTTGTGCATACACATGGTTGATCTACTCCTCACTCTAAACTCGGTGGGAAAGATTATCCCTTTAGTTTTGACTTCTCTACCATCTCTCTTAACATAAGCCTCGAAGTTCGAATTGAATCGCAAACCTCGACCCAATCGTTTGCTGGCAATTGGGTTGAAACTTTCTCTTTACGCTTGTCGTCTTCGACATTGATAGCTTGCTTCCTGCCCGGCTAGCTTGGGCTCTCAACAACCTCTTATTCATTCCCAACCTTCACCGTGGCTACCCTGGGCATCAGCGTATTGACTGCGCCTTACCCGAGGTCGCTGCACTCGCCAAAGCTGTCGCATTTTCCAGCGGACCATCAATTTCCGAACTCCTCCCTCTCTCACACTCGTGAGACCCCCAGTGATTCAGAGAGAGGGGGGACTTGGTCATGCCCTAACCCCCAGGACCGCAACCGAGCTACGTCTATGTCGCAGGACCCTCTGCGTGCAGGTCCATTGTCCGAAGACTCACAGGATGCTCGCAGTGGGACTGAAGACTATGGACCTGGCAGTCGTCATTCTTCACGTCGTCCGCCTTTGCGCGCTCGTCCACAGTCCTGGCACCCATATGGGCCAGTTGAGCCACCACTCGACTCAGCCCGGTCCATTGGTGTTCACTCCATCTTGAACCATCCAGCGCAGGCAACTGATATGAAGGGAGTTCGTGAGCCATTGAACTTACCGGCACCTTCGTCACCGCGACCACGCCAAGGGTCTTCGCCTGTTCCTCGAAATCTGCATGGGCTGCAGCCATTGTCCCCCAGATCTCATTCGCGGCCATTAATGAATCCTACTTCGCCATCTGCACGATTCGTCAGCGGTAGTGGTAGAGCATCCGGACAATCCAGTGTCTCGCACTCGCCATTGGTGACACATGAACCACCTCTGAATGCTCGCCACCCGCCTTCCAGCTCACCTCTACCACTTGAATCAGCCCTTCGACCCATCAGCTCGCTCCCAGTTACCCAATCCGCAACTTCAGCAGCACTTCACTCAACCACGAGCATCCATTCTCGAAGAACTAGCTCTGGGCCTGGTTTCCTGAGCACGCCAAACTCCCAAGAAACAAGCCCTGTTCCACCACAGTCTACATTTGGTCCTTATGGCATTTCACCGGCCCTTTCAAATGCATCAATGCCCCCCAGTGTACAGCCCTATTCAGCACCAGCGCCTTACACGGCCACAGCAACAGCGGGACCGCTTGTGAAAGAAGAACCAACGACTCAAAGCACAAGCCTCTCTTCGTCATTAATCCCGTGTCTGTTAGATCTAAAGTCGGGCTCGTCCAGCCAAGCAGAGAAGCGGAAAGCAAACAGCGATGCTTCACGACGTTTCCGAAATCGCAAGCGCAACGAGATGCAGCTCGAGCAACGCCTAACTTCACAACAAGACGAGATCCAGCGACACACAGACGCCCTCCGTCGTCAAGCTGACGAGATTCGCGCTTTGGTTCAACAACGAGATCACTACCGCTCTGAACGGGACTTTTTCCGTGACTACGCCGGCCGCTCAATGTCTCTCAACGCTTTGCCTCCACGTCCCTCCTCACCAGGCCTACACATTGACGCCGGGGCCTGGTCTGCAGATGCATCTCGCCCTGCCCCCCACAGTACCCGTACAGCCGGCGCAGGCGCCAAGGATGCTTGATACAGGTCGACCGCAGGCTAGTTGGCCCGGAAGCCCTGCATCGTATTCCCCTGCCCCGCCTGCAGGCAGGAATCTTGTGCCATCGGGTCCACCGCCTGTCTCTGGAACGCCTCTACCTCCATTTCAAGCTTGGTCTCGACCATAACAACGTTCAGTGGATTCAAAATAGGCGTCTTGTCTTTTTTATCTTTTCCTTTTTTGTTGAGTCTCTTTTGTTGATTTCCTATATGTCATAATGTCCATACACAAGGGATCTCGGCCACTGGTGGCCGCGAGCAGGTGGAGCATGATCGGATTAGCGGTGCCATTTACAAAAGCGCTTGGGTTGTATTGGTATTTTGCATTGTCTGACCTCTTTTGCTGCTGGTATTGTTAGAGGTATTTGCCTTTCTAACCTGTTTTTTTTTCCCCTTTCTGTTTATTCCCATCCTGTCTCTCTTGCCTGCTTCTCGGTTCGGCTACATTCTATATCCCATCCCATCTATCTGGAGTTATTTGCACAAATTGGTGTTTTACCTTTCCCGGTCTGCAAATTCCCTACCCTCTGTCCTGGTCCACTTTACCTCGTTTACATAGTTCTCCGGTGTCTGGTTTTGCGGTGATACCTCAATTGGCGACATTGAAAAGATTGACATTATTATTACCATCTATCATCTTTCTCATCCCTTTCTTCGTGCCTGTTTTATTAAGGACCACGTCTTGCTCGATTCGGTGCATTCGTGGCTTGAAATGTGACTCCGCTATAGAACTGAGATTTAAAAATTGAGAAAAGTGTCATCCAAGTTGCCCCTGCAACCATTCCCAATCCCTGGAGTCGGGTCGGGTCGTTTTATCTGTCATCTGTCATCTATCCATTGACCAAAGTACCACCCGAAAGTCAGAATGAACAAGAGAGAGGGGAAAGCTAACTCACGAAGACTAAATTTACATCGCAATTATGGAGTCTGTCTCCGCAAACTATAACGGCTAGCCTTATTCCACTTGTGCATCTGTATTGTTGATCATTCTAGGTGGATTTGTGGAATCAGGAGAAAGGTAAAAAATCGAGAAAGAGTGGAATTGATTTTCATGATCTACCGTGACAGCTCGCCCGCGCAGCCCGGATGTCATCGTTAAAGCAAGACATGCATTAGCTTACTTTTATCGGCGGATGCTATTTCCACGTACGCTCTCGATCATGTAGGCTGTCACTTTATCTACACCGCAGCGGGGCGGGGCTAGGGGTTTCTCGGATCTGCCGCGATCCATTGGCACGGGTACATGCTCGTACATACTTTTGTGGAGTGCCAGGCCCATCTATTGTGGGATGGGGCACAGGCACAGGTCGTACTTCTGTCCACAACACCCCTTGCTTAGTGCGGATTTCGAAGGATCAATTGTAGAGGTGAATTCGCGCAAGATCGCACCAATCAATATTTGCATGATTCGAATGATTTCATGGGCTCAATCTTTTGATTGCTGCAGCGCGAATAAATTTACCCAGTAACTTCTCAAATAGTATGTTTCTTTTTTCCAAGGTTCCTTTGCTGGTGGCGCGCATATTGCGCTTGTGGCGGTGGGTCTTGCTTGAGGTTGTTCGTGCATGAATCTAGGCGACTAGTGAAATAGATTGTGGAGTAATGCTAGGGCTGGGCTGCGAAGGATCTGAGTATTTCCCATAGCTTATCGAGCAGGATATCATACTAGGTTCTCGATTAACCATCACCGTTGCGTTGCAGGATGCGTGCATAAGCGCCTGTGGCATGTTGCTCATCTTTCTCTTTATCGGATATCTTTTCCCAACAACATGAAACGCCCCGTTTTTCACCTCGATCTATACACAATGTACGAAATCAAAGTATTGATTTCGATTGGTATGCGTGGGCACCGCATAAGCTATTGAAAGCAAGAAGGGCTAGATCCGACCCGGTAGCATGCCCAGGTGGGGCTGGGTCTTTCTTTCTTTCACTCGATATCCTTTGCATCCCCATCCGCTTATTTCCCATCGTTTCCTGTGCAGACGATCATATGCACAAGATCGGTTTTCCCGCAGCGAAGTAAGCAACCTTGAAATCCACAAGCAAGCATGGTGCAATGTTGGCTCCGAGCCTCGTCTATTCCATCATCCACTTCGCCCCAGTACATCGGCTCTTTAGTATGCATATTCTAATCAGGCTTCCCATTCACTAGCATAGCTGTCCCCGGAGTGAATATCAGGGACTCAGGAGGCTACAGTCTCCCCTTCAAATTGCTAATATTATATATCATCACCTGTGGATGCGGTATTCTCGTTCTTCTGATTTTAGATATATAGCACTGATATCCGTCGGGCTCGATGGAAGCTCTATCGGGATGCATAGGAATCTCTGTTTGCATTTTCAACAATCGCTGGCATCCCACTTAGCATAGAATTCTGCATTTGCGGAGCATTCATTTCAGTAAGTTTCTTCCTGGAAGAATATTCCAGGTAGAACTTGAAGCACACATGATCTTGGAAATAAAAGCATGGTAGCCTGTCCAGGTGAGGACTACCCCATTTTTCGATAAAAACCCTGGAATCGATCATCTGGGCATGATGGGGGAGATTTTAAGTTCTTCAAAACTGCCTGGGGTACCTAATTAGTACCTAGGTAAGGTATTCTAGTTTCGAGGGGGTAATATACAGGCACGTACTTTGTTTGTTTCCGAACCTTGGAAGGAACGAATTTGAACGAACGATACTAACACTAGTAGTACTGCTAGTAGGCATAAAGTCAATGGTTGTCGTACTAGGAAACTTGCGATTCAACTCGCTCTGAAAGTCGAAGATGTCTTAAATGGTAACCTTGATCACTCTTCGCCGCGGAGAGAAAATTAAATTTGGATCAAGGAGCCAGCTGTCTTCGTTCTTCGTTCTACCGGAATAGCGATGAAGATGATAAAGCGGGTTGGTGGAATCAAGATTTCTCGATTTCAAAAGGAATTCGTTATTGAGAATGGCATGACCCCCGAGCCGGGAAATCTAGTGAGGGATTGAGATGAGAACTCGAAGAGACCTCAATAGAATATAAATTTGGTAACCAACTACTACAACCACTACAACTTGAACCAGTTAGTCTGTACTACAGTAAGTAGTATATGCTACGGAAGGTGGCGCCCTGGATATCAGAAGCAAAATCCGCCTTAACGGCCACTGGCACAATACGCGGGTCTCCAAATATTTATCTTTGATGAACTCGAAACTTGAAAAAAGAGGCTTTGTGCCTTGTAGAGACGATTTTGTTTGATGGGTACTTGTAGTAGTACAAACCTGGCTTAGTCATTTTTATTTCTGAAGATCGGCCAACGGTTGACCGCTTCCCCACAAAACGAACTAATGTCAGCGATGCCCCTTAATTTAAACATCGGATGCTGCATCGATTCGAGATTGAAATGATATACAAGAGAGCGGTGATCGCGGTAAGTTGAATAAATACTATCGCAAGATGATACCGAACTCTTGGCTGCGTCGCGGGAGCTGTTTTGGGTAACAAGAGCCTTGGACGGTATTTCTCTAGGAAAGCGGTGGGTCTCTGTGCGAGGAACATCTTGGTCTGTACGCAGGTGCCCAGGTGGGATGACTCCGCAGATTCGGATTGGACTGGCACTGGGCCTGGGACTTGGGCTGAGACTCGAGATAGACTCGACAGGAGGTGTTGAAGTAGACTAAAATAACCGAGATACAGACTAACAACTAGCTCTCTGGAAAACGTAACCAACGTCGCTAATCTAGGTAGCCTAAATAGAGTGCTTTGTCGACGAAGAAGTATCGAGTACATTAATCTCCACCTGAAACAGAGCTAAAATGTTAGCAAATGGGGCGAATTGACAAGTAGTCAGTACTTACCATGCCACGTGCCTTAAACCTGCTAGGAACTATTTGATCAGCCAATCAGAGGACGGGTTGGCCTCACGGGCTCATCGGGCATGAGGAATAAGCGTCGTCAACCACAGCGGAACTTCTGGAGGAAGGGAAGTTCCTGCGTGTAATTGCAATCATTTGATATTATCCACTATTTTGAGCTGGTATTTAAGTTCGTCTATCCCATCCCATCTCTGATAACCTTTCGATAGATAGCGAGACATTCACTGAACTAGATTCCCACCTCACCTATCCACGGCATCTGCGTCCAGACAGGGATGCACATGAAAAATGGCGGGGCACGACAAAAAAGCACAAGAACCGCAACCCGAAGAACAAAGTCTTCTGGGAACTGCCATCGATGACCAACAGCCAAGAAAACCTTGTCTGGCTGCCAAATGGCGGGTCACCTCCATCGTTTCTCTAATGACCATCGCGGTTTTCCTTCTGACTTACTTGGCCGTTGGGTATGGATCCCCCGGGTGCAGGTCCATGGAATTTAAATCAATGTCTGATATTGGAGCAAATCTCTCTTCCAGAGTCGGGAAACATCATCACCGTCGTGCCGAGTCTTGTGACGGCGTAGACGGATATGAATGCTTCACCGATATTTCTCACCGCTGGGGCCAATACTCCCCATACTTCTCAGTTGAGGAGGACAGCGTCTCAAACTCCGTGCCTGACAGATGCGAGGTCACTTTCGTCCAAGTCTTATCTCGACACGGCGCTCGGTATCCAACGGCTTCAAAGAGCTCAAAGTATGCCGAGTTGATCAAGACCATTCAGGCCAACGCCACCGCATACCACGGAAAAACCGCCTTTCTCAAGTCCTACAACTACACCATGGGCAGCGACGACTTGACCTCTTTCGGCGAGCGTCAAATGGTCAACTCCGGCATCAAGTTTTATGAACGATATGCCGCCCTAGCGCGGGATCACATCCCATTTGTTCGCTCATCAGGCTCATCGCGTGTTATCGAATCCGGCAAATACTTTATACAGGGACTCCAACAAACCAAAGCAAAGGATGCCAGAGCTGAATCCAACCAGGCTTCCGCAACCATCAATGTTGTCATTTCCGAAGACGCAGGATCAAACAATACCCTCAACCACAATACCTGCCCAGCCTTCGAAGCAAGCGAGCTCGGCGACGATATCGAAGACGCATACACAAAGCAGATCACCCCCTCAATTGCTGTACGCCTGGAGAAGAATCTACCGGGTGTATCTCTAACCGATGACCAAGTCATCTATCTAATGGACATGTGCCCCTTCGACACCATCTCCACCACAGAAGACGGAAGCATCCTCTCCCCTTTCTGCAACCTATTCACCTCCTCCGAATGGAGCCAATACAACTATCTCCAATCACTAGGCAAGTATTACGGCTACGGCGCCGGAAATCCCCTCGGCCCCAGCCAAGGAGTTGGTTTCGTGAACGAATTGATCGCGAGAATGACACACACGCCCGTGCATGACTCGACGACCACGAACCGCACCCTCGACGCACCGGGCGCTGCTTCTTTCCCGGTCAACAAGGCCATTTACGCCGATTTTACCCATGATAATGGTATGATTCCGATCTTTTTCGCCTTGGGTTTGTATAATGGTACCGCGCCGCTTTCGACTGAACATGTTCAGTCGGCCGCTGGGTCGGGTGGGTACTCTGCTGCTTGGGCTGTACCGCTTGGTGCGCGGGCTTATTTTGAGATGATGAGCTGTCGTGGTGAGGCTGAGCCTTTGGTTCGGGCTATTGTTAATGATCGTGTTGTGCCGTTGCATGGGTGCGCCGCTGATGGGCTGGGGAGGTGTCGGAGAAGTGACTTTGTGAAGGCGCTTAGTTTTGCGAGGGCTGGGGGTGATTGGAATGCCTGCTATGCGTGATTGATTGAGGCTTGATACCCGTTATAAGAGTCTGTTTTTTATTTTGCTTTCTTTGCTGGGCTCGGCTTATACGAGCTGATGAGCAGTCTACGGATGATATCTTGATTTGGAACTTTCACACCCATCCTCACATCTAACTATGAATCGCTGGGAACAAGTTTGTAAGGATATTTCGGATTATTGGTTCTCTTTTTATTTCTTTTACCGGTATTTCTTTGGCCTCCATGGCTGTTGATTGCCCTCTTCCTAGGTTGGATTGGAACTGCTGGGGCTTGCTATTTTGAGCCTGAGATACCACTGCTACCAAGTACCCGACGTTATTTATGCAAAGTAATCATATTCCAAGGTTGTAGTTTCACGATTGGAATTTGAACTGAACTCTGGTATTCTAGTGCGTCCAATGTCTGACATCCAATTGGGCAATACCAGTTGTTTGTTGACTCATACCTAGGTACTTGTAGTTGTACTGGTATTTCAAGGTTGCCCAAAGCATACCTAGGTATTGTTGGACAGAGACTCGGAGTCTCCGCTTAAATCAAACCTTTGTCATAAGAAAGTTTAATCCTTGAATTTTCAATTGCAAACAGCCACCAACGCCCAAGATTTCTTATGCACAAATGTTAAAAGAGATGTACTCCCCATTTAATTTCAACCCATGCCTTTTGCTTAAGGCGATTCCGTCGTATTTATAGCCCTATTCTCGTGTCCATTCCCATATCCATTCCCATTTCCATTCTGATATCCATTCTGATATCCATTCTGATATCCATTTGAAACCTGCCCTCGCTCATTTTGCCACCTCCCAGTTAGAACCCACGTCTCCCAAAGCCGCTCCTGACCCCTCCTGACATGAACGCCATCGTCACCTAACTCATCCGCCGATAACCACTGGACTTTTGACGAGGAAGAGTGTGGTGGGAGCGGAACAGGTTCGATGATTTCCGCGTCGTTGGAAATAAAGCTTTTGTCGTACCGAATTTGCCTCAACTCGAGGCGATCTAGACGTTGCATTTCGTGGCGTAGGACGTTCAGTACCGAGGCCCATTTTCCAGCTCGAAGGGAGATCAATGCTAGGTGAAGAGCACGGAGGTGTGCGTGGTGGCGACGGAGCAGTAAAATGAGATCCTCGGGGGTAAGGTACCAGCCTTGCAGACTAAGCATACGGAGGGTTTTCCAATGAAAGCCGTGGAATATTGTGTCGAGAGTGATGGAGAAGGGGTGTTCTGGGAGAAAGCCAATGTGGATTGCGACGAGGTTTTTTGCTTCAAGGAAAAAGTTTTTAAAAACATCTGACAGTTCCGTCATTATGGGCGAAATGTCTGATTCGCAGTGGAAGTTAATGTCGAGACTTGTGATCCGGGGTCCCACAGCAGCGAGGGCTGTCGAGGGAACATGGAGAAGTTGGAGGGTTGCTTCAGGGTTAATTTGGTGCCCTATGAAGCGGATAGATGTCCGTTGGGACTCTACTAGTGAAATTCCGAGGTTTCTTATTGCACGTGCACATGCATATTCAAAGCTAAAGTGAGTAGTATCTTGGGAATTGGCAGTCTCATTTATGAGGTCGTAATCGTCGACGAAATCAAGCAGTATTTCATCTGCTCCATCTTGCACACGGAGGAGTTTGAGTTGTTGAAGTGCGGAGAACGAGGCGATCGCCGTGCGAAGCTGTGATAGATCGGTACCATTGCTGACCAGGTCTATTTGCTCTCGTAGACGACCACGATGTACTTTTGCGAGGGCTGGATGTTTCGTGCCGAACGAGTGAAGCATCGGCGCCAGGCCTATTGATTTTCACAGGTGGTCAGTTTGCGCATGTCCCTCGGAGATGGAAGAAAGGGATATTGGGAGGTGAGCCAGAGTTTACCATTGCCTTGATAGAAAGGTCGCACCAGATAGGTCATGGATTTGACATAGCAGGCCAACTGCATCTGGAGAAGCTCGTCCAGCCGTCGAAATCCCTTCTCAGAGAAGCGCAGGTTGAAGTGCGAAAACTTGCGCGGGGTGGCGATCCGCATGAATCGGGTACAAACGAGTCGGAATCGATCGAGATCCGAAGTTTCTCCAAACCCAAATGATTGACGATTCTTATAGCTGCCGCGATTTATTGCACGGACTCCAGGCTCGGGTTTAGATTGAGATAGCACCAGGAAATACAACACTTCGCTCAGTAGCTCATCGGGAAGATCGTGAATGTGACGGAAATGGGCCATGATCGGCGCGCGCAGCCGTCAATCCGGCAGCTTTTGAAGGGTGACAGCAACATGGAAGATGGGAGAAAAAAAAACAAGAAAGGCGAGCAAGGGCAGCCAGCCGGGTCTTTTACAGACCGAGAAGGTCAAGGAGGAGTTCACCAGGGGGTGTGTGGACGGGCGCTCGACGGAGGGGGGGGAGAACTGGGCGCTATAAACAGAACAAGCTCTCGAAGCCAGTAGACTCGTCGAACCCCAGAGTGACTTGTCTCACCATGCGGATTTGGGTCCTAGTGATAGCGCGCGACCGGGATGATCACCTCGACCCTAGCGTGCATTTCGGTGGACAGAGCCAGGGCCATCGTGATCTGGTCGGCCCCATTGGCGAGAGGCAGTCCAAACAATCACATGATTTTTGAGGGCTGCGGCCAGCCAGCACCAACAGCGCGAACCTGCAGCAAAGGAGGACGAAGCTGAACAAGTGAGTGGTGGTGGGGGAGAGTTGAGATGGTCGAGCCAATGCAGGCCCCGCTCCTTTTGTCACATCTGCAGAGTGACGGAGCTCGCGTGTGGTGGAGTCAAGGGGATTGGGTGAAATTGGCCGATTTCTGAATGCCCCCCCTCCTACTACTGTACATATCTACAAGCATTCCCCAGGACCTATAGGCTGGGGATGAGGATAATAGCGGGAGACAAGAAACATGCACTTCGAATCACCCCGCCCCTTCGCATCTCATCCCATGCCCTCCCCTCCCCTCTTTTGTGAGAGACTCCTGTCCATTGGAAAGTATTCCTTTACGCCCCTCTCAGACCTTGGCCAGATTCATGCGCCGCCGTCTGATGTCTGTGCTGCTGATCTTTCCGTCAAAGTTGTTACCGGTGACGTCCGTGGCCTCTCCAGCCTGAAGCACGTCCACCTCGAAGATGGCCAGACTCTTCCATCCCTTTTTGTTCCGTTCGGCATTGACAGCTGCTCCTCCAGATGAGGTTTCTTTAGACACCACAAGCGCTGTGAGATTCTCCTCCGTAATGGTGGGCCCGAATGGATCCCAGATCTCCGTGAACTTGAAGGAAAGATTGGATTGCACTGTTACCACCACAAAGTTCCCGTTGGGGCCAGGTGCAGTGGTGCGATCGAGGCGCGGGGTGGCATTCCCCGAGCTGGACATGATGGCTCGAAGGAAAGCAGCGGTGTTTTGGAAACGGTCCTCCCAGCTCTCGAGATAGTCTGCATACTTTTTATTTACCAGGAGTGCGTCACCAGTCACACCTGCAGCCAGGATTCTTTGTTGATGCTTGTCTGCGGGGGTTGCCGGTTCCAAGGAGAGAGCAAGCGCTGTTAATAGAAGCTTGTGACCGAGGTGAAGGTGATCAAATGTTCCCCCCACGATCACTGAATAATGAGGGGTTGTGGCCGCGGGTTCCGGGATCAAAAGCGGGTCTGGGACTACCCAGCTCGAGTTGCTAGACACTGCCTGTAGCGAGGACTCGAGGTGGCTCCCGACCTGACTTTCAATAATATGGGCGAAAGAAGTGGCTAATGTTTTGCCAGCTTCGATGTCGGGATACCACAGATGATCCCACCGTCGGCCCGAGGTTGCCAATGAATGCAAGCCAAAGACTGGCCCGAACCCCAAGTCGCCAACACTCGCCTGAGAAGAAAGCGCATCGGGGGCAGTTGAGGGATCAAGAAACAGGACGCGGGTATCAATTCCACCGGGAGAATCCAATTCGACATCTCGAGCTGCAGCGGTAGCACCCACAAGAGTATATATGCTGGTGAGGTACTGCTGGAGTTGGGCGAAGACCTTCCCAATGGGCCTGCACGATGGAGATTGAAGGTCCGGGATGGCCAATACAATATCGAGGGTAGCGATACGCGTAGAACCCTTGATGGGCTCGGAGAGCTTCAACAGAACATCCGAAATAGCTGGCCCGAATACTTCCTTCACTTTTCCGAACGAGAAGGCTGGAGGCGGGGGAAGCAATAGTAGCGCCGAGGTCGAATCGGAAGACATGACGGGGGATACACTTTGCAAAGGTCACTTTGCAGTTGAAGAGGCAATGTGAGTGTAAATATATTACAATAATGCTGTGAAATGAGAATGTCAATGTGTTTTAATGGGTGTAAGAGAGGGTAGGTCGAGTAAAGTAGAGTAGCTGTTCTCATGTCAACACTAAAAATGAAAGTGGCCCGTGATTGCTGACTCATCCGGGGCAGTTCCCCCAGCTGCGACTGTCTCAAAACTCCCTCGACAATTCGATTCCAAACACACACAAGACCAGGCTGGATTGTTCGCCTGTCTCGTCTTTTCTTTCATATCCTCATTTCTCTCCCCTCAATTTGGTGCTTCTCGTCCAATCTAACCATCTTCCATCCTCGGGGGAGTGGAGCTCTTACGGAGCCCCATCCATTTGCCTTGTAAGGGCACCTCCGCATCATGTCCAACCCAGCCTCCTACGATTCGAATCGGCGATCGGCCATATTTGGTCGTACCCCTGAGGAGCTGCATATTCCCTCGACTGGGTTGATCAATCCAAATCTATCGCGTCAGCCCCTGTCACAAGACTACCCCACTACGCCCGATGCAAGCGCCGCCGCCCAAGTGCCCTCGATCAACGTCCACTCCTCGCAGTCGCAGCAACACCAGCTGCAGCAGCCGCCGCAGTACGGCGGAAACCCTGGAAATTCCAGCAGCGCGCTTCCAGGATCTCTCACACCTGGAAATCAACACCGTCCGCCCGCAGTCTCGACCAATACCGCTCCATCCGTCATTCCCACCCTTCAGCACCAGTCGCCCGCACAACAGGCCAGCCATCGAACAAGCATGATCAACTCGCACGCTCACTCGCGATCCAGCCCCGCCGGTTTCGATCAGTCAGTATACAAGCAGCACGGTGGCATGGAAGGCTCCAAATATCCGTCCTCGCCTGGCGGATACGCCCCCCAGACCCCGCAGGGCTCCAAGTATTCGCCGCTGGGATTGGCCGATATTCGACCTCCCGGGGAACACTTGCTGGGTGATTCTCTGATGAGCCCTGGATCGCTCCCTTATAATGGAGAAACCCAGGTACCGACCAACAGCAACTACGTGGCACCATGGCCTATATATGCGGTTGATTGGTGCAAATGGCCCATGACGGGAAGCTCCAGTTCCTTTGGAGGCAAATTAGCTCTCGGGAGTTATTTAGAAGACAACCATAACTATGTGCGATCGCCTTCATGATGAATTCCTTCCTCGTCTGCAAGCTCTAACATCTTTGCAGATCCAAATTATCGACACACATTGGACACAACCGGATCCCGATACCCCGGATGCGCAAGCGGGTGAAATCAAGCTCGAATATGTCAAGACCGCCGAGGCGACTCACTCTTATCCCGTGACCCGTATCCTCTGGGAACCTCCATCATCACAAAAGCAATCAACCGATTTATTGGCCACGTCGGGCGACCACCTCCGTCTATGGTCCCTTCCTAGCGCCCAACCCTTGCAGAGCTCCAATTCCATCACACGACCTACCAATCAACGAGAAGCACCCCTTTCCAAGCTCTCCCCACTCGCTCTCCTGTCGAATTCCAAATCTCCTGAGCATACGGCCCCTATTACCTCGCTTGACTGGAACACAATTTCCCCCAGCTTGATCATCACCTCGAGTATTGATACCACGTGTACCATCTGGGACATTCCGACCTTGACAGCGAAAACGCAGTTGATTGCCCACGACAAGGAGGTTTATGACGTTCGCTTCTGTGCAAACAGTGTCGATGTCTTCGTCAGCTGTGGTGCCGATGGCAGCGTCCGCATGTTTGATTTGCGAAGCCTCGAGCACAGCACCATCATTTATGAGCCAACAGATAAGACAGAAAAGCGTAAGTAGATCCGGATAGCTCATACTGAACTACCATACTGATGTATTTTAGCTGTGATGAGTCCTGGCAACTCTAGCCCATCTGGCCCATCATCATCCGGGCTGTTCCCTCCTCCTTTGTTGAGGATCGCAGGTATGTGCCCTTCTATCCACCGATTTCGTATAGCGATTTTCTCACGCATCTTCTAGCATCCCCGCACGATGCGCATCTCCTGGCCACATTCTCCTCGGAATCGAATGTGGTCCGCGTTCTGGATGTACGCCAGCCCGGCCAAGCGCTTCTCGAACTAAAGGGCCACTCCGCTCCCCTCAACTGCGTCGAGTGGTCACCAAATCGACGGGGTATATTGGCTTCTGGCGGCGACGATAGTCTCGTTCTCATCTGGGATCTCATCAACCAACAGAATGCCGCACCCATTCCTCCTCCCACACAGACTCCCGGGACACCAGCCACCCCGTCCGAGCGCGGACCGGCTGCCGCTTGGCAATGTGATTACGAAGTCTCTAATATCAGTTGGTCCCCACAAAGCGGAACCAACCCATCCGGCAGCCCACGGGAATGGCTTGGAGTTTGCGGTGGACGCGGTATCTGGGGTGTATCTCTATAAAGGCCGAGCACCGGAGAGCGATAACCCCCAACCCTAAAGAGAAATAAAGAGAAGAGGGGAAAAGTTTCTGCCAGGAGAGCTCTGCTGCCTTTTTCTATTTCTTTCCATCCATGCCTGCCCATTATCATCATTGAAGGATTTGCGTTCTGTCATATCCGACTATGCATTAGATGGTTGTCTTTGTTGTTTTTTCCCTTTTTTTTTTTTTGATCGCCATCCATGCTCTTCTCTTGTTGCTCCGGCGGATGCATCATGTTGATTTTCCCCCTTTTCATTCCTGCTATCCAACCCATCTTATTTGGCCCTTCCCCCATTCGAAAATTCGTTATAGTTCTGTGTCGATTTTGTGGTGGTAGTGGAAGCCGGGGGAGCTGTGCTGAATCATCTGCTACTGATTTTTGGTATGAGTGAATGAATGAATGAATGATATACTGAAAATATTCTTGTTATCCCATGTCTATTCGTACAGTTGACCTGATCGTGAACGGAAAACATAATTATTTGGCCATCAAAATTGTACTGAAACACACTAAAGGTCATGACTCGTTATAACAAACTAATTATTAGATTCGTGATTGACAGGCAGACTCTCTCAGACCGATTGGCAGAGAGTGCTGGCATTATCTTGACTCAATACCCTCTCTCCTTCGATGATTCCCCTTCAGTCGGTTTCCTTGCCCACACGCGGTTGCTAAATCTGATTAACAAAATTACCTCCTAGTAGGTAGACACCATCGCGAATTCAAAAACTCACATCCAGTTATACCCATGAATATGGGGATCTTTCAGCTCTTGGCGCACCTTGGCCAAAAACACCTGCACCTCCTCGGTCGTCCACGGTATGGGCTCTCCAAAGTGAGTGAGAAGCCACATCGCCCAACCCTCCAAAGCGGCGTTCCAGTGCGCCCACTGAAGTCGTCCAGTCTCCTTCAGTAACTTATCCCTAGGCCAGGCACCCAAGGGGACTCTGCTCTTCTTCTCGTGTATTTCCACGAATCCGGCTTTCTCGATTGAGTTGCGCATCGTTTCGTGAATATTAAGTGACCTCCCGGCTCGCTCAGCACATCTGATGAAAATGTTGCCCCATTTTGATAGCTGGTGTTCTTCCTTTAAGGTCATATCATCGCTGCGGACTCGAACGTCAAATTCCATCTGCTCAATCCAAGCCCCGGGTTCGAGGGCACTGTGCCAGATGTTAGGCTACTAGTAGACGACTTTACTAACTCACCAGATTAACTTGAAGTAGTCAGGATCCAAACTCACGCGTAAGCTTGTTTGTATAGCTGGTCCCATCCCTCCGGAGCGAAGGCGCCATACATTAGACGTATATGAATAAAGTCAAATGGCTCTCTCCATGTCCATTCGCGGAGCACATCGTCTACTTCGAAGATGCAGTTCGGAGGCATCCATGTCACGGGTGGGGGGAAGAGATCCACGCCACGAACGGTAGCTAGTTTCTGTGTTAGTCCACGAGGGAGGATGAGGCTGATTTAAGAAATCTCATACCTGACGGATACATATCGGCAACGTCACTGAGGGGATCTTTAGTTACTCTTTCCGGGTTGTATAATTTGTAATTCATTGACTAACATTGCCCAACTCCCTTGACCAGTTCCGATATCTAGAATATGCTGCATTGCGATGTCAGTAGAGTATTTGAGTCAGCATGATCTCGTTACTACTAGTAGTAGTATGGATTTATTCACCTTGGGCAAATTTTTGATCGGGGCACGGAAAAGAGGATTATCTTGGTAATGGTCTAACACGAGGAACACCATATGGCTGAGTTTTGTTTGAGTTAACTCACAGACTGTCTAGTTTGTAGGGCATGAACAGTATGTGGGGGGGGGGGTTGCGATTTACCCAATCTCGAACGCTTCGAACTGCTTCTCGTCAGAAGGCCCCCTGTTGATGATTAGTTATCTCTGTGAGAGACCGAGAAGAATGTATAGAAACTGACCAATATTCCTCATCTTTTGTGGCTTGGTATCTACTTCCCAGGTGAGTAAATCAGGAGAACCCCTGCTGAACCGAAACTACACTAGAGGATACTGACCTTCGCCCGTTTTCAAACCGGCCCTTCGCGATAGAGGACGCAAGGGATGTGGTCTCTCTGCACACCAACCCAGGTCAAAATGCGAAAATATTGATGTAACGATTGAAATAAGCGACACTTACGACTGAAAGTCAAGAGCTGTGTTTGCGCCAATTTCAAGGTAGAAATCAGGGTCCTGGTCGAGAGGTTAAAAAAGGGCTCCATCAAAAGATTGGAAATTACATTTACCACGGGGATGTGCTCCATACTGACTGCTATGTATTATTATATCTTCAAAGGCGCCGGTAGAAACAATCCGCGTTGGTTTTAGGAAAATCCGAGGAACTCAGGCTGGCTGAAGAAAGGAGCCGAAGAAGGTGTGCGGGCGCTACGTCACGGTCTAGACAACGTAGATTGTACATTTTATGCAACCACCAGGCCCCTCCAAAAAAGTTAGACGATGGTCAGCACGGGCGCTCACGGACCTCGAATAACTATATCGAGATCGGTGCAGCAATCGCTCCGGGGAAACTAACCCTTGGCTCCGGGAGCCGATCGCTTGCCGAGGTGGCATTGCCGTCACCGATGGGCATTTATCTTCATGTCTCTGTGGAACTCGACCGGTGATTCTGGCATTAAATTGAAACTTTCTGTAGAAGATTAGCAACAGCCCTCTTATAGTGGGGTACTCGTAATCAAGAATGAATAATTTGACTTTGCGTGAAGATACATTTTGAAGGTTCCAGCCCCTCGTCTAGTGCGGCATTTAGACAAGTCTAATACGAGACGAGGTAGGGAATTCATTGCAGTCCAGTACTAGTCAACTAGTAGTAACTACTTCTATCACTCTTATTTTCTTTTTCTCAGAGAGATATTAATGGGAAGGTCCGGGCTAGACTCTCGACTACATACATTATGCCCTACACTACCTTAGCCTTGGCAAAAGTGAATTTCCGCCCCGCCCCGCCCCGCCGGGAGCTGGAGATGTGAATTCTGGACAAGTTCTGAACTAATGTCCTCCATAATCTTACACACTGAGCTAACTTAAATCCTCCATTTGGATACTAGGTATCAATAATAGATCCATGGGTACTGTGGATGACAATGGATCCAAGTTCAAGTTCAATTTTAAAAGTTGGATGCCTAAATCTCGATATATATATTGTCTACATTGAAAGTACTTAAAAACAGACTCTCATCAGGCGCCTCTTTTCAACACCGCCAGATTTATGATAATATGAAGCATTGCCCCAAACTGGAAGCCCACATGGTCTGAGAACTTTCTAAATAAATCACCAAGGCACTATTCTTTCCCATCCTATTCTATCTTGATCATCCACTGTTACGGTCACTGACTGATTAGTCATACCACGTGACCTACAGCTAGCAGTACTGTACATTTGGAATGTGGCATCGAACCACGAAGAGCTACTAGTGATCGCAGAACATGGAAGAGATGATAGAATCTACCTACCTAGGTATTGACTAGAATAATATTAATATTAATGTCAAGTAATGTGTTACTACCTGTAACCATTATCAATTTAACTACTAGTATACCTAGTAATACATAATATGCTACATCTACAATAGCTCTCATCCCAATGCGGGAGGATCCTCCCGAGCTCCTTGCGGTCCCGAGAACTTCTCCTTTGTCCACGTATCGAACATCCCACCAGGGCTCTCTGACTCCATCGCGCGCCCACCCTCACCCTTCGCTCTGCATGTCGCAATCCCCGACTGTCCTCAACGATAACCTTGGCCTCGCGCGGGCTGTCGTGGTCTCCCGCGAGTGAAAGCTGGCGCGATGGATTTGCGCACGATCATGAACACCGACGGCGGTGCCTCCAACCGTCAGGCCATTCAATCCTCGAGCTCTCCGATCGAGCTCGATCCTTCTCATCAACAACGCGCGCAGAACCCTTTGACCGATTATCCCAATCGCCCTCCACCTCCTCAACACCATCCCTCGCACGCCTCCTCCCCAGAGCGAGCCGCATCCTACAGTGGCCCTGTCCATTCATCTCCCTACCAACAATTTAATGCCGGCCCCCCGCCGCTGAATACGGCCATACCACCTCAGCAAAGTCAAAGTCCGTCAAGTGTATCAACCCCATATGCCCCTGGCGCGCGTGATCCGTACGGCGCGTCGGTGTACAATTCACACCCTCAACACCCCGCGGGTCCCCTGGCCTCACCATACACCCCACAGCCGATGAGCGCTGGACCTCAGGTTCCTCCTGAGCAGCAGTCATATTTCGCTCAACAACGGTCTCATTCCCTTCATTCAGTGATGGCGAACCCGCGTGCCCCGGCCGAGACCTTTCCTAACAAAGAAAACTTCCCCTCCGCCGCTCCCCAACCACCTCCACCGCATCAATTTTCTCCTTCCACCCATCGATCCGTACCAGGCACACCTTTGGGCCCTCCCCCAAATTTAGCCTCTCGACAATCGCCCTCTTCTGCGCGTCCACAATCCTCCGGTCAAGACTCCCACAACCCTCTCTCCAGTCCTCGGCAGATCCAGGACCCGCAGTTGCGAGATTTGTCACGCACTCAATCACCATCAGCTCAGCGTCACTTTTCACCTGGAACTCGAGCTTCCGAGTCCTTACCTCAATCTCATCCCGGCGTCAAACAAGAACCCACCGAGCACACCACTCCCCGAGCTGCCTCGAGGCGAAACAGCACTGCAGCCCCTTCTGACGCGACAGGCGCGGTCCCAACACGATCTTCGGAAGAAAGGAAGTGGAACGAAAGCCCTTCAACTCCATTTGGATCGGGTCCCGGTTCGGATGCACGCGTTTCACCGATTGCGACTGCACATTCACAAATGAATTCTTCGCCCTCAGGACAAAGGGGCGGATCGCATCCTTTGAAGATGGAGGTCGACCACGAACCTACTTCCCGGGTCAGCAGCCAAACTCCCAAAACAAAGAGGCGGCGTTATAACGAACCTCCCATTTATGCACAACTTTCAGCTCGTACCAAGGGCAAATGTCCTGTGATTCCCAGTCCGCTGCCCCCGGTTCCAAAACACGCCAGGCAATCGCTCCAAGACTCGTGGGCAGCTCGCAGACGATCCTCTACAGCCGGTCCGCCACCGCCGTCGGCCACATCATCACGAATAACTCGGACGCCAGGAGCAATAGCTGCACCAGCTGTACCAGCTGCTCCAGTCCCGAACGGCCCTCCCCCTCCCCCTACCCCGATCCAGCTTGCATCGCGAAGTCCCGCTCAAGAAGGAGCTCTTGGGATCTGGGAGCCCTCGATAACAGGTTTTATTCCACACGAAGAGATTACACATGAACTCTGCGACTTCCTATTTCGACATGTGGTCGCTAGAAATGATGTCGGCACGGGACCAGCGGGCGCAGCAGCCGTCGGAGCGGGTGCAATTATTGAGGTGGAAGCGAAATTGGGTCATATCATCGACCAAGACCGCAGAGAGAGGTTGGTTTTGCCAATAAAAACCGAGGCTATCATAAGCAAGGAGACTGCAGGATTCCGGACATCATTCGAGAGCAACATGACAGTCGTAAGTACAACTCGACTCCGAGTAGACTGAAAACTGGAATCTGGAACTGACAATTATTTCCTAGGAGCAACACCGTGCTTATAACAATTTCCTCAACCAGACCGTCAAGGATTCCTTGATCCCCCCCTCGCATCCAACTCTCATACGCCCACAAGAAAGAGCGTGATACATTCTATGAAGTTTCTCCCGAGGAGCTCCCTCCAGTCATTCGGTCGAATCTGAACCCTCGCCACAAACCCAAAGTTCGTGTGACAACAGATCAACGGACCGGCGAAGTCCTCGCGAAAATCATCAAGTGCCGAGTCGCAGATATGGACGTGTATAGCCCCCGCACGGCCTTTGACTGGCGAGTGAGCGTGAATCTGGAAATGGAATACGAAGGTGATATTCGGGGCTTGCCTGTCGTGGACGCAAGCAGTGGTCGCGGTGAGCGCAACAAAGATCGTATGAGCTATCGACATCAAGCCTACCAGGTCGACTTGACCCAGGTGGCCAGGGCCGAAGTATGTTCTCCCATTTGAATCCGCATTCCCCCTCCTTCCTGTCCCACTTTCTACTACCCTTCGATCTTGTGTTACTGTGTTGAACCGACCTTCTGACCTCCTTATAGTCCGCTATGAAAAATGAATTCGACCACGAACTCGAAGTCGAAATATCAGGCGCTGAGATTAAGCGACAGGGCCAACTTGCTGCGGCTGGTGACCCGAAGAACCAATACGAAGAGCTGGTAAAGGGCTTCGTGGATAATGTTCGCGTGCTGGCACGGGTGAAGTCTTGATACGAATCTTTTCTTCTTCTTTTTTTACTGTTCAATTTCTGTACTATGTATTCTAACACTCTATTCGGGACTCCGCTTCCTTTGCACCATCTACTTCCAGCTTTTCCAGCATTTCCGATTTTCTTTTCTTTTCTTGTTTGCAGATATGATTCTCACTGGTATTAGTTCGTGGGTTAAAAAGAGACGGCAGCAATAGACAGGATCGGCAAGAATTTACTTTTATCAACCTAGTAACCTAGGCTACCTTTCACTTCTTCTCACCTCTGAATGACGCGCATGATGATGGCGATGAATGGGGAGTACCTTTTCTGAACAATGAGGCGATAGACTAACCGCATCATGACTACCCATCTGGGACTCGAGTTTTGCGCTGCTTCTAACCGAAGTAGACAAATCTTTACGGTGACACTTAATTAAGTGGTTCAATGGCTTTTCTTCCTTCATCTACATTTCTAGTTTCCAGCGTCTTACCACAAGCGAGTCGACCCCAGCGAGCCACTTCTTCCACACCGTCCCATCCCCAAGCCCCAAGATCCTCTTGATTCTCTCATACCCACGTACATCTTCGTCCTTGGCCTCATTCTTTAACTCGGATTCACTGTCTGGACCCCAAACCATCCACCTTTCTTCCCCCTTTGGATGCCACGGCGCAAGCCCATTTGCAAACCGTATCCAGGCCGACATGAATTCCTTAACCATCTCACGCTCAGAATAATTCATCTCGTTCTCCAGATTTCCAAAAAGGTACAACAGCTCATGAGCATGATACGCCGTCCCCTCAAACGAATTGCGAATACGAGACCTCTGATCAAAATGATAAGAGTAAAACCTCCCCTCAATCCCAGACTTCCCTCCCCCGCAAATTTGCGCGAGAACATAGTTCGGAATCTTGAAAATCGCATCACCACACATATGCTCGACATTGACCAAAAACTCAGCCCGCGAAAGATCATCGGCGATTTCATATTCTCGGAGAAAAAGATCCGTCACACTCTCATCTTGAATATGAGACTGAAGGATCCGCCGAACAGACGCGAAATCCTCCCCGCCCTCGACAAGATTGAGATGGAAGATAACTCCCTCATGGTACGTATCCCCGATCATCAAGCTCTGCAACCACCCCGGCGGCGCATGAACAACGCCATGATCAAGACCCTCGGGATAGAACCATCCGTCTATACAAGGATTCCCCGTACCGGACGGCACACCCTGAATAAGAGGCGTTGCATCAGCAAGATCCTGCTGCGGAATAGCGCGCAGTTTATCCACGACACCCTCGCCCCGCGAATCGATATCGAAATGCGCACAAACAGCCTCGAACAACCGATCATGCTGCGCAATCGTCCATGCAGGAATCGAAACCGCCAAGCCTGACATACATACTGCTCGATGGAAGGTGGCTGGTCTCGCGGCGAGAAGATGGTTGCTGATTGATATCCCGCCGGCTGATTCGCCCACTGCTGTGACGTTTGACGCGTCGCCGCCGAAATGGTGGATGTACTTTTGTACCCATGCGAAGGCGGTTTGTTGGTCTGTTAGGCCGAAGTTTCCGCTGCCGGAGTGTCCTTCTTTTGCGAGGGAGGAGGCTATTGCGGAGCCGCCGAGGAATCCGCCTAGTCCGACGCGGTAGTTGAAGTTTATGCAGATTATTGGTTGGTTGGTTGTTATGCTGTGGGAGACTAGGTTTACTGCGTCGAAGATCGGGAGGTTGCCGCCGCCGTAGAGGAGGGAGCCGCCGTGGATATAAACGAAGACTGGGAGGGGTTTCTTGTTTAAGTCGTCGGTGGTGGTGGTTGATTGGAAGGCTTGGGGGATGACGATGTTTAGGACCAGGGCGGAAAGTTCGTCCACGTTCCATTCGGTGAAATGTGGTGCTGGAGGGACGGGGACAAGTTCATCGGAGTCGTCACCTGGAGTGATGGGATTTGGGCAATTGCTCCTGTTGGGATTGAATAGTTAGATGCTGCGTTCGTGGTGTTGGGAATTAATTGAACAAAGTACCCTTGTTTGGTCCCATCATGGAATTGGCCCTCCCATGAAGTTTTGAGAATAGACCGAGTCCATCTCTTGGGAAGATCTGCGTAAGGAATACCGCTGAATTGCTGCACGCCGTTGGCAAATTGTAGACCATCCAGCCTACCCAGGCCAGGAATAGTAGTCGTGCACTTGGAAACGGGGGCTTGGAATGACATGAGGTTGGAAGTCTGGTAGTTCAAAGAAGTAGATTCACATGCTAGAATATCTTGAGATAACTCATTTATATGATCTACCAGAGCCGTCTAATCTACATGTTAACAAGAATACCCTACATACACCCAATTTTGGGCCCTTCTCTTATCACCCCAAAAAGGAAGCCAGACGCGCTATCAAAAGTCAATCCACCAGCTCCACTTCCCCCGCAATCTCCTACCCGCGCAATAAATGAAGTCTTGCTGCTCCTCAGTCAGGCAAGATACATCGTAACCCGGCAATCTGACCGAGATCAAACTAATACACTCCTTTCTGTATCTGGAATGTCGACCCGCTCATATCAAGGTTGCTGGACCTGCAAACGCCGTCGTCGGCGTTGCGACAATGCCCGACCCACCTGCCAGAGCTGTGCGCGTCGCGGGATCGATTGTGAGGGTTATGAAGTGCGATTGAAATGGGGTAGTGGTATTGCCTCGCGCGGCAGATATACTGGAGCAGAAAAGCCGCTGGAGGAGAGTGTGCCTCCAAGACCCAAAGGGAGACAGCGGGATTTGATTCGGCAGAAGATGAGGTCGGAGCCTCAAGGACAGATACACCGTGGGTCTCCTCCTTATGATGATCAGGTTGGCCATTGTTTGACATGGCGAATAGTCAAGTTTGATGTGATGAGCCCTGATAGCCCACTTTCATCGAACACGGCGAGAAAGGAAGAGGAAGAGGCGATTTTCAATGAGTGTGAGTAGGATTTCCGTTGACACTAATTTTTATTGACGACTCGGAACTTAAACTTGGATGAACTCTCCAGGGCTCGTGCTAAATAAGGATATAGTTCTCAATAGTGGGATTAATGTTCTCCACTCAACAACCGCGCGAGAATCTATGTTGCAGCCCCGACTTCCCCAACTTTGTGCGGAATCTGACGCTCTATACGATATTTGCCTCGCGTTTCAGCTATCTCTCACCAAACACCGTAGCCCACAGTTCTTCGAATACTTTGATACATCCCTACGGAAGTTCAGATCGGAACTAGCTCGTAGTACGAGCCTCTCGGATGGAACGTTGACGGCTGGGTTGCTGCTGTGTAGCATTGGTGTGCGTTACCCTGATAGGGAATGCCCTTCTTCATTGGCTTGCAAAAGCAGCTGCCTTGATAATGCTAACGATAAACTCTAACAGTTGATGCACGGATTACCTTGGACGATGCATCTAGAGGGTATGCACAATATCTTGCAAAGCCACGGCCTTTCCGATGGGCCATCCGATGACGGCACTTCTACGTTCCGCAGCCATTTACTCGAGGTGATGGGGGTGATGGACCTGCCCTGCTTTTCCGTTGGTCGGCAGACCAAATCTTCCTCCAGAAGCCGTCAAAGTTCATGCATCGGCATCTGGCGACGGTACTGCCAGTCAGCCACACCGAGGCAAGGCGTTGAACCGGTAAGTGGACTGCCGCGGACACTACTAGATATCTTCGCGGGTATCGGAATCGATGCGACTGAACAGAACTTCTGGGACTGGCCAGGCGAGCCGGGCAGTTTTCTGCAATGTTATTTGTGGGAGGCCCACCGGTTAGCGGGGATCTTATCACTTCGCCGGCATCTACGGTCCGTGCGAAATAAAGAAAACGAGGGATGCGCGCTTCCGGCGCGACAAGTACCAAATGGGTGTATCGCAGATTCTACGGTTTTGGTCACACGTATACTGGCGAATCTAGATGCCTTGCGACTGGCATGCGTTGAGCGACCTACGGAAGATACGTTTATAAAAAATGCCGTTCTCTTTCCAATATTTGTGGCTGGATTGGAGGTTTCTGTTTTGACTAAGGACCTTGACTGTCAAAAGGCTATTCGCAGATGTGTGTTGGGATCGCGGCAGGATGAGATCCTTCTGAGTCTACTGGAGGAAATGTGGCAAAGGGGAGATCCTGATTTGAATGTGGATGACTTGGCCCGGGAAAGAGGCCTTGAGATGGGATTGCTATAAGCATGTGGCGGGTTTATACCACCTGAGTATGAGTCTGTCTAATTATTATCTAGGTAATCTTGAATGTGGACAGATCACAGAGTATTCAAGATTTGAATTTATCTTAGACTGTCTTCACCGGTTCGTATCATAGCCCAATACTTCACTGTCGCGTTTTCGTCATCAGAAGTTTCATCCGTCAATACCACTTCTTCTAGAACACGGAAGCCAAAGCTTTCGTAGAAGCCAACGTTCCGCTCTTGGGTACATTCGAGATAAATAGGCTGGTTCCGATTATATTCCAAGACCCACTCCATAACTCCTCTGCCGATCCCTCTTGACTGCAAACAGGGATGAACTGCGACGACTTCTAAATACCATAATCCCTGTCTGTAATCTTTTTGCAGGGATTTCAGAGAATTTGTGTGAGCTGACATCATTTGATCGACTCTCTAAATTGTTTAAAAAAACGTCAGACTTGACCCGCAAAGAAATCGGGAAGGTGGAAATATTACCTCCATTTTGCAATCAATATCCTGAAGAGGATCGAAAATGTCGAGCAGCCAAATCTTCAATTTCAACAATGTACGAGAGATGGACCACACAACCTCTCGTGGAGGTGGAAAGAGGAAAATGGCAGCACCTGCATCTTCAACACCTGTAGATTTAGCTTGGTCCTCATACAAAGACACTTCAGCCACCTTCCCGAATGAACTATCAGAGCTCTGGGACGATTTTCTTGCTTCTTCCTTTCGTGGATTTTCGCGGGCCATTTGGCTAACAGTAGATGATTGAAAAACCATTCCGTTGGTCATGATGGACTGTACGCGCCGATGTTGCCATCGCTGGATATTGGGGTTCGTCCCAAGTTGCGCACCCGGGCGAAGCCATTGGATCAGAGGGTCAGAAGCAAAGGCTGCAGTGACAGTTCGAGCGATCGCTGCGATAGAAGAGTCTGATGGTTCAATGTTTCCATGTTAGTCTATCGAACAGGATTCGTAGCGTGAGGATGCGAACCATTCTGCGCTTGAGCTTGAAATAGCTTGATCTTGTTCTTCCCTGTAGACATTGCGATGTATGATCAGAATTGTTGATTGGGCACAGTTCCAAGTTTACTCGTAGTAGAGATATGTAAAGACGAGCGAAATACTTTCAACGAATAAGAAACCATTTCAACCCTAGGCTGTTTATCAGCAAATCTACATGCGGTGATTGCCAGCCATCTTACGAAAGTGCGTCCGCCTACCGAACAAAGGAGTTTCATTATAATAATTTAGTCACAAAATCCCGATTAACCACCCAGTATCATCAACGCGAAATAAGCTAGCCAGAGTTTGGTGGCGATCTTGCTACCTCGTTTCGCTTATCGCGTCGCTCCTTACCCTTTCAAGAAGGCCGACCCCCATGCACCCAAAATATGGATAGCGTCGCCGCCACATAAGGACTAGACGTTGTTCTCTCCGCACTTCATTGCCGATGATTCATTGCTACCCCCGGATTCCAGGTCTTATCTCACCGAGATTGAGGTGAATGATCGCTATGTTCGCTGTCGTGGCTTGAAACCATACTAAGCCCCTATCATGCGGACGCGGTACTAGTCTCATCTACACCCAGGAGGAACGATTAAATATCGCCTCATTTCACCACCTCTCCCCTTAGTTTGAAGAGGGTGAAGGCACAATATCTTTCAAGCTGCACAATGGAATCCCATTTCGATACTTCAGTCTATGGGCGTGACGCCCTTGCTCCCCCAGGAACCTTTCTACTCATTCGGGGTAAGGAACATTGCACAGATCTCAGAAGAAAGCAAGCACGACTAATACCTGAGACAGAGGACATGTCTGAGTCTCGTGGCCAACGAACTATTATGCTTGATCCCATCCCGACGAATGATCCCAATGAGCCCTTAGTGAGTCTTTCGTGTTGCAACCCTACATTTCCGATCTAACGAGAAAGAATTGGAGCACTCTCCGCAAGGCTGTCAACTGGACCATAGTTTTGGGAATGACGATTGTTACATTCACCCTGTAAGTGGAGAATTAAATGCTGAATTTATCCCGATTCGTACTCATTCTATACGTCTTTGGATAGTCTTTCAATCCAGCCAATCTTTTGGCAACAGATGATAGTTGATCTTCGGGTCGACTACGATCAGTTAAATCAGTCGATGTCGGTCAATTATGTCGGTCTCGCCATGGGATGTGTGGTCTTCATTCCCGTGGCAAAGAAATTCGGCCGACGTCCCGTTTACATTGTCTCGGCGTCGGTCCTACTTGCTACTTCATTTTGGATGTCTAGATTGGAGACTTTAACAGAGCTCTATGTCTGTAATCTGTTGCAAGGGCTTGGAGGAGCAGTCAATGAAACCATCGCAATGATTACGGTAATAAATAATTGAACGTTGAGATCGATTTTTTAGCTGACACTATTCAGATTGCAGATTTGTTCTTCGTGCACCACCGTGGCAGTATGAACGGTCTCTATATGATTATGATGATGATCGGCGTATGTGATAAATCCTTCAAAACTGCTAGACATGGGTTCAAAGGAATTTCTAATATAGTTATAGAGCTTTCTCACGCCGATGGCAGCGGGAACTCAAGCAACTAGACAAGGATGGCGCTGGTCATATACAACCCTGGGTATCTTCAACGCCCTATTCGTGATACTTTTCATCTTTCTATACGAGGAGACAAAATATACGCCCATCATTACAGGGACTCCCAGACCCGGAACTGCCGAGGATGATATTGCCGAGGATGATTCTGCTGAGAACACCGGTGACCCAGACGCGAAAAAAGTACCATCCGTGACCAAGGCTTCGGTGTCCGATGAACCAAGCGCCCAGAACCACCAGTTAGACACAAGCATTCCCATCAGTTCTTGGCAAAAACGTCTGGCTCTTGTTACTGCAACTTCGGAATCGATCTGGCCCTATTATTATCGTCCTTTCAAAGCCCTTTTTACCTTTCCCGCCGTGATGTTCGCGGGTCTTCAGTACGCCGCGGGTGTCATCTGGCTTACAATATTGTCAAGCGTTGTATCCTTGGTCTTCCCACTTCCGCCATATCTTTTTACCCCCGAGCAAATTGGTTTTATGAGCTTGGGACCATTTATCGGAAACCTACTCGGGTCAGTTTACGGTGGTGTTTTGGGTGATTGGTCGATTCTTTTTTTCTCTCGCAGAAATAATGGATTTTACGAGCCGGAGATGCGCCTTTATATTCTTCACCTTCCGGCCCTGACCATGGCTGGAGGTTTAATTATGTTTGGTGCTACAGTTGAACGGGTAAGTTGTGCCGGTGATACAACCTTCCGCGGAATGGGTATTTCCTTCGTCATCGGGCGTTAATGTCTCGTGCTGACAAAATCACCTTTACTAGGGAATGCATTGGATCTATCCCAGTGTTGGTGGAGCTCTTTTCGGGTTTGGACTGGGCAGTATTGGTGATGCTTCCTTGACTTTGGTGATCGATAGTTACCGTGATGTAAGTACCCCCGTCCCATTCTATGATTTTTTAAGAAAGCAACCACTGACACCTATTTTAGATTACTGGAGATGCATTTACAGCAATCGCATTTCTTCGTAATGCCTGCAGTATTGGTATTCCCTTTGCTATCACGCCCTGGATTGCACGAAATGGACTGCAAAACATGTTCATTGCCTGTGGGTTTATTAGTTTCGGAGTTACACTTCTCGCAGTACCGATGATCTTCTGGGGAAAGACGGCTCGTCAAGCACTAGCAGTGCGGTATTATCGACTAGTTGAGCAACAAGGTAGCGTCGGCTAGCACTGAGAATTCTTTTGTGGGTGTTCTCTGACATTGTGTACATGTGAGAATTCATGTTCAAATGGTCTTCCAAAGACTGGATTTGGTGCCTATATTGTTATCTTATCTTATTGAGTGAATGAGTCAGCTAGTTTTTCATCCAAGCTAAATTACCTTTCGCTTTTGCAATATTACTATCCTATAATGTAAGACGTGTGATACGTGAATCAACAAATTCCTTCAAAAAGCAATCTCTTTCTCGAAATATTAATATGGAAGATACTAAAGCTCAGGCTTAAGAGGAGTGCCAAAGAGAGAAGAGGAAAGCAAAAAAAAGAAGGAACCAGCAACTAATCATACAACGAGAAAAGTTGGGTAACTCGTATTGGAGTTCATTTCTCACAGCGACGCTTTATGCGACGACGGAACTGTTCGCGAAAGCACGGACTTGGATATCCGCTCCTCAGTTACGAGCATTTGGTCTGGTAACCATGAAATATCATCATCGGCAGTTGGAGAAAGTCTACCATCCTGCTTTAGCAGCATAGTTGCCAAAGCCTTCCCGCACAGCCATGCTTGGACCATTCCCTCGCCTCCAAATGCCGCGGATACCCACTCAGATCCAGAATCAATGCTTCTTGATCTAGGTCTCTTTGTCACGGAAGTAGGCAGCTGTCCGACCCAGGGAAATCCATCTGCACTGAAAGCCATGTTACCAGTCCACATCGCTTGCACAGGATCTCCCTCAATTTCACCCCAGTTTTGGCGACCAAAAACAGCCGGGAGAGCGCCCGATAGATGAATATCACAATACAGACTCATCTCATTATCCGTTGCAATTCCAAGATCAGCAAGACCGCCACCTTCACTTCGAGCGAAGCCACCTCCGAACATCATTTGTCCGCTAGGCAGCTGCGTGAGATAATCGAAGCCCCGGTCATAACTGAACAGCCAAGAATGCTTGGCAGCCTGACAGGGGAAATTGCTTCCGGGGGTTTGAGCGGACATCTGTCCGCGTAGGGGAAGATACGACCACGGAGGCCGGGCACTAGATGGGTGACGTGTGCATTTGTACAATGGATTACATTCCGAGCTGAGATCGCTCCTCGATTTGTCTGGACCCGATACTTGTAGGCTGAAGAGGAGGTTTCGCTAATTGATGTGACGGCGGTATGATCTTCAACACGAAATTGACCGGGGTATTTAGACAGTAGTTGGGCCAGCAGGCTAGTCACGAATTTGTATGGCCACAGTGCACCTGCTGGGCCAGCGATAACACCATGAGCTCTGGAGAGCTTGAAATCTTCCGGCATCGACTTTCTGTCATAGGCGATCCATTCGGCAGCTTCCTCTGGCATGCCGGCCTTGAATCGACTCAGTCGCTCCAACGCATCTTTCCAGGGCTCCTCTCCAAAGAAGGCGCTCAAAAATTGTACTTTGCGTGCCTGGACATGTTCTGTCAGGCCAAGGTCCTTGCAGACCTTCAACATCTCCTTCAAGTGCGCAAGACGGAACCGAAGGGTCTTCTTTGCAACTTCCTCCCCGTATTCGTCCGCCAGCTCCGAGTATTCGTCTGCAGTCTCCAGAATGTGTCCACCGTTACGACCTGTAGCTCCACTGCAAATGTCGCGAGCTTCAATCATGATGACAGACGGGACTTCCTGGTTGGAGGAATTGGGGTTGATACCATTTTCGAGCAAGGTGCGTGCGATGGACGCGCCAGTGATGCCGGACCCGACGATAACAATATCAGCCTCGACGGGAAGAGGTTTTGAGGAGCGAGTCGCAAAGCTTTCATGGGGATCTTTGAGCCAAAAAGATGACGTAGTTGTCTTTTGAGGGATGCCTGGATCTGCAAAGATGCGATCTAAAGCTTGTTGTCGCTCTAGGGCTGGGACCGCAGGATCCTCTAGGAGCATATTGGCAAAAGGCATGATGTCGTGATGAAGACCAAGGTGGGAAAATTGAAAATTGAAAGAAAATGAGCTTTTGGCTTTCACTGTGAAAAAAAATGCAAGTAGAGCTGTTGCAATGGGAAAAAGCAAGCTCAAATAGGGCGCGATGGCGTGTTGTAAGAGCGCGATCGTTCCTGGCTAATCAGCTGCAGCCTCTTGGACTTCCCTGTTCCTCACTAGTCACCTACCACCCTCGTTTACATCAGTTCCAATCTATACAACAGCTTTAAGTTTTTCATGATAACCGATAAAGGTTTGGGGTCCACCTTCTGGTTTTGATGTGCGCGGGGAGAAGACTCCACCCCGCGAACCCGCGGACTCCGCACTATCACGAAGCATACGATGAGTTAAAAGCCAGTCCATAATCGAGAAATATGAATTCAACAAAGAAAATACCAACATCACCTGATTTATATTCGCTCGGCCGACCATGTCTACTGCTCCTTCGCCTGGAAATGCCTTTTTCCCTGATGGCCCGCAAATGCGCCTCCCTTCCCTGGCCTTTCTCTATCGACTAGAGTGCGAGACGACCGAGGACTTTAATCTCGGGGCCCCACACGATTCTGGAGTGATTCGAAGTATCGTCAATATCACACGAGGGAGCTTGAAGGGACCTGGAATTGAAGGCGATATCTTGCCTCTGGGAGGTGCGGACTGGGCGACCGTTATCAAGGGAACGCACGTACGAGAACTAAACATCTATGGATCGCCTTGAAATCTTTTCTAATGACAGTACTATATCCAGTCCATGAAACTTGATGCTCGCTATACAGTGAGAACTAGCGATAACTCTTATCTCTACATTCGCGCGCATGGACTTTACCGTCCAGGCCCAGGGACAAACTATGCGAAGCAAGTCGAAACCGATCCGACTATGATACCACCACCGACGATATTGCAAGACGAGGTCGAGTTTTTCTCGCATCTGCGCATCGAGGCAGGTCCGGGTCCATACAATTGGTTAAATGGGCTTGTGTGCTTGGGAGTCATGAGTTGCCAGGATGGAAAGATCTGGATCGACGCGTACCATCTCACCAACTTCCCGGGTGTCAAGCCGGAAGATGTGATTGCAAAGGCATAGATTCACGGTAGTTGAGGGGCTTTTGTGTACCGCGGCAGCAGAAGCCATCTGTGTACGTTGGGAATAGACGAAATATGCACTTAGCTGAATCGAGTAGGTGGACGCACCAAAACAGCGCGATGGATTCACAAATTGTGGAGACGCGGCGAATCGGTGGGGAAAACTACCGATGCCCCTCATCGTTATCTAGGTATCCTTATCATGGCGAGACAGTTGTATATAAAGATTCAACTAGCCAGAAGTCGAAGTCATCAAGTTCATTAAATTCAATTCCTTCCTCATGGCAACCGAAGTCGCTGCGCCGAGCCAGAGCTGGCAAGATCTCGTTGCTCGCAAACAAAGCGAATGCAAACAGAAAATAACGTGTTCCACAACCGAACGGGCCGGACAACCGAACGGGCCACCCCACCCCATTACGACGATATATATTGAATATAACTCAACCACCATATAATATATTGCAAAAACTAGGCGTTATTCACAACTGGGCACCTATTCCGCTTGTGCCCTGGCTCCCTGCAATTGCCACAGCGCTGTATAGGTCTCTCAATCGTCGTCCTGGTTGCGCGGCGTGGCGCCGGGGGTATTGCCAATTGGTGCTCATATTCAATTTGTACACGCAATTGCAGGTCCTCTGCTGTAATTCCACCTTCGTAGGGTAATTGCCTATTTGGTAAAGCTTTTTTTCTTTGCTTACGTCCATTTTCGGCCATTACACGCTCATATGTTGTCTTTAACATAACCATCTCATGTGCAAGTAATTGTGCACCTCTGGTAGTCTGCTCCAATTGTCGATATATGTCATTATCAGGGGTTATATCCCTATAGACTAGTAATCGCTTGATTGAGGATGCCTGCCGTTGAAAATTGATAGCTTTGGATGGTGTATGAGGTATGAATTCACGACTGCTATCACTACCATGTGATGGTGGTGGTGTAGGCGATGGGGGATGAATATCAAGTTTTGATAGTACTGTCTCTGGCGAATATGGAATAATGCCCGCTGCCATAAAACTGCTAGCAATTATAGAGGTTTTGTATGTTGCTGCGCGTGCTTTAGGGTATAGACTAAGAAAGTCAGGCTTATCAATATGTGTAGAGCCCACACGTGCAAGATCTTGTACTGCCTGACCATAGAAGTGCTTCAATACACTAAAACAACCTACATCTAGTGGTTGTAATAGATGCGATGAATGAGATGGCATACAAATTGGCACAATATTGTTCTTCATGCAGATAGTGTCAAATTGAGGGGTGACATGACTCCCATGGCCATCCATAACCAAGGCAGACCAGGCACCATGTTGACGCTTTTTGACGTATGGAATGAAGGAATTTTCGAGCCACGAAATGCCAATTTCATCAGTTGTCCATCCATTAGCACTGATCTCAAAGCGCCAGTCATTCGGGACAGTACTACACCACGCTGCCATCAATACCTTCGCTTTAAAGATAATAGTCGGAGGGAGAACACCATCCAGATGGACACACTCAATTGCAGTAACCCACTCTCGGTTACCCGGTTGTAGGAGTTTGCGCTTCCCCTGCCACTCTCGACTGGTAATAACCTTTGAGGTGCTAGTAATCCCCATTGCAAATCCAGTCTCATCGAAATTGTAGATATCTTCGTTAAGAATACCATATTGAGCAATAGTATTGCAATATTGATTAAACCATTCACGAATAAGCTTCGGATCCTCACATAATGCACGCTGTGCAGCGTAGCGACGTGAAAAACGTGTTTTAAGCTTATCGCGACGTTTGACAAAGTTCTGTACCCAGTTTATACCGATTGTAAGAGAGGGGGTAGTTGAACGTTGAGCGAGTAGTAAATTGGCCATTTCTCCTGCAAGAGCAAAGGTAGGGGCCTTGCCACGTGCATCTAGATCCAATATCCAATTCTCTAACGAATCCTCTTCAATTGCATCCAATTTTGTGCAATTTGCGCGAAGGGTTTGGCGATAATGTCTTCCCTTGAAACGCGCTTGCAATGTTGCACGAGGTACCTCAAAAACGCGCGCAGCTTCATTCAGAGAAGCTACTTTTTCATTTCTTAGCGCCTGTATAGCAAGTTCAATCCTGCCTTCTTGCTCAATTCGTTTTTGAGTTTTTGCAGTACGAATTGGTGGCATGGTGGTGGTTTGAAAAAGAGAGCTGCAACACGCGACGCGTTTTTTAGGTGGGGTGGCCCGTTCGGTTGTCCGGCCCGTTCGGTTGTGGAACACGTTACCCTCTGAATGGACCCTCAGTGCAGAGCAACTGGCCGTGCCCTCGCGTTTACTTGAACACGACCTACCGCGTCGGAGTGGATTGCTATCTGACCTGGAATTAGATCTCACAGAGAACTATACCGCAGCTCAACTTCTGGCAAAGTTAGCATCAGGCGAAGCTAGCTCGTTAGCGGTCACCACGGCTTTTTGCAAACGAGCAGCTATTGCGCAACAAGTAGTATGTTGTGTGAAAAATAATAACGCAGTTGCATCAGGCCTAACAACAGTTGTAGACATCTTGCCTCACAGAAACATTCTTCCCGGAGGCTCTCGAGAGAGCCAAAAGTCTCGATGCCTACCTACAACACGAAGGTAAACCCATTGGACCGCTGCATGGGTTGCCCATCAGTATCAAGGATAGCTTCTGTGTCAAGGGCCAGCAATCTACCATAGGCTATGTGGAATTTCTCAAGCATGAGCCGGCAATGACAAATTCTGCTCTGGTTCAATTGCTTCTGGAACTAGGGGCAGTCCTTTACGTTAAGACAAACATCCCTCAGACCATGATGGTAAGTTTTCACAAAATCTTGTGATATTTACCCTGCTAAACAAAAGTACAGACTGGGGATTCGGACAACAACATTTTCGGCCGAACCCTCAACCCGCACAATACCTCACTGACCGCGGGTGGATCAACCGGCGGCGAAGGAGCACTGGTCGCATTCCGCGGGTCGATTTTGGGCGTGGGAACCGACATCGCAGGCTCAATTCGCATTCCTGCACTATGCTGTGGAGTCTATGGATTCAAGCCGACCACATTCCGCGTTCCATTCAGCGGCCAGGTTTCTGGAGCTCTGGAGGGCCCTCCAATCCCTGCTCCATCAGCTGGTCCATTGGGACACAGTATCTCGGATCTGCAGCTGTTCATGAATGCTGTTATTGGTGATGGCCACGCATGGCGTTACGATCAAGCAGCAGCGGCTGTACCATGGAATACATCTCAACTTGAAACCGCCAATCTCAAGAACAACGGAAGTCTGACCATTGGCGTGCTGACCGAAGACAAGCAATTTCCTCTACACCCGCCTGTCAAGCGAGCTTTGCAAAATGCAGTCAAGAAGCTTGCGTGTGCCGGTCACAAAATCGTCCCGATTAAGAATGATACTGAGGATGATCTTTCCGTGGCATATGCCAGTCGTCTCGGGTTTCAGTACTTTGTCTACGGTCCGCATATCGATCATATTGCGCCCAGTGGCGAGCCTCCTGTTGAGTCGGTCGCAAAACTTGCGTCGCCTATGTTCACGGGGCCATGGCCAGTGGACATGGAGCTAGAGACCTTCGAGAAAATTGCGAAGCTGCAGGAAGCTAGGAATCGCATTTCTGACGCTTGGCGACAAACATGGGTGGAGCAGAAGTTAGACGTGATTCTTGCACCTGGGGCTCAAAGTACGGCGGTCGGCTATGATACATATGGATGGCCGCCCTATACTTTACTCTGGAACGTGCTTGACGTAAGTCTTTTCCTTCTCTCTTCGATCATATCTATTAATATGACTGATTTTTGTTCTAGTACCCTGCTTGTATGATTCCGTTCGGAAAGGCTTCCAAGGAGTTGGACCCAATTGAGATGAAGACAGGAGACAGTGTGCAGCCCGATTGTGAGTATATCTGGAATATTTTGCGTATCACTTACTTACTTGAGTATTTTCAGACATTCCCGATGAGGTGGATGGTGCGCCGTGTGCTATTCAAGTTGTTACGCCACGTTTCCAGGACGAAGCGTGTCTTCGAGCTGCAGATATCATTGATCGAGCGATCCGTAACTAGTATGCTAGATAGAGGATTGATTGGAGTCCCGGACCAGAGTTCAAGTTCCAAAGTCATGTTCCAGATAATATTTATTTTCATTGCATTTCAAATCAATCTGTAACGGTACGAAGGGAATCATCATTGAGGTATCATGTTTATGCGCGGGTCCAGCTCTTCATCCATACTTCGATGTATCTCTGTATCAACCCTGCAGCAACAGGGTCTTTTACATCACCCAGAGAGGGACAGTCACGAACAGTGCTCTTGGTTTCGAAGAACAAACCAGCTGGCTCTTCGTCATCTGCCTTCGGCGCCGGAGCATTCTCATACTTGCCTTTCCAGAAATCCAGAAGCTTGATGCTGGGATTTGTCTCAGGGTTGGGATCACTGTTCGCGAGTCTCCTGAGCCACTCCTGTGGCGAGACGACCTCAAAGTCTGGCAACGCGCAACCCTTCTTCAAGGCGGGGAGCAGGTCGATTTTCCAGCTGAATGAGTGCGGGTTGACCAGGTGATACACTAAGTCGGCATCGGAAGATCTGGCATGCTCGGAACTCAGTGCCAGATCCGAGATAGCTGCAGCACATTGGTCCACGGGCAACCAGGTCGGTCGCTCGTTGAGCTCGGGCAAAGCTCCCGTTGTCAGGGTACTACGGAACATGAGGGCGATGGCTTCGGTTTCATTCCACTGTGCGGTCACAGTATCACCACCTAGCTGTCCAACCCGGAAGACTCGCGCGTGCATGCCAGTCTTGCGCATCGCGTTGCGAGTAATGTGCTCTGTAACGAGCTTCGATCGTCCATAGCCAATTTTTTGGGCATGCTCAATCTTTTCAACGGCGGACTCCGAGATAGAGGCTGGCTTGGGGGTGGCGCTAGCAGCGCTGACGCTGGAGCAGAAAAAGAAGCGGGCTGGGGAAGGAAGCTTGGATCTCAGACAGAAGTTGATGAGGTTGTAAGTTCCCCGAATGTGGTGTTGCTCGAACGACCGAACTCCGAGGTTGAAGTTAACTGCCCAAGCACTGTGGATAACTGAGGTCGTGGTAGACAGAAGGTGATCCAGAACATAGCCTTCCAAGCCGAGGTTAGGCTTTGAGAGGTCGCTAGGAACAGCATGCACCTTCGCAGCTTCTTCATCAGTGAAGGAGATGCTGCGATCCGCCATGGCCTTCCAAAGTCGAGCTCCAGCGGAGGCTTGTCCTGAGGCTCGGACAATAGCCCAGACCTCAGAAACAGTTGAGCGCTTGGCAATTTCGGCAACAATAAATGCACCAAGATTACCAGTGGCTCCAGTAACAACGACGACTTCGGATTCGGGGTTTTGTTTAATGGTGGGATAGTGTTGGGTAAAGTGTGAATACTTTTCAATGAGCTCCTCCATAACCTCCAATTCATTCTCCTGTTCGAAGGTTTCGCCGGTCCTCAGATGGTACAGGTGTTTCGCAAGCTCGCTGACAGTTGCCTTTTCGAAGACAATATTTTGGCTGAGGGTTTCTGTATTTTCCCCAAGGTCGAGGTCACGTACGATGAATCGCCAGATTTGAGTTGTCTGCAAGCTGTCCACTCCAGCTCCAAAGATGTCGGTTTCGGGGCTTGCAAGTGGCACACCCAAATCCTTTCGGAATTTTGTGAGCAGCCAGTCCTCCAGCTCAGGCACGCTGAGCGCGAGGTCACCCTTCTTCTGATTGGTTCCTTCAAAACCTGCATAAGCATTCTTGATATCATCTTCAAAGACCTGGTAGACTTGAGCACGGATGCAAGTTCCCTTGTCAGTCTTGGGGTACACAACATCTGCATCCTTGACCACAACGAGCTCTTTTGGAAGACGCGAGAATGTTTCAGCTTGAGCATTAGCTGCTTCAACCGCAGGCCAAATTTCTTCCAAGAATTGCTCATTGTTGAGGTGAGTGGCCTTTCCGGGTGCTCGGAAGATGAGCGCTCCAGGAACTGAGCGCTGGATTCCAAATACAACACACTCACCGACCAATTCTTCCTGGCGAATACGGCCCTCTATGGGAATTGGAAGAACCTTCTCCCCATTGACAAGGGTGAGTCTGTCATCGAGTCGACTCAGATACTTGTAATAATTGCTCTTCTTGGGGTCGGGGTGGCGAGTGAATAGATCGGACGTGCGAAAGCTATTTTCTGGATTTTGCGGTGAAAATGGTGGTTTAGAGTTGGAAGGACCTTTGCTTGGAAGACCATCCAAAGCAACACATTCGAAGACACCGGGCGATATTTCATCCATCAGGGTATGGTCGGCAACGGGGCGATGGAGCCTCATATACTCCCATTCAATATCGGAAGGATAGCGAAATGAAGTCATGATCTGACCGGTTTCAGTCGCGCCATAGTTGCCGCTCAGATTAACACCTTGCGCAACAAGTTTGTCTCCAAGATCGCTAGGGCAGCTAGACCCACCGTAAATGACGAGCTTTGGCTTGACTAGTTCCTGGATTCCCTCTGGTCTCTCCGACAGTAACTTGATCACATATGGAACAGCGCTGATCTGGTGGGGTTGTGCAACTTGTAATGCATCATAAAGGTTCTGATATGTGACTGGGAGAGAGTGGTTGCCCAGGTAGGCCGGGGCTCTGGTGTAAAGTGCTCGCCCAAGTTCCATCAAGGCGTGGGAGTGAAATAAAGGACTGATGTTGAATACGCGGAGACCGAAGCTCTTGCGCCAATTGGCAAGGGTTTGGTAGTTGGTGAGGAAAATAGGCTTCGGGAATCCTGTGCTGCCGGACGAATGAAGAATCCAGGTTATCTTCTTGCTCTCTTTGATCAAATCCACCCCTGATCGCTCGAATCGAGGTGTCGCAGCTGGTTTGTTGAACCAATTCTCCCGCGCCAGCATACGACGGCGGTTAAACCCAGGCTTCTCGGCACCGATTTCTTCCACAACTGGCCCGTACTGATCCAGACTGATCATCTCATTGCAATTCACCATGTTCAATAACCTTATATATGCCGGGGCTGTGAGTCGCGTGGAGAGGAACAAGACGGCATATCCGAGACGATTGAGTGCGAAAAAGGTGAGGACAACTTCGAAGCTCGATCCGGCGAGCATTGCAATGACTGGGGCTTCTTCCAGACTCGGATCCTGGATTGATATTAGTCAAGATCAAATTGATTGAAAGACACATTCCAATCATACCGCTGGTTTTATCCCCTGCTGTATATAATATTGTACAGCAAGATCTGTATATTGGTCGAGATCCCGAGCCGTGTGTTCCTCGAAATCGTCGGCTTTTCGAGCGGGATAGCATATCAGTGGCTTTCGTGCTTGATCGGATTGAGCCGCATGCGATTTCAGCAAGCCATCGATGGTCATAAACTGTTCAACAGGAGCATAATCGGCGTGAAGGGTTCCGTTAAACAAACGCTCCGCAATCTCCTCTTTGCTCAGTGATGCTTGCACCGCCACCGTGGTGACGGTCTGTGTCTCTGTCATGGTCGCCATAGTGCCGCGTGTCAACCAGGATAAATCAGGACTGGCGTCCATTTTATCTTTATACTCCACCCCGCGTCGCGGCGACTACCCCACGTTCTTTGGCGCCAACCCGAGGCGATGCTTTTCCGGGTTTCCGTGGCGGATTTCCCGCCACCTGTCAACCATCGGAGAAATATCCACTCCTCGCTCTTGGTGAGAGCATGGTGTCCGGCTGTAGGATATACATTTAGAGGAAATGATGCCCACTCGATCGAATGCAGGAAACTAGAATCTGCCAGGTTTCACCGTCGTCGGAATCTTTTGTTACGCGTCATTCCTTCCCCCAAACGAGATTGCTCGGATAACCTCAATCCATCATCATCTCTCTACTCGGAATCAATTATCCGAGGGAACCCCTCACGCGAACCGGTTTATCCGCACTACCAGGTAGTAGCCTGAGGCATAACACATTCAACTTGGAAGTTGGTGTCCGGATATGCAATCAATATTTGGAAAATACTATCAGGCATTCAAATCGAACTCGAATTCGCGATGAAAACTGGTTACATAATAGGTGAGTTCAACTTGAACTAACTTTGGAGGAAATCGCGTCTACATCCATGGGTCGATACACCGACTATCAGATCACGGTGGAAGACAGTCTTAAATTGGTTGTCTCGATCGAATTGAGCATCAATAATCCGGTCTGGTGTTTGCAGGGCGACTCATAATGGAAATTCCGCGCCTCCAGATCGAGACAGCTGTAAGATCAAATTGAGGAGTTGAATAATTGGCAGGAAGGATTGTTTGCACTTCTTGGTCCTCGCACACGCGAACTAACAACTAACAGCTTTTTTTTTTCTTTAGCTCGCCAAGCTTTTATCACCTCGCAATGTTTGATACCACAACAAGAGAACTTCCATGTACTTATTTGACATTTATATGGCATATCATCTGGCGGAAGTAAAGATACTTACCTCCTTAAAATTCCAAGGTTCCGGGAGAGATTCCTTCCATGTCTAGGTGGCTTCTAGGGTTTGCGTTCCAATCTACAGCTAATGTTGACGTGCTTTACTAGCGAGTCAGCTAGCACAAAACACCATAGCTCAGGCAATAAAATACAACTCAATATGTCAAGAAGGACTATTTATTGATATAAAATCTTGAAAGGGTCGCCTTGTTCATTATTTTTCTTGCATTTGTAGCTTTACCTTGGTCACTGCCATCCTCTGAATTCCAGTTTATCGTACGTTTGAGAGACCCGGTAGCTAAATGATTAATTGAGTCTTCTTCGGCAGTGAACTTAGCTCTAAGCGCACTTAATTTGAATTCAATTGGCTGCTCAAACGATCCTGGTCCCATACCTAGGTATTTGGCAAGTATCACAGTACCAGGCCTGATGCGCAGCTCCTCCGATGTCGAACTGCGCGCTATCAACCGTGGACATTCCTGCGCATATGCTTGGAATTACCTGATTTTTTCACAGCTTGATCATGCGAGTCATGCCTATCTCAAATTATTCGAGTTCACGCCCACGGGGAATTTATCAGTCCACTGTACCCCGCGAAAGTCGTCTCCGCACACTCTCCACGCTGGGTGGGTTGGCCACTCTCCACTGTGAACCAGTGATTAATTCCACAGGGCTGGGAACATTATTTGAGAGATGATATGTATCCATAGGTTGTACTAATACTATCGGATTCAAGAATTAGCCATTATCAACTTCTCGAGGGCGAATTGTACGATAATCAAAATGTCTCAAAAAAGGAGTTTGTGCGCGCCGTCAAGCGCAGATCGGCGCAGTAACGTCCCGGCCAAGGAGACAGTGGACCCCCCAAGCTCAACACAATCGGCCAGAATTCGGCCTCCACTTTGAAATAACCAAGTCCGATGCCGGCATCCCTCCGATAGTCCAGTCTCAAATCAACCAAAAAAATGGAGCCAATTGCCCCTCGCAATTCTCAACGCATGGAATTTCATGACTCACGATGAAGTCGCAAACTATTGATCTGCCTTCCTCAATGGAGTCACAACACGGCATTTCGGAAGGAGGGAATGGAGAACATCCTCCTTATGCATTGGCTGGAATTGAGAATGAGAAGAAGGGTGAGCCTGAGCGGCAGGATGCGTTTGGTGATGAGGAATTCGCCGAGGTCAAGTATAAAGTATTAAAATGGTGGTATGTTTGTATAATTGATTTGTTTTGACGACTGGCTGCCTTTCGCTTTAACTGATTCTTGGCATCTCCAGGCAATGCGGTCTACTCATGGTAGCCGAGACAATTTCATTGGGCATATTGTCGCTTCCAGCAGCGATTTCCGGCCTCGGTGTTGCTCCAGGTATCATCATTTTGATTGGACTGGGAATCGTGGCTTCCTACACTGGATATATTTTGGGACAGTTCAAATTGAGGCATCCTCACGTCTCCAGTATTGCTGATGCCGGTGAAGTTATCCTGGGTCCATTTGGAAGAGAGATCTTCTTTACTGGACATATGCTTTATCTTGTCTTTATCATGTCCAGTCACATATTGACATTCACCGTGGCCATGAACACCATTACCGAGCATGGCACCTGTTCTTTGGTCTTTGGAGTGGTTGGAACAGTCATTTCCTTCTTTTTTGCGCTTCCAAGAACAATGAAGAACATGACATGGTTCTCTCTCGCATGTGAGTGCCTAATTCATGTGGACGTCACTGATTATTTACTAGTGCTGAACTGACTGACCCGTTTCTCTTTAGCTTTTATCAGTATATTGACTGCTGTTATCTTGACAATGATTGTACTCGGTGTTCAAAATACGGCTGCCACTTTCAGCGTGACGAAAACTGCCACCTTGGCCAATGCCGTAATTTCGGTCTGCAACATCGTTTTTGCGTACGGTATGTCGATCAAAGTCCAGACGCAGACTGGGATCCGAACTAACTCCGCGTGACAGCGAGCCACAACACCTTTTTCAACATGATGGCCGAGTTAGAGGACCCAAGAGAGTTTCCCAAAGCATTGGCTTTACTCCAGGCTGTCAATATTTCGCTTTATACGATCATCGCCCTGGTAGTTTATCGCTATGCTGGAGACAGTGTTGCATCACCCGCATTGGGATCAACAGGTCCCCTCATTTCAAAGATTGCCTATGGAATCGCGTTACCAACGGTAATTACCGATCGAGACTCCATCGCCCGGATGCATGTGATTTGTACTGATAATTCTCGACAGATTGTGATTGCCGGTGTTATATATGGCCATGTTGCAGTGAAGACCATTTACATCCGAATTTTCGCAGGAACAGAACGCATGCATAAGAGGGACTTCATAGCGGTCGGTGTATGGGTTGGAATGGGACTAGCTGTTTGGATTTCCGCGTGGATCATTGCATCAGCGATTCCGGTTTTCAATAATCTGCTTGGCCTCATGGTACGTTCTACGCTCTCATAGCTCTTCTTTTCATAGTTCGATACTAACCCATATGCTTTAGAGTGCCTTATTTGCAAGCTGGTTCAGCTTCGGAGTCCCAGCTATTCTTTGGCTACATATGAACAGCGGATTATGGCTATCATCGCCTCGAAAAGTGGCTTTGACCGGAATAAATTTCTTTATTATCTGCATTTCTATGACTCTGGTGAGTGTGCCATTTCTACTCCAAGGCTCCATACCTCGGTATTCGCGATATATTACAGGACTCTGCTAACAAATGAATCTAAAACTAGTGTGGACTTGGCGTATACGCATCAGGAAAAGCCATACACGACAGTTCTGCGAGCGGCAGCTTTTCCTGCGCGAATAACGCATAGTGCTTCAAGTTGATTTCAAGAAATAGACCAAATCCAACCTGACCTAACATCAACCGCGAAAGCGAGAAGCCGCGTACAATATCAGAATAGGTATGAGTTTGACCAACTCTAGAGGAATATAAGTTTGACGGTCATCCTGAGATTGAGTACGTGCCGGCATGATGCCCTGTAGACCCGTTGCAACGCTATCTAGAATTTAACATCAGTAGGGGAATTTCTAGTATCCTCTCCGAATGAGCTTCGCGAACAAAAGACATACTGGCCAATGGTCCAAATTCACTCGCGCCTGCTAAGTATCGAAGCTGCTGTATGGCTACCTGTTCTGAATTGTAGCTTAGCAAGGGCAAGGATGATAGCACGAGAACCTCGGCGACGTGGGAAAATGATTGCGAAAGTGCTGCCAAATACGGAACACCGGCCCATGTAGAAACCCCCCACGCCTGGTGTGTCCTTGGTAGTTGGGTGTTTTGGATCCAGGTCTGCCTCTGGGGCCATCTCCTGCAGCTTGGTCATCAGATTGGAGAACATTTGGAAAATATTCAGTAAAAAGTTCCGTTCTTTTTCCATGGTTCAGATGGGTCGAAGGCCGTGGATTGAAAAGAATGAAGGTTGATCGGCTGGAGAGAAGATATGGCCAGGGGATATATTTTACAAGAGTACAAAAGTGGGCATCACCTAGAGCAACAAAGAAGCATTATCTATCGCCAAGCATCTTAGCAAACAGAGCATGCAGTAGCTTATGACAAATAGGGATTTCCTTGTCCGGCGTAGAGTCAATGCAAAGAACAAGAATGATATAGCATTTAATGCTTCTGAAGAAATTACATTCAATGATCAAAGTAGAGTACAAGTATGAAGCCGATGCATCGCCATCCTATCTAAAACCAAGGCAAAATCGACTAGCTTTTCAGTGAGTCGGGGGGAGCGGTGTGAAAATGAAAGAGCAGGTTGAAATGCGACGAGAAACGAGACAGAACCAGATCACGGGCTCGGCGTTGCGTCGTCGTAACGAGGGCCACCATCATCATCGCCATAGCCTGCGCCAGGTGTAGCAGCCGCACCGCCCATGGCCGGTGTGGGAGCATCATAGGCCGCAGGTGTCGGCGCGTCATAGGCACCGCCGCCACTTCGTTTCGGCATACCGCCAGGGGTTGGCGCGTTATAGGCACCCGGAGTTGGGGCATTGTCTGCCCAGGCGCCAGGTGTGGGCGCAGATGCACCGGGCGTAGGGGCGCTACCGTAAGCTCCGGGAGTGGGAGCAGAGTAGCCGCCAGGGGTGGGGGCGTCGTCAAAGTCGCGCTGGTCCCGGCTGTTGGAGAGACCACCCCAGGCGGGGGTGCGATTACCGGCGCCAGCATTGCCCCAGGCAGGGGTGCGAGATCCGGATGCAAAGGCGTCATAGCTGGAGCTGGAGCCAGAGTCGTATGGGGTGCGAGAGCCAGAGTTCCAGGCTGGAGTTCGGTTGCCAACACCGCCATAGGCAGTACGGTTTCCAGCTTCCCAGGGGTTGGAGGTTCGTGATCCGTCGTTCTTCCATGCGGGAGTTCGAGCACCACTGTTGCCACCCCAGGCGGGTGCTAGATGGTTGTCAGTGTTGGTGTTAGAAAAAGGGCTGCCGTGAGACTTACTTCGTGAAGTAGCGCCGCCCCATGCTGGGGTTCTCGATGAATCCCCCGCGGCCATTGGAGTACGGCCGCCTGACCAGCCACCGTCCCTGCCAGGAGGCGCAGCAGACGCACCGTATGGAACGCGAGATCCACCACCACCACCTCCTCTGCCGCGGCCAACGTCGAGTGATTGTTTTGTGATGGGGCTAAGATAAATTAGTAATGAGACATTGGTAGGAGGGAAATGGACTCACTCTTTGGGAACAAGGATATCTCGCTCTATATGGACGGGCTTGTTGGATGTGTAAAGTTCAACTTGAGCAGTTTTTTCATCTGCGTCACGGACAATACCAACCAAACCCTTATAACGACCCTTGCGAACAGTCACGGTCTTGCCGAGCAAGCGATCACGGCCACGTTGGGGAGGGGGCATGTTAGCACCACGTCCGCCTGGGGCTTGCATCGCGAGAGCAGGGTTCAGCTTGGCGAGATCAGGTCCCGCAGGACGACCACCCCTTGCTGATACGGTGACGACGTTGGTTGTTCGCATCACGGACATGCCTGCGTTCTCAGCCTGTGCTTTGTTGTGAAGGAAGAGAAAGGAGCGGTGGATATGACGAATCACTCCACTTCTTTGTTCACCATAAAGCTCCTTGACGGTGTCGCCCAGTCGAATCTCGGCGCCATTTCGATCGGTTGCGACAGCATCCCGGCGAGGGGTAATCTTGTTGGCAACCTGCGTGGGAAGCACATTGCGAGTAGAACCATTTTGATCCATGACACGGAGAGACTCACGGTCAACTTTGATGACACAGGCGACGGTAGCAGCACTGTTGTAAGATTAGCATTTGATCGCTTTGTGGACTTTGATTCCAATACTCACTCAAGCTGAACAAGGTCGTGGACATCGTAAATACCGAGCTGACCATCGGCAGCCATCTCAGCAGAGAGGCGGAGATCTTTGCTGAAGACCGTAATCTCTTGCATACTCATATCGCTGAGCAAGGTGACAGTGTCCTCCTTGACTTGAACCACCATACCCAACTCATTCTGGTAACGACTTCCTCCAATGACCTTAACATGGTCACCCTCGCGAAAGCGCTTGCGCAGGGTTCGCATAGGAGCATCGATAGTCTGGCCAGCCAGATCTCCTTCGGTGACTTCCAATGAGACAATGTCGCCACGAGTGGTGACCGTACGGCCAACCAATCCTTGCTGCTCACCCCGGTACACCTCAACTGGATCACCTGGTTGGTATGCGTCTTCGGCTGTCGAGTTTTTCAATGTTTCGGCCAATGAAGCCAGATCCAGGTTAGCGGTTCCATCATCTGCACCACGAGCAAACATTGTGACTTCCTCCAAACGTGGGTTCACGTTCTTGGTCAATAAGAGATTTACCCGCATATCTTTGATCAGGAAGCCATCCTCGTAGTTCTCGTTGAGGTAGTTCCATGACTTGCCTCGGAGACCAGATGTGGATGAGAGGAACTTGCCATGCTTTTTCTTCGCTTCAGCTTCGCTGAACAATCGCTGGGGCGCACGAACGGCGCTGAGGGCCCCACGCTTGCGCTTAGCATCAGGGCCGACGAGCGCATTGGCATCTTCATTCATACCATAATCCAGTCGCGGGACAAGGCGAACAGTCACATTAAGACCGTTTGTCTCGACTTCCTCAATTTGAGCCAAGTCGCCCTGGTATTTGCCACGCTTAATGCGAACCCAGCCACCGGGGAGCAGCTCCTCCGACTTCTGCACGCGAAGAAGATCCGGCATCTCCTTGACCGGGACTAGAGTCAATTTCTGAGAAGGGTAATAGAAGTTGATAGCCTCCAATCCTTCGACGACATCGGGCTGTCGGCGAGCCTCACAGTAGAACCAACCCTGCATGATATTTCCACGTTCAAAGGCCGAGATAATTCGAATGGGGTTGCGAGAGTTCGCCGGGCGCTCTTCAATTCGTTTCTGAATAGAGAAAACAACTTCGCGTTCCTTGCCAGGCTTGCAGCGACCACCCCAGATGCTGGGATCTTCGACACTAGGAAGCAACAGACGCTTGGGTACAACAAGGGCGTCTGAGGCCGCAGCGCGGTTTCGTCCGTATCGCTCCTTCAGCATCTGAGCTTGCTTTTCGGCATCCATAGTTGCGTCGAGTTCGCGTTGTCGGTCGAGTTGGCGATGGCGTCGGTCATCGGTCTCGGCACCAGCTGGTAGGGCATCGAGATCATCGGGGTGCATTTCGGTGCCAAACTCGGCCAGTTCGTCCTCCTCGTCTTCAGCTTCGTCCTCTTCCTCGTCGACGCCAGCCTCTTCTTCGATGAAGTTCATAACACCACCTCTTCTGCGCTTGCGCGGGCGATTGTTCTAAAGCCACAAGAATTGATCAGTATTGTTTCCACGAACATCGTAGCAATTAGAGTACTAACCACTTCTTGTTCGTCCTCATCCTCGTCTTCCTCATCCTCATCCTCCTCCTCATCATCGTTGTCGTCTTCGGCATCATCGTCGGCAACATCTTTTTCGTCTTCGTCTTCGACGTTGGGCTTCGCATCATCATTCCTGTAGGAGGCGGTCCGACTGTCACTCTGGTCGACCTTTGCGGGCTATTCAAGATTGCATTAGCTGCTTGTCCAGGCAGCCGCCGGGGTTGATCATCGCTCACCTTGGCGTCCTCGGCATCAGAGTCATCGATATTAGGGGGGTTGAAGTCATCGTCCTCATCCTCGGAGCCGAAATCGTGGTTCAAAAAGTTGGACATCTTGTAAGAGATGATTGGAGGGTATCACTGAGAAACGTGGAGCCGATAAAGAGAATATTAAAAGCTTGAAGTTCGGTCGCTATAGCACCTACATCACGATATGAAGGAGTTAGTCTCGTCGAGAATGATGCATAGGGGAGAAGAGGCAATCTGGAAATCGACCGACCTGAAACCTTGCAACGGCGCGTTCAAAGACAAAGACAAGACTGTTCGCGGGATGATTGAGCGGTTCGACTCCAAACAGCGAGGATGGAGTGCGGTTTTCGCAATGGTGTGTACACGACTCTCGAGATGAGAGGAAGACACCAATGGCAGGGTATTCGCAGAAGCGAAGCTGCGGGCCTTTGCGGGCTGTCACCGGGCGACCGCCTACGGTGAAGGTGGTCGCAATCCGGTTGGCGAGAAAGAAGGGGTGAGAGTGGTGAAGGGGAGATTTGAGGACACAGGAGACCGGGGGGTGCAAGCGGCTTTTATACCTGGGGACCCGGGGACGCAGTGTCAGCAGATGGGGAATGGGGAAGGTCGAGTCGGTGATACAATTCGCGGCGAAGTTCAAGTTCCCTTGAAGTTGAAATGCCAGCCTCAGGCATGAAAATGTCTTGGCGGAAACTGCATAGATGGCAGCTCTCGTCCGTAGTATACAGTTGTTTGCTTTTCCTGTCCTCTTGGGTGTCTTTGTTTTGTCTTCTCTCTCGATTTCATATTCATTTTCGTCGAAAAGGCATCTTCTGTTACATACGGCAACTCAAATTCTAGTATATCAAGGGAATTTCGTTCTACTTTCATAAGCTTCGAGCTCGTCTTCCAGAACACAACACAAGGTAGATGACTATGGATGGGTATTGGGCATTCGGGATTCGGAAAATAATGAACTTATTCCGTTTGAACATGAGTGTCTAGCAAAGTGCATGCCATTTGCCGGAGCACATGCTTCTGATGTTTTCCACTGCCAGTCTGAGGGATATGTGAACACGCTTCGTCAGGTCCAACCCAAAACACACTTTGTGGAGTTTTTGATCGCCCCATCTCCGCTCGCACCCAGTTTTGAATCTCGTCCTTGCGAGGCTTCGGTCTATCATCTGATAATCTGAGGAAGCAACCAACCGCTTCGCCATACTTCGGGTCCGGAATGCCAATGACACTGGCTTCGACAACTTGAGGGTGTCGTAGGAGATGCTCTTCGATCTCCTTGGGGAAAATATTCTCTCCGCCTGGTTTTGTGATTGATCGGTTAGTAATAAGGAATTATCTCAAGGGGACTGGCAGATGTACCACGAATGATGATGTCCTTGATCCTTCCAAGAACGTGACAATACCCGGCCTCGTCAATGAGACATTCGTCACCAGTGTGCATCCAAAGCGTGCCGTCGTCTGCTATCTTCATCACTTCATCCGTTTTGGCCCTATTGTTTAGGTACCCCCTGTGTAACGCATATCCGCTGATACATAGCTCTCCTCTCTCACCGCGAAGTAACGTATCTCCGCGCTCATTCACGACCTTGGCAGTGACATGAGGCATCACCGTACCGACGGTCTTGGTGCGATTCTCAATCGAGTCGAGAAGAGATGTACTAAAAGTAATCGTGCTCGTCTCCGTCATTCCGTACGAAATGACCATACCGTCAATCCCCATGTGTTTTCGGAGTTCGGACATCATGGCTGGTGACACTGGGGACCCTGCTACTAGCCCCTTACACAAGCTGGTCAGTGAGTAATTCTTCTCATGGAGAATCTCCAGCTCTGCGGCAAACATAGTAGGGACGCCGAGTAATGTCGTGCAATCCTCTTGTTGAAGAGCGTCCAAAACAAGGCCCGGGTCGAAGTGATCTGATGGAAACACAATTTTGGCGCCATGTATGAGCGTGGAGAAGAATGCCATGACGAGGCCAAAACAATGAAATAGCGGCGGCGGACAGCAAACAATATCCTGTCCTGTAAGCTCCATCTGTTGACCCAGGAATCTGGCGTTGTTTAAGAGGTTTCTGTGATAGTTAGTCGAGAATTCCTGGTCGTGGAGCAGTCCCGGCTCACATATGGGTAAGCATTGACGCTTTGGGTTCCCCAGTAGTTCCTGGAATCAACCGAAATATTAATTATAATCCCTCTTTTATGCCTCCGATGGTTTCAAGTTCTCACCGGACGTAAGCTGAAGGCTCAAAACATCATTGGGTGCGACCGGAATATTTGCGTCGGGCAATTTTTCACCGTGCAAAGCGAGAAACTCATCATAAAGATGACTCCCGGCAAAGGAAGAATTGCCAATGCCTCCTAAGATAATTGTCTGTTCCAAATCTGGCAGACGAACAATTTCGGATGACGAAGTGAGAAGTTGAATGTGTTCTGATAAGCTTCTAGTTCCAATCGTAGAAGCGATGAAAAGAACACGGCATGCTGGGATCAATTAGTATGACATGCAATGTTGTGAGACTCAGATCTCTCACAAGTTTTTTGCAATGCATTGCGGAGCTCCCAAGGCTTGTAAGTAGTGTTCAAGGTCAAAACATGGCATCCAATAGACGTTGCGCCGATCACGACTTCGAGGTATTCGTGTCGGTTTCCAGCCATGATTCCAATACAGTCCGAATGGTGAATACCAGCCCCTAGCAACGCCGCCGCGACCAATTCTCCACGTTCGGCCAGTTGTCTGTAGGATAGGCGGACATCCTGCCAGGGAAAAATGGCGAGTTCTTTGTCCCCTAGGGAAGTTGCTTTCTCAGCGATGATCTCGCCTAGAGACTTCGACCACAGTTCCTGGCTGCTAGAGCCTCGAACAAGAGCAAGTTGCTTTTCTCTAGTCATCGCATTGGCTAGATCTTCTGATGGGAACTTGAGTCTGCGATCGGAAGATTTTTTTTGACAATGGCTGGAGAACGTGCGACTTAAATTTGTACGGAGCACTGATTTGGTAGATAATCGTATCGAACATTACTGGCTTGGCTGAGTATGATCTATCGACTACGCTTGACTGCAGCCAATGCACATGGTACCCCGTAGTCTGCGGTCAGATCCCAATGCATTACTTCGATAGGTCATAAACTAATTGCATCGAAATTCAAAGGTGCAGTGAGAAAAATAAACAAAGGGAGAAAAACAAAAAAAAAAACAAACAATCGTGCATAATATTGCATGCACGTCCAAGGTTGATATAGCATTGCCACTACTATGTATTTGAGAAAACAGCCGTGACCTGGGCGCTGGTATCGGATTGCTTAAATCCTACTAGTAGAGGGCCTCAAGCCACCTGGGCATGGAGACCAACAACCTTGGAAAAAAGGTGTTAAGAATTTATTATTGATTGCGCCGTTTCAGACTTTGGGCAACAGTGACGAGATCGGATGGCGCATCAAGCGGTGACATATGAAGCTCCACAACCTTAAACCGTTAGTGAAAAACTGAAAGAATTTCCACTATGGAAGCATACCTGAAGAATGGAAGGGTCTCTGAAGCTGTGCCGCGACATCAAAGCCTCTAACTGCCTCATCGTTCGAACACTATGAGAGCCATAAGAACCAGGTGTTGCCCCGAAAGCTGCCGGGAGATCACGATATCTCCACGGCTGGACATCGTGGTAAGCCTGACTTGGCGCATGAACAAACCTCTCGATGGTGTATCCCCGGTTGCAAATAATAAAACTATATCGATTGTGGTCAGTAACAGCCTACCCGGTAACAAACAACAATGATGTATTAGCAACTCACATAATGGGAGCAAGACCCAGTCGAACAATCGTACTGAGCTCCTGGCATCCGATCTGTAGGCTTCCATCTCCAATGAAAAGGATTGTTCGTCGCTTTGGATTTTGTGAATCTCGCACCGCGAGAGCGGCTCCTTGACATGCCCCAACAGTGTATCCTATACTGGCCCACAAATACTGACTGATGAACGTGGTTTCGCTCGGAATGGTAGTATTCCATATACCAAAACTTGCTGTCCCAGCCTCGGTAAGGATTATATCTCCTCTTTGCAACCAACCTCCAACGCGGGGCCAAAGGTTCTCATGGAGAAGTGGACTGTCGTTTTGAGCTGGTGATAAAATGTATTTCAAAATACCCTCCAGGCACTGTTTCAACCGTATCCGCATAGATACTCTCTTAGTAGACCGTTGTGACTGATTGCAAGGAACATTGTCTTTGGCGACATATGTACTAGTAGCTTTCATAATACGTGCTGCCGGGAGTGGATTCCAACACACTCTCGCAGTCATCATTTGAGTGACCCCTTTCAGGGACACAGTAACTTTCGGATGATGTGTGATAACAGTATAACACCTTTGCATATCAATGAGGATTTTCTGATCCACGGTCCCAGTGAAGCCAGCCGTGCAAAGGTCTGACTGGATATTTCCGATACTGAGAACCAAGTCCGCAGAATTCATCAATTCAACGACTGGCTTGTCAGAACAGGATCCAACATATAGGCCCGCATAAAGATAATGATCTTTCTCAATAAATCCTCTGCAAGAAGCCGAGCTCAATACTGGTATGCAAAGCTTGTTGATCAGATCGAGAATTTCATCGCGAATATCATGGGCCACGCCATAGCCCCCCTAGCAAGAGAATGGGATACTTTGCGGATCTGAGCTCTGCAAGAACAGAATCCGCAACGCCGCCCTCCACGATTGTATCATTTACCGTTTCAATGGAGTCAATTTGCTTTCTCGGACTGCATGTATCGATTGAGACATTGATGAGGTCAGATGGAACGAAGATTGAGACCGGTCGGCTTTGAATTGCGCATTGCTGAAGGGCCGCATTGATCAGAGCTGCGGCTTTCTTGGGACAATCTAGCGTCACAGTCATGCAAGATGTAGCAGCGGTCATTCTTTTGAAAACATCAAAATCACCATCTCCGAATGTATGATGCACGCAAAGCTTCTCCAACTGCGCACGACGACTAGGCATATTGACGATGTGGACAACCGGTATAAGTTCGGCGAAAGACCCCGCAATCGCGTTCAAACTAGAGAGCTCTCCAACACCCATGATAGTCATCAAAGCCGAGATACCATTGACCCGCGCATAGCCATCAGCTGCATATCCTATCTTTGGAATTAGGAAGTCATTTCTGAATTCGGAGACTCGACTTACCCGCATTTAATTCATTGCAGTTCCCAATCCATTGGAGTCCACATTTCTCAATACAATCCAGAGCCACGAGGCTGAAATCACCTGGAAATGGTTAATTCTGTTGGGGGTGCAAGTAGAGATGGCAATTCACCTGGTACGCCATGTACTGATTGTATTCCAATCTCCTTCATGCGATGGCAGAGAAATCCAAATAGACTAATTGGGACCTCACCTTCTGCTACCGTGGTGTTCATGGCGTAGATACTGCGAGTCTCCGATAGATAAGGCTTTAATAATAGAGCGAGAGAGGTTCCAAAAACTCACCACCCTTTTTAACCAATTCGCTAGCTTTGAATCCTGGGGTTAGTTACTCCGTACAAAACCTTCCTCTCGGAAATACTTCGTGCGACCTTCCACTTTCCTTTTCTAACCTGGAGCAGCAGCTGCATGAGAAGCTCAGAATATTATGATATATCAAATTCTCGCCGATCAGGCTTCAATACTAACTGATCATCTGCATGATCGCCCCTTTCTGTGGTCATCTGCATAATGGCTCCGTTTTTCTCACCATTCGCCCAATCACTTCTTGTTTCCCTATTTCGTTACGCCAGATGGTATTTTAGAAGCTATACGCTGCAACTACGGAGTACGGGAGGTAACAGCTGATTTATTGGGCCTTTGTTTTGGAATTGGAATATTAGGGGTAAATGTATCACGTAGTTTTTAAGTCTCCTCCCCACGTCCATTTTCTTATAGCCATAGATATGGGTCTCAAACCTATGGTTTTTAAAGCAATCAACTAGCCACCAAGCTACCTTTTATCTGTTATCACGCTGAAATATCTCCATCACATGAAGTTCATGAGAAGCACAGGCTTGTATATGCAGCATGCTAGGGTGAAAGTTCCAGGGTTCCTATCCACCTGCCGACCAGCTAAGCCATAAAACGCCGTTTTTTACTCAAACAAACACTTTAGAATAGTAATGAAAACAATGACCTTGGAAAATATTGAAAACTTGAAGACGATAAAATTGTTCAATTCAAAGGTCATAGCGATACTAGACCCCGGGATCATGACTTGACAGAGAGAATTGTGGAACAAAGGCAACTATTCCTTGCTCTCAGAACTGCCCTGTTTCAAGGTATTCGGGGCATATTTAACACGCATTCCGGCAATAACAAGTAGACCAAGACCCCCGATGCTGCCTGCCTTTATGATCTGTATTGTCGGGATATCGATACTCACCCTCTTACGCAACCAGGTTCGAATTTCAATTGTCATGAGAGAATCAATGGGTGTTTGTGCAACGGAAGTAGAAGAGTCACTCTCACCCGACGGAGAGTTGACCAGACGACCTATTTCTCCAATTATAAGCTCCAGAGATGACGGTTGGTCAAGAATCGAAGGGTCGTTTTCGCTGTCCGAGATGAATTGGTTGATACAGTCCATATCGGATGGTTGGTTAGCGCCTGATTGCGCGTCTCCAACGGAGAACAGTGAGAATCGCGACTCGCTTTGATAAGTCGCCCGGTGATACTCCGAGCAAACTGGTTGAAGCCCAACAATGATAGAGTGCTCATTGTTGGCTTCCTTTTCGGATTTTCGCACGGCTCGCGCTTTGCCAATCGCTGCTTGGACTGTCTTGAAAAGGTCGTTTTCGTTCATCATGTAGATGCCGCTGTCACGAGCTTTTTGCATCAGGTCGGGTTTGGAACTGACATAGCCAACATCCTCAACCCCGCCAAGGTTAATCGCGCATGCTGGAAACCCGGTAGACCGGACGTGCTTGGCGAATGCCTCGACGAAGCAATTTGCGGCAGCATAGTTAGCTTGGCCGATATTCGCACATGTACCCACGACAGAGCCAAACACAACGAAGAAGTCAATATTCTGATGCTTGACTGCCGAATATAGGTTCCAGGTTCCCTCTACCTTTGGTGAGGTGGCCGTCACCCAATCTTCATGAGTCATTTTCGAAAAGATTTGATCCTGTAAATTGTTTTGAGTGTCAGAGTTATCTCGGAATATAAAATCATGGCAATCTTACCTTCAAGCTCATTGCCATCTGAATGACACCGCCAAGTGGCTTTGAGCAGAAGGAAATTGCTTTTTCCACTTCACTAGAGCTCACAACGCTACCAGCAACCGCCTTGATAGAACACCCCATGTGCTCAAGCTCACGGAAAAGTGCCTTGCTTTTGTCTGTTTCCCCGGCAGATCGTGAGAGATAAATGAGATTCCTGGCTCCATTCTCGACCATCCACCGTGAAATCGAAGCTCCAAGACCTCCAAGCCCACCGACGAGGAGATAGGATACATTCGGTGAAAACGAAAGAGATTCTTGCTTGGCAATAGAGACGGGGAGATGAGCTGCGTCGTCAGGAAATTTGACGACAATCTTTCCAATGTGCTGGCCAGTCCGCATGAATTTGAAGGCAGCCTGCACATCAACAGCATCAAAAACATTCTTTGGTCTAATTGGCTGGATCCTTCCCTCTCGAATATATTGAAATACGAGCTCCAGCGTTCTAGAACATGAAAGTTAGACTTTTAACCTCGTTCTGAAACTTGATGCAAGTTGAAAGTGGCTGGCTCACCTTTTGAACTCATCCGGTCTTTGTGAACCAAGTCGCTCTATATCGACGCCGACAAAAGTTCTGTTAGCTTCAAAAAGATCCATATTGAGTTTTCCGCGGCCCAACATGTCCCTCTTTCCAATTTCAAGCATCATTCCATACTCCGCTACACACTCCCAGGAGGCATGAAGGCTTTCTCCTGACAAAGAGTTGAGCACGAAGTCTACACCCATACCCTTTGTTTCGCGGAGGATTTGATCTTTGAATGCTGCGCTGCGGGAGTGAAATATACGATTCGCAGGAATGTTATGATTGTTGATGAGGTATCGTACTTTCTCATCACTTCCAACAGTCGCAAATATCTTGGGCGGTCAGTAAAATTCTTTTAACAGAGCACTTCAGAAGCCTACCTCTGCGCCGATTGCTTGACAAAGCTGAATTGCTGCCAATCCGACTCCACCACAAGCGGAATGAATCAATACGGACTAAAAATAATCAGCGGAAGTACTTGTATCGGGTCAATCATTCGTGGCATACCTGGCCGTGCTGGACGCGACCAATGGTGACAAGAGAATACATCACTGTGGAATATACACTGGGAATGGTGGCAGCATCCTCGAGTGAGATATCCAATGGCAGGTGGAAACAATGCGAGCTTTTCGCAATCAATGTGGTACGCAGAAGGGAAGGACCAAAAATGGAAACCCGGTCGCCCACGTTAAATTCCTGCTGGTGAGGAGAAGGCCCCAGTGCTCGAATGATTCCCGTTGCTTCAAATCCGAACTGATCCTTTTGGCCAACAAACCCCATCGCGTTCATCATATCCTGTAAGACTAGTCAGTACATTTTGAAATTAAAGCGGGAGAATGCTCCACTTGAGAGTCACAGATAAGAAAACCCCACTCACTCTGAAGTTCAAACCAACGTATCTTATCTCAACCTCAACCTCGCCGACACCAGGAGCTATTCTCTCTGTCGGGATCCAGTGAAGAGAGTCCAATAGTCCGGATGTCCCGATCGTAAGTCTCTTAGGTGTCATATTAGGCTCTATGACTTCGCCGTCTTGAGACAAATCCAGTAGAGTGGGATAATAACGGGATGTGTAGACCCTTTCCCCCTGAATGGAATACTCATAATCTGGCTCTGAGCCGGAATTGATGGATGACTGGAAACTTTCGAAAACATTAAGGAAAGAGGACGTGAGTTTCTGATCCAGAAAGTCCATTTCAACTGTTGCAAATGGGAGCGAAAGCTCCAACCGTAAAGTTCGTCCAAGTCCCAAAACGTGACTCCATCGCGGGTCCTTACATTCTAGCTGAATGTGCCTCGTTATCCAGAGAATGGATTTTGGCCTAGTTTCAGAAATGAACTGACGGAATGACAGAAATTCTTCCTCATTCATTTCAGCAAAAAATGGCGCGTCAAGATCCAGAAGTGAAATCACATGCCCGGGAGACTGAACTGTGCTAATTCCATTCAAGGTGAACCAAGCCACTGTGTATCCGGCACTAAGAAGCATCTTCTCAAAGAGTAGACACGAATCACTTCTGACACCAGTATGTAGCAGGCTAACATGCTTTTCGGACACGAGGGTGTCTGTAATCCTGGATATTATGTTTGCATTGAAGTGATACGGCCAGATGTTGTCATGTGAGACAGCCTCAATTCCGGTAAAGCCTGCAGCACTCAATTCTTGATGCCATCTTTCCGGGGTCACATGGGGCTTAGATGCACGTTGGTCGCCTTCGCCAATCCACCAGCCGGGCAGAAGACCCATGATCGCATCGGCAAAAATGAGTTCCGGACAGGTTTCCTGGAGGAAAAGGTATCCACCCGGGGAAAGGAGTTTACGAACATGGGTGAGAGATTGCTTAAGCGATGGGGTTGCATGAAGAACGTTGGAGCAAATTATGAGATCGAAGCACGCAAGACCAAAGTCTTGGTCCACGGGATCCTTGGAGATGTCCAACACCTGAAACACGAGGCCATCAATTTGTTTGAAACGGTCCTTTGCCGCTGTTAAAAACCCGGGCGATATATCTGTGAAGACATATTGAGAGAACATCTTGCCACCTTCCGGAGCCGTGAGAGACTCCAGGGCGGCAGCTGTCATTGATCCTGTTCCTGCGCCAATTTCCAGGATTCTAAGGTTGGCCCTCGAGTGACACATGGTGGAAAGGAAGCTCTTGTAGTCTTCAGGATAGACCATTTGATCATAGAACTGCTCCAGTCCATTGTCTTCCATCAAAATCTCGAGGGAGCTTGTCTTTCCTTCGAACATACTAACGACATTTTCAGAAACCCTTTGTGCGAAACTAGCAAAGAACGAGATACCAGTACCAGATTCCTTGAGTTCCTTTGTCAACGAGGTCAGGATGGATTCTTGCTGATCCGGGTCCAACCTCATCCAATCTTGGGTCTGTGAGACAATGCTGTGACCCCCATCTTTGAACTGGTTCATGCGAGCTTCGAGCCAGCTTTTGTATTTCGCCATGTGCGGAATACTCGACGTAATCCCCTTGCACAGGCGATACATCTTCATGAGGAGTAATACCAACGTTTGCTCAAGCAGATTCCATTCCTTCTCCATCCTTGGTGGTGCAGGGGGCAGAATATCTTGCAAGGATGGAAGGAAATCAATATGAGGCCTCCAATCGACTCGAGCTGACCAATTTTTATCGGTCAAGCTATCCGTCACACTCTCTGCATCCATTGTGAAGCATCTTACACCCTTGATATCAAGGACCACTCGATCGTTACCAGCGTCCACAACGACCGTGTCTCCTTCATATGCTCCGTGCGGGACGCTTAGACAGCTAGTCTTGGCAGATAATTGCCGGTTTTCGCAATGCCAAGCAGACACTGACCTGATCGAAAGGGGGACCGCAATTCGATCAAGGTAGCAAGTCATACCACGAGTAGCAGCCACGGACAACAATTGAAGGCTCTTGTCAATGAGCGTTGGATGCACTGCGTACGCGTCACTTGTGCCTAGATCCTCTCTGCTGGTGAGAGCTGCGGCAGCCACACGCTCAACAGGATCTGCTGAAATATTTTCTAGTCCCTGGAAGTGGTGACCGAATTCCAACCCGACTCGTTTCAAGCTTCTGTACCAAACTGAGGCATCGACTGTGCGCACGAACGGAGTGATGCTTTCCGTGACTGGCTGAGAATACTCTGCACTTGCTTGTCCAGTACAATTCTTCCGCCATTCTGCTCCGTTATACGAGTAAATGGTAAACTCATACCAATCAGAATCAAGAACATCAGTCAGCCGCCGAGGCCTGAAAGCAGTCATGATTTCCGTGTCGGTTTCATAATCAAGAAACATTGCGTTTCGAATAAACATATCTCGGATCTGATAACCAGGAGCTCCTGTTGTCTGCCTGATAGCTTCGCCAACCATTGCAACATATCCAGCCCCGGGAAAAACGATACGACCCGAGAGCTTATGGTCGCTGAGCCACGGTGTATTATCAAAACGAATGATATTGCGCCATGTTGGCTCTTGGTCATTGGACTCCAGGATGCGAGAGCCGAGAATTTCATGATGAGGGAACTCACGGAGCCTCCAGGCCTTAGATATTCGGTTTTCACTCCAACGCTTCGCAGAATAGTCCCACGGATAGGGTGGTAAATTGGTCAACACCTGCCCAAGACCCCTACCATTCACGACCGAAAGTGAGATGTGTATCCCGCTCAAGAACAACTGACCAGCTGCTTGGAACATGTTTAGCATCTGATCCTGCCCTTTGTGTAAAGTTGAGACGTAAAGCGGTGTTGACTTGGGTTTGCATTGGCGAAATATCTGTCGCAGTGCAGCAGCAAGAGGACAATGCGGGCCGATTTCCACGAAGCACATTGTTTGCTCCCTCATATCGGCAAGGGCGGCTGAAATTGCGGTGGAAAATAGCACAGTCGACACCAGATTCTGCCTCCAATATCGAATGTCTAGCCGATCAGACTCATTTAAAGCCCTGCCAAGGACAGTGGAATAAAATGGGATGGATGGTGTGGAGAATCCAGCTCGTCCTTCAACCATTTCTTCAAATGCCTGTCCAACATTCGTCATGAGACCTGAGACTTTGTCAGTAGGTGCAACAGATATAAATAAGGAATTCTGAGCCGTTGTTGCGGTTGAACGTACGTGAGTGATATGCAGTTTCCACGTCGAGACGGCTAGCGAAAGTATCTGGCTGATCGTGGTTGATGCGATCAAGAACCCGAGTCAAAATGCTTTCGTTACCGGAGAGGACCGTACTATGTGGACTATTTTCACAGGCAATGTCAATACCGTCTTCGAGGTATTTGTCCACGGCAGCTCGACCTAACCCAACAGCAAGCATACCGCCTGGATTTGCATGGAGCTTAACGGCCTGACCACGATAGTATGCCGTAGTGATCGCAACTTCAGCGGTGACTGCTTTAGCGGCATAAGCGGCAGCCACCTCACCACTTGAGTGGCCGATGACGGACGTTGGATGAACATCCCACGAGGCAAGTAGGTTGACGATTCCGATCTGAACGGCAGTGCACAAAGGCTGGGAGAACTCGGCATGGAGGCAGGTTGATGTATTCTCGCTAGTGGATATCTTCTCTGGTATGTAAAATTAGCATGAGTACTAAATATAGGTAATACATGAAGCTTACCCTCCATGGTCCATGACGGGGGATCGGGAAGTGCCTGAAGTACCCGATCCAATTCTTGAATATCGGCACGGAAGCTTTCAGACCTCAACAAGAGTTCTTTTCCCATTCCATACCAGTGTGCTCCCTGTCCGGTGAACACAAAAGGTAGTGACTCAGGAGTCATGGCCGGGGCATGACCGGAGTGAAAGTCAGGGAACTCAGATAGAACATCGCCAGAAACAATTGCAAAAGCTCTATGCCGCCAACAATCGCGTCGCGTCCCCAGGGTGTAAGCTAAGTCTTGAAGAGCAGGTTTATGACTTTGAGAGTAGTCTTTCAGGCATTTTATCTGTTTTTGAAGAGCATTCAAACTCATCGCGGAAAGGGTAAGTATCTTTGGAGAACTCTCTGTACCAGGATTCGTCGCAGAACTGCTTAACAACCTGACAGAATGTGTGCTAGCAGATTCTAGAATGGCCTGGTAAAGTCAGTACTAGTACCTTCAATAACAAAAATTATATAGATAGCATGGGACTCACATGGGCATTGGCACCGCCAATACCAAAACTATTGATGCTAACGCGTTCATCACGGCCAGTAGGCCATGGCATCAACTCCTCTGGTACCTTGAGGTTGGCTTCTTTGAAGGGAACTATTAAGAGATATCAGTAGGCAGCTTCTTGCGCTCGGGCGGAACGGATGATTCACTCCTTGGGTTTGGGGTCTTGAAGCGAGCATTCGGAGGAATGGCCTTGTGTTCAAGCGCAAGAACAGCCTTGATTACGCTATTCAAGGCAGAGGCACCTTCCGAGTGGCCCAGATTTGGTTTTACCTTCTTTGTTTAGCCATGGTGCTGTTAGAAACAAAAATCGCTTTCACATACTGCTCCTATGACCACTCCTTTCTGCCCAAAAACATTGGCAATCGCCCCAGTCTCTGCCACATCACCGGCGGCAGTCCCTGTGCCATGGCATTCGAATAGCCCCGTTCGCGACGGATCAACACCGGCTTGTTGATATGTCTTCCGGATGAGCGCCTGTTGGGCATCTGGGCTGGGGACGGCCATTTTACGGGTCCTTCCATCACAATTGGTGGAGGTTGCTCGGATCACGGCACGAATGGGGTCACCATCTTTGAGTGCATGATCCAACCTTTTGATCAAGACTGCATTTGTAGCTTCTCCGCGCGCAAAGCCATTGGCACCTGCGTCAAATGTTTTGCACTCACCGTCAGGAGACAAAACATAGTTATCGGACATGCATCCTGTCATAGTCGGTGTCATAATAAGGCTCGATCCGGCGACTATAGCAGAAGAGCACTCGTTTGAAGCTACCGCCTGGCAGGCTTCATGTAAGCCAATCATAGAAGCCGAGCAACCTGTTTTGATGGTCATGCTAGTTAAAATCTTTAAGCATTTTGGTCATGAGGTATCACCAAAAATCAAAGAAATTATCTCGCTTACCTTGGTCCCCAAAGATCATATTGATATGAAATTCGATTAGCAAGTGCGAAGTCATTGCTACTGAATATATGTAGGCGGCTGATTGAAAGAGGATCCCTGAGTGCCATCTCCAGCCAATCGTCGCCGAATGTGCCAACATAACATCCAATATTCTTGCCAGTGCCTTGCCAGTCCACCTGCCCTGCATTTTCCATGCACTCCCATACAGTCTCTAGGAGGAGCCTTTGCTGGGGGTCCATATGGGCAGCTTCTGTGCTTGATATCCCGAACGTGGATGGGTCGACATCCGCTAGGTCGTCTTTCAGGAAGAACCCACGTCTAGTTTTCACACTGCGGGAGTGGGAAGCATTGTAAAATGCATCAATATTATAACGCTCTTTCGGCACTTCAGAGCTAACGTCCTTTTTGCTGAGCAAAAGCTCCCACAAATCGTCCCCAGACCTTATACCTCCTGGAAGTCTCATAGCCATGCCTATGATCGCGATCGGCTCCAGGCGGGGTTTCCCCTGTGGCAAATGATCACCGATGGGAGGGAGATCAGAATCATGATTAAGCCCATGGGTAGGAATCTGTTCCATTCCGCACACTGGGAGGTGACACTTTTCAGCCTTTTTCTGTAAAATGTCTGCTTCCTCGTGCTCGTTTCCACCATTGCAGATTACCTCTGCTCCAACTGAACCCATGATGAAACCGGACGTTGGAAAGCTGCAGTTGAAAATCGTTTATGTCAATTTTGAAGTCTATTCGAATAAAACGGGGAGAAAATGCCCTCCTTTAAATTAGGAATGTGAGATATAGTAAACCCGATTTAATATCATTTAATCTGTACCTATGTAGGACAGCTCCTCTTTTCTTAGTTGAATTTTTTGCGTTTGATAGGTCTTATACTCTGGGCAGATTTCCACTGCATCGAAAGTCATGTAGCACATCGGGATAGATTCTCCGTGCCACTAGTCATTCGATAAATCACAGTATACTACATTGTGATCCATCAAATACGTGCTTTTGGACGTGTTCACCGACACGTTGCCCATTAAATAGTTATTTAGCACCCCCCCACATTTTGTCCTACCCAAATTACTTATGGATGTTGGGGAATTTGTCCATAATTCGTCCGGAAGCAAGTCATAATGCAGTCTACATCATCGAGACTCTCAAGTACAAACCGAAATGGAAATTCGAATATGTATGTAGCCACTAGAAGGGGGTTCTGATTCGCTCACAGAAAATGGCACTAATGAGATCACCATTCCTATTGCCTGTCATGAATTATTTGTGGGTCTGGTATGTTTGTTCTCAAATTCACAAATTGGGCCGCTTCGCAGGGTTTAAACTTTTATTTCGTATTCGCCTTGGGATCAATGGATTTATACGTAGTACTATTTGACCATGAAGGATTCCAGAGGACATTCATTAGTTTCATATATCAGGCAAATATAATGCGACGCAGGCCACTGCGTTGTACATGAAAAACCATAATCCACAGGACACTCCGTAGCAAGTTGTAAACACTCCTTCCCCGCGCCCACAGCACCGCGATTATCTCAAGCTGGTATTATCAGAATAGTGAACTGAGAGTGAACCAGGGGTTCAAACTACCATAGCCCGAGCTGAAAGGAACTGCGACCTTCATTGTCCACAACTTTTATGATCATCAAAATGAGGAGCCCCCACGTAGCCCCTGGCCACTGCACCTCTCGTCGGATCCTGGGGCTGGCGCTGAATACACTGTGGATGTGGGAACTGAAATGCATAGAATTTAGGAATGAAGATTTTCTTTCGAGACGGCCGAATGTGAATACATAGCTGGGATTCCGAGTCCGTTTGACTAACACTTCTGTGCCAAAGAACATAAATTCAGATGAGGACATATTGTTGAATTTCCACCGGTCTTACTTCGGTTGTCGCTTTCTGGCTCCCTTCCACTGCATTGGCCGCTTGGGGAAAGTCTTGTATCGGTGCCGTGAATTCTGTGAGCCAAGTTCCGATTTTTTTGATCAAATACTTGCAACAGGATTCATGTGCGATGAAATGCCAGCCTACGCTCGACCTCTGGGGCCACCGGCTGAAGAATGGCTTGTTGATGATGGCATCCGCTATTGCGACTATCCCGAAATCAAAGACAACTTTATCAAATTTCTCGACAACCTCTACGATTCTACTACAAGAAAATGAGGGCAAATTGCAGGATAAACATCTGTGCCAGGATGATGAGGGTATGCAACCATTTTTGGACTGCTTGAACAACAACGCATTTTCCGCGGTGGCGAGTTCCCTGCCCAGGCTGGCACGCTACATGTCGGAGGAGAAGTGCAAGAAAGCCACGGAATATTTTACGAGCGCCCAGCTATGGGAGACGGACTTTCCGTATCATCTACAGCCTTGCATCAATCAATGCCACGAGCTGTGAAACAACACAGGCGATTGATCGTGTGCGGATCGTGTCTAGGGCTGTCTGATCGAAATGAAGGTTGATAATTTCGGATACCACAGCCATTGTGCGACTCATGATCCAATTTTCGCTCAGCCCTGTTATGCAAATCTACGACTTTAAATTTATCTACTAGTATGGTATCTGAGCAGTTTCCTCTCGAGGTCATACTTGAAAATTATTGGAGATCTCGCCTTGCCTTGCTAGCTTTTTCTGTAGAGATTCCAAGAACCCACCATCCTCCCAATTTGTTATATCCCGAGGTCGCTAGGATTTATTCTTTCTGACTTTTTGACTCGCCCGAGTCTGTGGAACTTTGTTTGTACCATGTAGCCAATCCATAAAGCCATTCCCGCCATAATGTATATTGGTCTTCAAATGGTGCACCTGGGCAGATCATGGATTCTGATCTCTCCTCCCCAAACATACCCATTATGTCTAAGGAGTCCACTAGTGATTTCCATTGACATAGCAAACCAAAATGTTAGAATATGACATCGCAATAATTGACAATATACCGCAATAGGTGCCAGATTTTGCAACACGTGTTCAATCGGGTGGGCGTAATGCGCTGCTAAGGCGACGGGTGCTGTGAACCGATGATGTTGAGAGTGAATTCGAGCATATAAAAGAGGATGATATAATAGCCGATGGATGTAATACGCGACGACCTCGCGCAGAAGCAAACTCCCCACAACCCCTCGTAGAAATCCACCCTTCGTTGGTGTATCAGGCTCGATGCGGTATGCAGACGGAAATGGAGTCAAGGGGTGAATCATTGCTGTCCAAACACCTAGAAGAATGTAGGCAATGCCCTGATTCCTTATAGAAACGATAAAGCAGTCCACAGTATCCTTTCGCGTTGGCTGTTTGTGGCCAGATTGGATTTTAAGTGGAATGAATAACTGCGGTTGAACGAAATCGAGTGCAGCAAAAATAGTGTTATCACCCAGGTCACGACGATCATAACAAGCGAGGTACCCCAGAAATCAATGGCTGAAGCTGAATTCCTCGTAATCAGTGAAGACCACTCGGTCTCTAGTTTTCCTCGAAGAAGAGCCATGGGTGTATGAGTGAATGTTGTGATGCAAATTGCATGTTTCCAATGAGGTCTGCTTGAACCTGGTTTAAATCTTTCGCTTGTGCCCAACGCGGATCAGCGTGAAACGATCGGCTGGTTGTGCACTCGTGTTCCTAGAGATCTGCACTAGCCAGAATTAAAAAAAGATCAACGCATTCAGCCACTATAAAGAGGAATTGAATGCTGTTACACTGCTGGAATTAGACTTTCTGGAAGAATAACTGCAAGCTTACCGCATATGATAGATATCTCATTCTCATTCCCACATGTGCCGTGCATCCGCATACACCGCCATTTATATTCTTGTCCCATCATAACGAAGATCTGTCGCTTCGATATCCCTGCACTCCTTGAGCGAAGCCATACCTGTCCAAGCCTATGATCGCGGAGATAGATTCTGCGATCGAAGCAACTTCATTCCTACTTCCAAAATGAGTCAACTTTTCCCCATACAATATAGGAGCGAAGACTATATCTATTGGTCTTCTCTATTTTGTCTGTCCATCGTCGCCTGTTGGGGAATTCTTATTTTCCGCCGGCTGTTCATAAGCCCCCCTGGCTAAATGGCCGCGACGGGTCTCTAAGAAACGTCATTTCAGATTGTTAAAGGGGGCACATTTACCTGGCACATCAATTGCCTACATGACCAATATGGTCCTATATTCAGGATTAAACCAAATGAACTACATATCAAAGATCCTGACTACTACAATAATCTTTACACTGGCCTGGTACGCATCGAAACAAGGACCCTTGGTTTAGCTTTATCAGCTTTCCTCGGTCCCTCTTCTCAACAAGCGACCATGCACTTCATTGTGATCGAAAAAGAGTATTAGGTCAACTCTTTAAAGAGAATACTGTCTTACAGTTTGAGCCGATCATTCGGGCCAATACTGAATCTCTATGTCAGCACTTCTCAGCCAGCTCAAGAAACCACCAGGCTCTAGAGCTACATACAGCTTTTGAGTGTTTTTCTTGTGATACTATTTCACAGTATGCATTTGGTCGCAAAGAATGATTCCACTACCTCGAACAGCCCGCTCTCTCAACGACTTGGAATAACCATATGACAAGGATATACGGCGCCAAGTCCAACTTATGGTTGACCAAAACAACAGCTACATGACAAAAGGCAAACTTACTAGCGTGTCAACGGAGAAGTTTGACTCCGAGAATATGGTCAATACAATTTATCGTGCAGTGCTGGCTGACCTTGCAGTTCCTTCTAGCGAAAATTCAGCAGGCCGATTGGAGGAGGATGCGCTATTTCTAATGATGGCTAGCATATACGCTCCTTCTCAGGCACTATCCATCACGATTTTTCGCATACTCAACAATTCTCAGCCTAAAATAAGGTTAAAACAGAGCTATTATCTGCTATAGATGTGAGTAACGCATCAACACTCGATATCTTGGACCGGCTTCCCTACCTGGTATGTTATTATCTTCCACCTTTCACCAGAATTGAAAAAAAAAAACAATATCTAGAAGAGCGCAACAATTCAAGAAAGACTTCGAATCTCTTCGATAGTGACCACCCGCCTTTCCCGGATGGCACCGGACGAGACTTTACAGTATAAGCAATGGCAAATCCCGGCTGGGGTTCGTACCTATATCAATCCTTCCCTCCAAGACTGAAGCCATGTCTAATATTCCGCAGACATTCGTGAGCACGTCAACGTATTTTATCCTGCGGGACCCGGAAATATTTCTCGAGCCCACCAAGTTCATACCCAAGCGTTGGTTGCTGTGTCCGGAAGAGCTCCAGCGCTTGCAGCGTTATCTCGTTCCGGCCTCGAAGGGCACACTAGGCTGTCTCGGACAAAAGTCAGTAACATTGCTGCCCCAAATTTGCCCATTCTATCACTGATCATCTAGTATGAACTCGGAATGGATGAAAATAATAATTGGAACACTCCTGCGCATATTCGACCTCGGTCTTCATGAGACCACAGAGAAGAACGTTGAGATGACACGGGACAATTTCATTAGACAGACGGATCGTGGCATGAATTTGGTGCAGGTCAAAGTCTTGGAGCAATACGCGACTCGATTTAGGAAGGGTTTGCCTGGGCTCCATCGACATGGATCAGTCTGAAATGATATTTTGTACCCAGTTATGGATAGCGCGAAGTCTCTCTCTTGCTGTAGCTGAAAGTGCTTCAATTGAGATGTTTCATTGGTTTGTTCTCAGTATATGCTCGTTCATCACGACAAGTGAGGATTTCTCATGTGAACCTGCAAGGTTACACTCTATGATGACTGCGATCGGGCCAATCCTTTCGGGGTGGACAACTGCTACACCCACGAGGCCCGCGCATACCATGAGCTACAAGATTTTCAAAACCAAGGGATGATTCCTAAATACTATGGGTCTTATTTCTTATCCCTTCCAGTGCCTACTGATACCGTGTACCCCTCGGTTCTTGGTAATAAAGTACGCCGTCATGTTCGAATGATTCTCATACAATACATCAAAGGAGCCTCGGTGTATGGGCTAGACCCTGCACATTTCTCACGCTCAGTTCGCAAGCAAATACTTCGCTCGATTGTCCAGCTCTGGAGCCAGGCTTATGAAAAGAGTGTCGTGTTAGCAGATCTCGCCCCACGCAATGTGTTGGTAATTGCATTGAATGGGAAACAACCACAGACAGTGTGTAGAGATTTTGGTGACGCTATTATTGACCACGACGCAAAGCCCCCCGACGCGCCTGGGTCCATATGTCTTTCCTTTCTCTTCTTGGAACTTCCACTTCATATATGAATTCTCCACCTGGACATCAGACTGGGAATGGAATCCGTGGTTGAAGGAAGAATTCGCCAACAACGAAAACAATAATCCCTCCCGGGATGCGGGATGTATGAATGGTCTTAGAGCGTTGGCCATATGGACGTGGTGACCGGATTACTGTATGAATTAAACTTGGCTATCAGTTACGCCTCGTATACTCCAGGCAGGTGACGGGACTCCATATTCGCGGTTCGCTCATTGTTTCTGCTAGTTCAGCAGTGTCAGACTATTATTATCAGTCTTCACCCTTCAAAACAAAGAAGTCACTGTGTTGTGGAAATAGCTTGAGAATGTCACTCTCATATGCCAATAGTAGTAGACCGCCGACTATAAACGAACTATAGCTAGGTACCACAGGCTCAAGTTGGTAGTAACCCGCGTTGAGTTCCAATGTTAGTTGTCTCAGGCAAGTGGGTGCCTCAGGCTCCAATGACTGACTTATAACTAGTTGATAGTACCAGCCACCCTTTCAACGTTCTTTGTCTCCAGAGTTTACGCATCTACCTAGATACGCCCTGACCTTTCATCATCTCTTTCCTTTACCTAGGAACCTGGTTGACATGGTGCTCAACAAGTGATATATTTGGTACCATGAGTTCTGAGAATCAAGGTATTTATATGTTAAGCAGCCCTAGAGAGCCACGGTAGCTCTACTAGAACGGAGACTAAGCGCTAGAGCGAGGCCTAAATCGTTCTGCTCGGCTCGACACATGTTCAATTTGATGATTCGCAGCTGTCACCACGCCTACCTAGGTATTTGAATACCCACCTGGGCAGGTGGGAAAACGAATGGAATGAGTGGGATTCGGAGATACATGCGAGTGGCACGGTATCTCAACTATTTTGAGTTATATTTATAATCTTGCCATGTTCGAAAGTTTCTAGTGCCTAGGTGCATTGTCATGAGTTTGCCTATCAGCTTCAACTTGAAGTTCAATTCGAACTTAACTTTATGGCCATGGAAGTTACATAAGGTACTACCACTAAGTACTACTAGTACCTAGGTAGTATTGGTAACCTTGGACTTCTGGAAGCTTGACTGTGCTACTAGTACGTACTAACTACTAGTCCTACGCAATAGCCTGGGTACAACTGCGCCGCAGTCCGGATTTTGGTTCGTGCTAGAATATTAGCCTAGTATCTCCATACTCAAATCGGTACCCCTTACTATCGGTTGACGCCTCCTAGCGAACCTTCGAAATCATCTAAGCGGACCACACTGGCAACTGTCGGTGGTGATACAATTCGGTGTGGAGATGATGGATGTATGGATCGGGTGATTGGCTTTGTCTACTGGTGAGGGCTGGTGCCTAGCCGGCGCTTCAGGCATCCAAGGCCGCCCCTTCCATGTTTAGATAGCTTCGTCTCTCTTCTCTCTCTCTCTCTCTCTATCTGATCACCAGTTCTGTGCCATCTACTTCCTCCTTAGTAGCACCCCCCGACATCTACAAAAGAGAGCCCAAGACTCGCCGCGAATAGCTGCATATCTCCAACCAGTCCAGGAATGCAAGGGAATGGCCCAATACTGTGGCTGCCCAAGATTTCGATTGACCAGGCAATATCTATGGTTGTGAGCATCCCTCAACTTGGGTACAGAAAAGAGTATCTGATTCCGCAATACACGAATGCTTGATTTATTACACCTAGACTAACCTTTTACTTCCCTGAAGAACCTGCAACTTCGCCGAAAGATGAAATGGATCCAAAAAGCACAGTTAAAAACGTGTCATGCCATGCATGGGAACAGTTTATGACATCACAAACAATGATATGTTCTTCAACGCTTCCCATTTCGATGCTGGACAACCTTTGTCAATTCTATCCCTGCCGAGACCACTGCACGTTGCTTCCTTGAATACTCTGGTTTATATACGAGGATGTTGAAATTCCGCTTGTCAACTTGAAGTGTCAACTTGAAGAATGGTGTCATCCACCTCGACCAGCCGAACCCTCGCAGTGAACTCTAAATTGCGATGGTCTGTTTGGCAAAATTTACTCGAGGACTTCAGGAACGAATCAAGGCTACCTGCTCTGTATATTGCTAGTAGGCCGGCTGAAATTACGTTGACACCAAAATTGTTAAGCTACTCAAGGTCGCTAACAAACACCGGCATGAGGTTGCCATCATACTCGTTTTCATGCTTGGCGAGCGTGGCCTGTCGTACAGAGGTCCTCCTGGTGTTCATTAATACGTCAAAGGGCCGAGCATGCTATGGCTAAACCCGGTCCTGTTATGAACGTCGATTCGCCAGCATATCTTCCAGATCATAGTGCAAGTTGAAATTGCATATGAAAAAGACGTGGATCTGGTAGATTTGGTGCCGCATAATACCATGCTTATTGGGCCGGATGGTGACCACCCACGGGTGGTATTTATCGACTTACCGACGCATATTTTCGATGCGACAGCCATTACTGGGATGGAAATCCATCTCTGAAACTTCACGGCCAGTACATGTCTCCTGGGTTGCAGTTGAAAGAAGGTCCGCGACTGGGATTGGAGAGATGGTTCGACTAGGAGTGGGACGCGTGGTTGGAAATGGACTCGGAGTTCGCCGAAAGTGGAAATACAATCACGACCGAGATGCGAGAGCACTGGTTGAGGAAGCAATAGTCCATTTATTGGTCAAAGATGGGCCTCAAAAATCATTCCATGATCGAGCAAGGAGTGGAAGCTTGATCCCAAGACCTAGCGATGAGGAAGCTGCTTGAATTCTACCGAGAATCATATAGCCAAGAATTTTGATAAAAATATACTTACTGATAGGAAATGAAAATGGAAGGTGCAGAAAGTAATGTATTCATACAAACTTGAAGTATCATAAGAAAATGCGTCACAACGGACGGGATATCTAGCAACAAAAGAGGAACCCAGCATCTGAGCCAGGAAAAGTAAAATCAAAAACAAGATATCATCCACGAAATGGGAGAATATGAAACAAAAGAGCAAAACAGTGTCTCTTGGTATATAATGCAAGCCCAAATATCCCATCTACAACTTCATGCCGAACATTTCATGCACCTTCAAACTCTGACGCATACTGAGATCAAGCATGATCTCTTCACTTCCACCAGGAATAGCATAAGCACGGACATCACGATAAAGACGCTCGACCTTACCACCCTGCCCGCCGCGACTATAACTCAGACCACCGAAGATCTGACTCGCCTCACGGGCACAGAACTCGAAGGTTTGAGTGGACTGCGCCTTCAGACCGGCAATGGCACCGCCAAGCTTCAGCATCGCCTCGGTCTCTTCCATGCACTGGCATTGGAAGATGATGTTCTCGAGCCAGTTGTAGGTGGCTTCGATTTGGCGGGCCATGTGTGCGAGCTTCATGCGAATGACCGGGTGGTCGATCAGACGTTTGCCGAAGGTTTTGCGCTTGTGGGCGTATTTGACGGATTCTTCGTAGCAGACGCGGGAGAAGCGGACGCATTGGATGACTATTCCGATACGTTCGTGGTTGAAGTTTGTCATGATGACTGTACCGAGCAAAATGTTAGTAAATATTTTATGCGTGTGAGAATATTCTGGGGATGAAGCCAAATCACTCACCCTTGAATCCTTGGTTCTCCTTGCCAATCAGGTTCTCGACGGGAACCTTGACGTCCTCGAAAGTCACGTAAGTGGTGCCACTGCTCAAGACACCCTGGCAGTCCATGCGGCGGGTACTAACACCACCAGCTTCGCGCTCAATGAGCAGGACACTGAGACCGTTCATGCCGGGCTTGCCAGTGCGCACAGCGGTGGTGAAGTAATCGGCCCAAATACCGTTGGTGATCCATTTCTTCTCACCGTTGACGATGTAGTGCTTGCCGTCCTCGGTGAGCTTGGCCTCGCAGCCCAGGCTGGCAACATCACTACCTCCATCGGGCTCGGTGATAGCCAAGCAAATCCGCTTGTCACCTGCAAGAATACCGGGCAGGATTCGGTCCACGAGCTCCTTCTTACCGAACTTGACCAGAGGCGGGCACCCGATGCCGTAACCGCCGACCAGGTTCCAAACCAGGCCACCGCTGCCAGCGCGGGACAGCTCATCGGTCAGCAGCATCTCGTGGAACAAGTCGTAGCGGTCCGGTGAGACCGCCTTGATGCGGTGGGGTGTGTGCTCGGCGGGGAATTCGCCTCCAAGCAGACCGGCCAGGTAACCGCGCTCACCCATCTGCTTATAAATGTGGGCGGGGACTTCCTTACCCTCATCCCACTCGTGGACGTAGGGCTCGATCTCGGACTCGACCCATTGGCGGACTTCGTCGCGGAGAGCGGCGTGGGTTTCGTTGAAGTAGGGAGAGGAGTACTGTGAACAACGAGAAATTGTTAGTTGGATGCGTCCCTTTTCAAGCGCGTCAACAACACAGCACTTACACCTTGGTACCATGAGGGATCGGCGAACGGGATCAGGTCACCGTAAGGGTCTTGCGGCGCGGCAGTGGCGGGACCCACGGAGGATGATTCGGAAGAAGACTCGGAGGGAGAGGGAGTGGCAGCTGGGGTCGGTGCAGGAGGAGCCGGAGCCGGAGCAGGCTCAGTGACCTTCTTGGTGTTCAGCGAACCAACCAGCAGCTGGCCCTTGTACTTTTTCAAAATCCCCTCATTGTGGTATTTCCAGAACTGTTTGGAAGCATCCTTGCCGGCGACACGTTGGAGAACTATGCACACAGTCAATATTGTCGATATCGCGAAACTCAAGGTCGCTTGTGATTATGACGTACTCTTCTTTCCACCTAAGCCATAATTTTGTTAGCATGTGATGCGAACCATGTGATCCATGTGATCCTGCAGTCATCGCGCACGAGCACACCCAGATCGAGGCGCCGGCGCAGGGTCGCAGGAATGTGGAACTTACCAGGGTGCTCATCTTGGAACTTGGAGACATCGTAGACATCCTCGTCAATGATGATCCATGGGGTATTGTCTTTTGTGTGGGAGGCCACATCCTCCTTGCTGAAAGTCTTCGCCATGGTCGGTAGAGTAGGGTAACGAGACGAATAAAGATAAGGCGAAAGTGGGTATCAAAAATGGAATGAATGAAAGTGAAAAAAAAGCTGGAGAGGGAGGGAAGATTCGTGGGGAAGGGAGAGCTAAAAAGGAAAAAAAAGAAGCAACTCCGGGGTAGATGGAGCACGCGCACAATTATATACCGGGGTTCAACCCCGAAACGTGGAAATGTCCGTCTTTTCAGGGTACAGGGCCTCGGACGAGATGCTCGTGCTGGATCGTGAAATCAGATCTTCAGCTGCTTTCCTCGGTCGCTAATGGGGTCGGTCATCGCCGTTTGCCAGCTCAGTGATTGGTTTAGACAGCGTCATCGTCATTTCGCGCCACAAAATGCCGAGGTCCTTGGCATTTATGCTTATGTAAGTCATATCTTTGACTGCATGTGAAGATCAGCAACTGTATGCAACATTCAACTTTGGTCATCTTCTCGGATCATTTGTGATTCGACCACTGGCATATTCCCTGGATTTGAGTCCAGTCGGGGAATATCCTGGAAATTACTGGTCTTGACCACCTACTGGTAGTTATGGACTTGCTGCACAAATTGATATCTCCCAATCCGTATACCTCATTCAATCAAGCTGAATGAACTTCAAGTTGCTTTTTTTGCCAGCTAATACCCCTTTCACTTGATAAAAAGGAGAGCGTTTGAAAAAGAACGGCTATCACCCGGGCAATTGATCAAATTTCCATTCCTATATTTCAGAACAATTTTACATTGTCTGCTTTGTTGCCATTGGATGCCGGGTAAACGCCCAGGCGTTCTTCATACGACAGTTGTAATTCTAACGAATATCATTGGAAATCTTGCACACCCAGGATAATCTCACCCAGATTTAAGGTAGTTGTAAGGTGACAGGGGCTGACCATCTTGAATCTATATACACCTAGCACCCCTAAGGTCTCCTCCATGCACCCCTGCGCCGGTAACATCCAATAGTCAGAAGATCCCTTCGTTGAATGCTTCAAAGTATTTTTGCAAGCACAGGGCTCCAGCCAGGATGGATTCGATCATTTGCTTGAATAGGGCAGGCATGAGGAGGATTGGCTGCTTGTGGATCATCGATCTCGACCAAGACATCTGCGAGATTCTCTTCACATGCCTTAGTGTCCGCCGATCTTCATTGTCCCAGTAGAGAGGTCTGTTCATACCAAATATTGAAAGCTTCTCATCACAGCCTGTCCATTTATTGATGTTGGTTTTGAAGCTGAGATCCAACGTTGTCCCACGAGTTTCCTGATATCATGATGTTTGTTCTTGCGAATTTGGTAGTTTCAATCGTGACAGACGTGATCTGGACCTGCGGACATTCACCTCATCTCATGCAATCCAAATCGTCTCTAGTTTCGGGTATGATATATGTTCGGCTCGAAGGTCGAGTTTGTACGTGAGGCGCAACGTGAGGATAAAATGGGGCATTTCGACATTGCAAACGTCAACTGTGCCTTTTCATTGCAATAGCCCTGGAGATTGAGGAAGACCGTTTTTCCTGCCTACCTAGGTAGAAAAGCTGTACATCAAGCCGCTAGCAGTCAAAATGAGAACCATAGGGCAATTTGTCTGCCTTTTCTTGTAGTTCGGAAGGAGCTGGCCCGGTGTGACTTTCGGTATATGTTAGCCTATGTACTGGTGACTGTCGAGAACATCATTCGGATAAACATACACACGCGCTGCCACCTTGACCTTCGCATTCACCTTGTTCCAAAGTTTGTTTTGCTGCTGCTGCTCTTTCAAGATGAAGGAAGTCGCGATGGTGAGGGTGCCAGTGAAGATGTTACTCTTGCGGAGGTCGGCAAGCTCGGGGATTTATGGCATATTAAAGAAAAAAGGATCACATGTGTTCGGTATGTTTCACTGATCCTGCTAATGGCTCATGATATGAGACCCCCCTAGGAAAAAAAGCAAAGAATGGTATTCAGGGAGTGACTGTGTCGATAGCATAAATCCACCCGGTGCCGATACAGCGGTCTCCGAAAAAATGTCAAAGGACCCCATTCAGCAAGCTCGCTAATCTGGCCGCCAGACGGAGGGTTGGTGTCGTTGATGAAGATGGCCTTGGAAAACTCGGCGCTGGTTGGGAGGAAGAGCGGTATTAGATCTCTGGCAGGTTACCCTCCAGGACAAGGAAGGCACGACCACCTCGCGAAAGATAAATTCAATACCTACTAGTAATAGTACTAAATTAATACTACTACGCAGCTGGAAGCCATATCGTATTACTCAATTACTATAGAAAAAGCGGCATTACAGATCAATATAGTGTTCTGCGCTCAGCCGCACTAATGGGGTGTTTCAAGTTGTTTGAATGGGTAGAGAACTGCACCTAAAGCTCTTAAAAGGATAAAATCTATTGAAGACTTGAACTATAACAATGAAATTTACAACATACTAGTATATCGTAAGTCAAAATGCACCATAAATTTGTAAAACAACACGCGCCGGCAATCAGCACAGTGCTACGGGTAGTAGTACTACAGCCCTGGAGAGCAATCCGAGCCCCCTCTAAACTTACTTTGCGATTGGTAAAACAAATTTAGAAGATAGTTAGAGCAAAGAGATAAATACTCAGATGAAGTAAATAAAAGCCTTTATGTTTCAGCAGCATGGATCGTATTCTGATTCAGGGCACTCCTATAAGCGAGATATAGGTCGGAAAACCGGGGACTTTTCGGTATTAATCATCCTGCCGCATGATACGCACCCAAAACAAACTGATGGCATAGTCCCGGGAAGGGCAGTCCACCAACAAACGGCACTCCACCCTGTGTGAAGCTCACGATACCACTCCATGAATAATCGACATTGTTTGCTGCACCTGGTTTCGGTTCTGCCGCAGCTTCATGGAAAAATCCCCTCGGATGCGCCTGCGCTGGCAGATCAGTCGTTCTATCGTTGGCTGTTGCTTGGCAGCCCTGGCCTGCACGGCTTATAGTGCCGGTGCAGTGCAGATGTTCCACTTGGACTTTTATTGCTAGGCTTGGTAGCAACCGGATGGGGAGAGTAGTACCGCAGCCCTTGCACATCAACATGGGCTTTCCAATATGGATTTCAGCTACCTGATAGTACTGCAACCAGATATGAGATGACAGCGCTTGTCGTCCCACACTTTTTCATCCTCGCTCTTCCCAATTGGCGTTCGAAACTTCCATCATAGAAGAAAGTCGAGCCTCGTCTCATCTGTGAACCAGATATATTTGGGATTCGGCGGACTCGTCAGAGATTCGGAATGGAAAGACAAAGGTCGAAAAGGAGATCCAGGCCGGTGTCCCACTTGGCTTAGAGAGTCCTCGGGCACAATGCTACCAGCGTCAAGATCAGAAGAAGATGGATCACCTGAATCACCCGCATGATAGTGCTGGAGGGCATCAAGTGATTTTGTAAAGGTCTTATGACCAAGCATGATAAAGACTGGGCGATTGACTGGTGAAGAAGGATTATTGAATTGCATGTAAGAGTGGGGAGAAATCGCGTAGAGAATTTGCAAGTGTGAAATGATCGTCGTTTTAGCCCAGCCACTAGTAGTAAGTTTGGTTGTTTTGAATAAGCCTGTGCATGGGTAAATGTTTAATCCCATGCGTCTCATATGCACATGTAGTTGTAAAACTGAGAGATCCACTTAGGCAAACGGGTACCTATGCTTGCGGTCCGGGTATGGGTACCCAAACCCAAAACGCACGGCCCGCAGAGCGGGAGATTCGATCTCCACACGGAGGCTAGTAGCTTTTCATACCTCGGCATCAATATCTATAGTAACTGAGGACAGTGAGGTGATAATACTCGGATGGAAGGAATGAAGCCAAAAGGCTGGATGGATGGTGGGAGAAAGGGGAATTTCTCTCATCAACATGCCTAGCAACGCGCAAACGAGGCCTCCACCGACCGACGTTGCACAACAAACGAAGAGATGAAAACGAAAACATTCACGTATAGGCTGACAAAGCCGCAGGCCTGGGGCCCGTAGGGATATGCTCTAAGTAATAATTAGACACGGAGTTTGCCCACTCACACTACCTAGGGGTGTAGAGCCTCAGGCACAACATCAGGCATTCACATGTCGCCTTCCTGGGCCACAGACACTCTCACTTTCTGTCCGTTTCAACAAGATATACGCATATACGCACCACCATCTCCTGGCTTCCATCCTCCATAACACCCGAGTAATAAAATACGCAAAAATATAACAGGTAGTAGAATCCGACCGCCTTGGTCTCCAGGTTAAGGGAAATATAACATCGCATGAAAAATCCAGATCTTGGCAATGTTGAATAAGTGATGCCCATTCAGTGTACCGACCCATAGACAGGTCTAGCCCCAGAATGTTTCCGTTCAAGTCGCCATGAAGTAGGTGAATGGAATCGCCGTGGTTCAAATTGACCAGCTAGATCGTTAGCAGCCTTATACATACCCATACCAGGAAAGGAAAGGATCTTCGACTTTCCACTTGTGGTATGTGCATTGTAGCCACAAGGTTTACCAGCAGTGTCAGCACAACAGCGGTGACTCCAGGATACTAATATAAATTCTGACATTTGCCTTCCTATGGATTGATCCACTCGATATTCCACACCGTTCTCACAAGATCATATTTCGTCAAGATGCAGCTCCTATGCGCGTCATCTCTCTTCCTGCTCGCAACCTCTGTGTCTGCAAAGGCATGGAACGTGAACATCTACAGCGACTCCAATTGCAAGAACTACATTAGCTCCTGGCACGACACCGCAAACCCCTGGACCTTTGGCTACAGCTATGGAATTCACTGTGCGAAGGTTACCAATGGCCCTGATTATGGCTGGTGCCAATTCTGGGCCGATGATAACTGCTCGGAGGACATCGGAAACGACAGCCGCGTCAGCCCTGGTGGTCAGGTCACCACGCAGGGATATTTGGAGATTAAGTGCTGGACTTGCAAGACCAATTCATAAACTCTCGCATGAATCGATTTTGGAGTGCCTAAAGAGTCGCAGGTCGACATTGTTAGTACCCCTTTTCTGGTCAATGAGGTGTGTTATCAAGATCTTTTAGCTAACTCTATGTGTCTAAAGATGGCTTTGAAATTTCACATGTCGGGTTTAGGTCGCAGTACCAGTGATAGAGTCCAGTTTATCATGTTGCGAAATTTAAAATTGAATTGTGTCTTACTCAGGACGACGTCCCATGTTCAATACAGTCTTCACTGTATTCCAGAGTTCGATCCCTTTACTATTCGAATGCCATGTCACCATGAATTTACGTGGTTTGAAGTGAAGTAGCCAACAAGTCGGGGTATTCCTCAAATATAACAGCCGCATCAAAGGACATTTTATCGTCTCATCGTAGATTGAGTTGTGATCAATCTATCCACATTCCCCACTCAGCATGATCCGTCAAATCTCGAAGTTCTCCACGTGCAGATAAATGCCTTGCGCGCCTGTCCCTTTATGTACGGCGCGCTCGTCACTTAGAGCAACAACACTCAGCCGAACATCATCGGCTAAACCAGGAGGTCCACAGACTATCACGGCACTTTCACCTTCGGCCCTCTCAAGTGATTTCCGGATGATCATGTGTGAGGAAGGACGTCCAAAATGAATAGTAGGACTTGTGTTTGTATTTGATAGGAGTAGTTGTGTTGATTCTGCTGCGGAATGACCAGAGTCCGAGCCAATATGTTCCTGTTCGGGCGCTGAGATGGAGCGATTGCCTGTGTTTGGATGTTCTTCTTGCTGTATTACTGTTGGCCGTTCGCAGTCGTGTTCCTCGCAGTCTGGTTCTCTCTCCTTTTCCGGACTCATGGTTTTGACTGAATCATTTTGGGAATGTGTCGTTAGATCGAACAATTCAATATGTGTTTGGGAGTTTTCATGTCTGGGGTCGTCGTGTGGTGATGGGGCGATGTGAGAATTTTTGTCACGCGTCACATGGATGCTCATCTCAATCTCTTTATTGAATTCGGGGTTCAGGCGTCGACATTCGTTGAAATCAGTTAACACAGTGCGAATCTGAGACTCAAATATCCCCATCTCTGGGCGAGACTTCACGGCCCAAATGAACCGAATACGATCAGTCGCGGAGAGTCGATTTCCTGGTGTGTGGTACTCCTCGCCTTGCTCACTTTTCCATGCTGAAACAATGTCGCGAAGTAAAGGTACCACAAACGTTGCACCCATCCCGCCCGCGAAGAGTACCACGCTGTTAAATTGTCGCAGAGGCCTATGGGTGCCGTAGGGACCTTCTATAAACATAGGGCCACATCGGACATCATGATCCGCTTCAATTGATCTCCCTTTCTTAGCAATGGCTTCAAATCCTCTAGTTCCTCCACCTCGTCTGCGGATAAAGAAATCCATTCTCCCATCCTCAGGCAGAGACGCAATGGTAAACGGATGACTCTGAAATAGGGCAATACGGTGACATGTTAACAATATGTGTTGACCAGGCTTCCATACAATCCCGGGATTGTTAAGAGTGACCCGTGTCACGTTGCCAGGAAACGGGGTAAGAGTCGCGTAGTGAGGGAAGAGCGAGAACCTAGATATCTTGCCGTGAAAAATCCCGATATTGGCGTACGCGCCCCACGCATACCGTACAACGCGATCAAAGACAGCCAGTGCGATGGGAATCCAGACCCAGATTTTGACTTCAGTGGGTGCATGCATCCATATCGCAACAATGAAGCCGACGAAACTGACCAGATGTTGCAGAAGAAAGATCTCGTAGCTTAGCTTTCGGACCGGAGCTGACGAGGAGATAACAATGAAGGTAAGGATGCACCAGGCAGCAAAGCCGCGTTTTGTCAGTGGATCATGTGTAAGTTGATAAGCGATATAGTCGTATCGGCCCCAGTCGTGAAACCAAAAGCCCATGTGAATCGTCGAGGTCAGCCATAATGTCCGAGCCGCCCACCGATGGAACCAGTTCAAGCGGGCATAGCTCATGTCTACCAAGTAGCCGATGATGTTGCGACGCCCGGCCAAGAGAAATATCAACGGGAGCTGGCATATGGAGATGAAACCTGTTCGGTAGCCGACATTTTCCCATTCCCAGACATCTGAAGTGTCTAGGCCGTAGAAGCAGAGGACTAGAACAGTCACCAGGTTGGCGAGAATGATCAATATCGGTCCCAGTGGTGGAAAGTGAATGGTGAGTGGCCCCAGTGGAACTGGAGAAAAACCGACATAGCTAATCTCCCGGAATGTCGCGGTGGCTGTGGCATAGGCCCTTAGAAAGACCGACTTTGGCTTAGCTGGTGTGGAAGACGGGTCCCGTAGTCTAGACAGTCAGACAATAACTCGGAAGACTTGATAGATACTAGTCAATGATTACCTGTTTTGATAAAGGAGCCGATTGACTAAATTCACGATTGTTGCAACACCGATTACACTGCCGACGACTGCCCAGTATGTTTGCTGCAGGGCAAACATGCTAGGTACGCCGTTGCCGATGGACATGGACCCCATCGACATGCCACCCATTGACGACATTGTAGCTCAGATGAGATGTGGTATTCCTTCGAGGGGATATAGAAAGAGAAATAGAAAGCAAAGGAAGAAAGAGAATAGGCAAAGGCCAAGCCACCTGGCGGCGTATTGAGGGCCTTCCTAATCGGGACGGGTGACCATGTGGCAGACCCGCCACTGTTTCTGCTTAGCAAGAATGCCCTCACTTCGAATCCGATCATTCCAACTTGTCCGACTCAAACTCCACCATCGGCTTCTCCCCATTATTTCTATCTTCCACCTTTCATCTACTCTCGACCCTATCCCGATTGTGCAGCCACCTTCACCATGGATCACTCCATGGACGGAATGGACATGTCCTCAACCTCAAGCTCTAGCTCCTCAATGACTATGCCAATGGTATTCTCTAACTCGCATACGACATCCTTATTCTCAAACGACTGGACACCGAACTCTTCTGGTGCCTACGCGGGAACATGTATTTTCCTTATACTTCTCGCCATCATTGATCGGAGTCTCTTCGCCTTGAAAGCCGTCATGGAACGACGTTGGCGGGCTGCCTATCTCAATCGGCGGTATATTGCAATTGCAGGAAGGACTAGTGAAGCCGGGAGGATTGAGGCTGACCCCAATGCGAAACTTTCTACACTCATCAGCGCATGCGGTATTGAAGAAAATGTCAAGGTCGTGCATAATGTTGGCGATGGGTCGATACCGTGGCGGTTCAGTGTTGATTTTCCACGGGCAGGACTTGTTCTCTGCATTGTTGGTGTATCTTATCTATTGTAAGTTTCCTGATTCTTTTTTGAGTATCGCGCTATAAGGCTATGCTAATCACGATCTCCACAGAATGCTCGCCGTCATGACCCAAAATATCGGGTATTTCTGTTCTGTCCTGACGGGTACTTTTCTGGGGGAACTGGCTGTTGGGCGATACATCACCGGGAATGACCACCCGCACTGAATCTCCATACCTTTCGTTTTATTCCAATTTTTCCTCCCATTTCGATGCAAGCATCACTCAATCCGAGTGCCAAGACCCAATACTACTCTAATCTATACGGATGACTCAGCTATGCGCATAAATGAGCGAATAAACTAACCGAACCCAGCCTAGCGTGATTCTCCAGGGTTTATAGCGCTAAACCCAATGCGGCGACTCCTTCTCCCCTGCCTCAACGCCATGGTCATCCATCAGAAGGAGGCAGACGGAAGCCTGTAGCATTCGATCTAATTTGTGGCGGTTCGTGTTTCGCTGGTAACACATGACGCTTGTAGGGCGTAGGGCATAGTGTGCACGAGCCGTTTGAATCGAAAACCCGACGCGTTTTCCAACTCCCCCACATTTGTTGACTTTCGCATTTCGTATCCAAGCCAGAAGAACTAAAACTATTCAATTAGTCCCCCGCCAGGAAATCTTTCACATGGACAACGCCCAACGCCACCACGGGCTCGTCAAACGCTTTGTGCCCACGATAACGAACCAGAATGCGGGGCAGCAGCCCGAGCCGTCCGCGAAGGATGTCCTCATCGCGACGCGTATCCGCCTTGTATCGGAAGATCAACTCACATCTGGATTTGTCCCTGCGGTTCTTACTTGACAAACTGATTCTGGTGCTGTGGGTCTTTACGAGTTGAAGAGTGCCGTTCGGGGGTTGCTGACTTTGAATGTGAGGAGTTGTGAGTAGTACTCCACTCCTTCAAGTAATAATCTGCTCGCTCGGCGACTATGCCCAGGTGCCAAGCATATATCGACCTCCCAAGGAATTTTGGTCAGGGCTTACGCCGGTCTAACCGATTCAGTCATCATGATTCGACCCGGCGAGATGTACGGTGTCAATTCTACTACGGACGCCCTACCTAGGTATACAAGGACATGGTGTATCCACTTCTGCCCTGGATGTGGGACAGTAGTGTGGGAACACTCTTCGCCTACAGAAAAACAGGGTCTGGCAATATATTCAGCATTACCCGGCTGGAACGACTGTCCCAGACGCTCTGTTGAATGGGTCCCTACCTGGAGAGATGGGTCCACATCTCCATTTTTGAGCCGGCTGGAAACACTGCACGAGGTCTGATTTCCTCCATGAGATCAGGATATCAGCATCAGCGGTTAATGACCTTCCAAATTCGTGCTAAGTGGACAGACCTCCTCCTTGCCAGCCAAAGGACCGGCACCGGTACTGCACGATAAGTCCCATCGCCCGAGGACCCTTTTGGCGACGTGCAGCCAACAAATACCTTTTAACCTGAAGGTACTTTCACCGGTGAACCTCAGGTTCTCTAACTGATTGAACGAACCCCCATAACCCGCAAGACAGCATCGACGGAGAAAAACAATGGGCTCGGACCCATGCCGTGTGCAGCCTTCGGATCGTGAACCTCTCGCCCGATGCCATGGAAGATATGGATACCTGTATCTCATCGATCCAGCCGGGTCCGAGGCCGCCCGCGATATTCTAGAGCACGGAGCCGACCGGATGAAAGATATCCATGAAATCAACATTAGTCTTTCCTTTCTCCAATAGTATATCTGGATTATCGCGGATGTAGGTAGGTTCCTCTAAATGGTTGAAGAACTCTATGGTCCCGTCTCACCAAGGTACATTGACAAAGACTCTCAAACACCTGCTTGAACCATCTGGAGCCCAGAAGTGCAAGACTGCCGTTCCGACGTGCGGGAATCCTATTTTTCTAGACACGGCTGTAACGAAAAATTCTCTTCGATACGCAGAGATGCTCTTAGCTGCGCCTCCAACGAATAATCTACCTCCCTTGGTATAAACCGAATTTCCGAATGATCTGGACAAATGAGGATGCCCGCCATTACATTCAAGTAAATAAGGGATATTCTTAGCTCTGTTTTTAATATTTCTTCAAAGGAGAACCTTGCAAACTAATACTATTCCTCCCACTGACTCTAGTCACTCTGGTAGCCCCTTCAAACTTCTCCGAAGAGAAACTGGAGCCCAGCGCCTCCATCTACCTGTCGATGAGATTGTATCACGATCCATGCGGGCACCCGGTGTAATCGAAGAGCTTGCCGATGCATTCCATCTCAAGCGGTGGACATTGCATTTCGATTCGCAGCGCGAGGTGTTTATAAGACTATCATGACACAAAGCATGAGGTCGGATTCATAGGACACTCTTTCGTCAACTTTGTCAGGTTGAGTTCCCTTGGGAAAACCAGGAATTTCATTCACCGATAGAATCTGCCTAGGAATAGCACTACTGTAGAATCCACCATCCCGCCAGGAATGTCTGAATATAGCGGTTCTCCTTTGCTTTTTTCACGCCTGTAGTGGGAACATGAATGGCGTTACTGGCGATAAGGCAGAGTCTTCTCGCAACGGACAGAGAAGGTTTCTTTGCACGTTGGCTTCGGTCGATACGATGGGCCAGTCTTATGAAGTACATCTGTGGCGTCAGGCTGTTGTTCCAGTGCAGCGTACGCTATCCGAAGCTGTGCTGGAGTATGGTGCCGCGACGAGATATTACTATGTTAGTGCCTGAACTAGAACTGGGTGAGCAGTAACAAATAGAGGGAATGAATCATGTCGCGTATAAAGTCTCATACGAGACAAATGTGAGCATTGAAACTGTCTATGGCGTTGCGCAGTATTGAGCAAATTAACGCAGTGGCTTGCCCCGCCAGAAGTAGTGTGAAGCAACTTGCAAAACCCTCCAAGTTCCCTCGGGGTCTCCTACTTCCATGGTTCTTCCCTCGTGGCTTCCCCCACAGTTTCCACTGTTGAGGTTGTTCTTTTTCTTTTTTTTCTTATTATTTTCTCTCTGTCAGGGTCCACCCAAAAATGGAAGTCGCTCTTTAAGATCAAGGACATCTTACAAATACACCACTCTCCCCTCCTCGCCCACATCCTCTATTGCCTATAAAGTTCCTACCTAGGTATCAATTGAAGTATCCACTACGGCCACAATGAAAATCGAAACCCTGACCCTCCTCGCTCTGGCCAGTACAGCCACTGCGCACTTCCATCTCGTCTCACCACCATCTCGCGGGTTCAATGCAGACACAATGTCCAATTTTCCCTGTGGCGGTCTATCCCAAATGACCGACAGAGCAAAGGTTCCCCTCTCAGGCTCAATTCCCATCGACCTGAAGCTAGGCCACACCCAAACAGCTTTAACCGTCCTCCTCGGCCTGGGAAATGACCCGGACACAAACTACAATATCACCCTCCACCCAACCTTCGGTGTGCAGGGTGCCGGTGAATTCTGCCTTGCAGATGTTGAGTACAATGCAAAGATTCTTGGCGTGAATGTCGTCAATGGTATGAATGCGACCCTGCAGGTGCAGTCGAATGGCGATCCTTCGGGTGGTCTTTATGCGGTAGGCCTTCCGGCTTTACTCCTCAGTTTGATCGTTTTGATGTTATTGCAATGAGGCTAATGTCTTTTCTATTCAGTGCGCCGATATTCAGTTTGTTTCGAACGCTACCCTCGACAAGTCCTCTTGCTCCAATGATACCAAGCTCCAGGCCGTTGATTTTACGGGCGACTCGGCCAAACGCACGGCGAATGTCTCTACTGCCTCGGGTACTGCACAGGGATCTGGGTCCAGTTCCAAAGAAAATAGTGGACAAGGATTGGAACTTGCTTCGTGGGGTGTTTTCGGTGCGGCCTTGCTGGGTGCTTTTGCGCTCATATAGGCCTGCGTGGTTACTATGCTTGCTCAGCTACTCCAGGTCTGAGCTTCCAACTTGGTTCCAATGTTTTTTCACACATTTGGCGCAGATCTGGGTTCGATTTGCTATGAAATATGGAGTTATTCCAAGTCTTATATCGCCGTCGTAACTATCTTTCTTAGTCTGCGAATACTCCCGACATTTCCAAAGCGTCATCAGCCTTGCACCGATAATTATCTAGCTTGAATAATGAACAACCTTGGAATCTCTCACATGGATGTGTCAAAATTGGAATACTGTTTGCTATGAGCAGTAGTCTTCACTGCACATTTCTTGCAACTCATTTGGTCCTAAATGCCCCGGCATCGCCGTCTCGTCCACTTTGGTGCTTGGTCCAAGGCTTAGCCCACGTTATGCTTCCCGGTCTTGGCCCTTCATCGCCCCTGGTTGCTGCGCTGAGGTTGATGCCCAAGGCGGTTTTGGGGCAGTTTTGGCCCTTGGTGAGGCTCAATTTTCATGCTGTGTTACACAGTGCATCCACCTATATTCATCATGATTGGCTCCTTGTAAGAGGCGGTGGAAAATGTTTGCGTTGCAACCGAGGTGGCTGTGCCGGGCTGCCTCAGATGGGCATGCCGATTGGGCAAATCAGCTCGCATCTGTACACACCTCACATTCAATTGACTGAGCATTTCTACGTCAAGCCACACTGCAAACCCCGCTGCGAGTGCCAGTTATGTCCGTGCACTCGCTACCTGTGTAGCTGGGTGTTTGATTCATGATCATAAATTCCACATGTCCAAGTCCCAAACCTTGGAAACTCGAATCTTATATTAAACCCCATATTTGTAAGCTGATTACTACAATGGCCAAAGATCTACCAGATCCATCTGCATTTACAGTGATCGGATCGACTCAACTTTGGTCGAACCATGACCTCGTGAACACGGATGAGACAGATCGGCCCGAGATATCGCATATTCTTCCTTGGTCTCCGGCCGATACTCGCAGCCCCGTTCGAGCTGTTCAGATTAGTAATGCCCATTCACGGTTATCCTCGCAAGTGGAGTTCCGCGATCGCCCACCCATGGGGTAAGTGCCCTACCGGACCAGCACAGAATGTGGTTCCCCGGTTAATCAGGCAAACAAAGAAATGAGCTCCAGGGACACCTTCGGTGCGAATGGAGAGGCTGTGCCAACAGCTCTGGCTTCTCTAATGTGGCTTGTTTGAGAAGACATATTTTAACCCAACATGTGGACCGTGGGCAGTTTAGATGTTCTTATCCAAAATGCAGCCGCGCTTTCAACCGAAAGGATAATCTGAGATCACATATCGCCTTGTGTCATTCTGCTGAGGAAAGCTCAAGTTCAATGGAGCTCGATGCTATCTCTCCTCATTCTGCCCAGTATGAGAAAGCAAGACCTCAAGACGGAAACGATCTAACACAGACAACACAAATCCGACTTCACGAAAGGCCTAACAACGCATTCGATCAGACCATGGAGCCGAATGAATTGGGACAAGCACAAACCCAACCTTCAGGTCTATACCCAAAGGATAGTCATAAAACATCCCAAGAATCGTCTTCCCAAACAGAAGTGTCCCGGTTCATCCCTCTAAGTAATTATCCTGCCGAGTCTCCCATTTTCGAGCACCGTGCAACTTCTGGCGGTGTCAACTTGTGCAACGATGTTGAAGGACGTCCTCCAAGAAGTCTTGGGCACATCCTGGACCCTGCCTCGCACTATGGAAAGCTAGAGAGACTCGAGGTAGATACGGCGGATATGTGTGGCATGGGCTCCGGCCCTGACCTAGAGGAACTTTGTGAGAGTGAGTATATAAATATGATCAATAATTCAGCCGATGCAGTTCGTCGTCTAAGATCAGAAGGACTCTGTGGGGATCAATTTTCCATACTTGTCGAGACCTCCCCTTGCTCTAATATTGCCAAGGTGATTCACGTCTCTCTGCATGACATCGAACTATTGACATCCTCCTGTTCCCAGGGCTCTCTGGGAGAGGTAATATCTTTTCTTTCTGTGATGTTTGGACATGATCTATTGGATCGGCAAGTGTCTGATCATCTAGCCCTTTTAAAGACACTCACCAGAGTTCTTTCCATCGGTCTTGTCTCTTTTTCTGGATCCCATGTTTGCGCATTTGATGTCAACCTATGGGGACGCTCACTGGAAAGTATCTATGTTGGATTTGGATATTCCTACCGACCACGCAAGCTGGCATGCCTTGATAAATATCTTAAAGGTCCCTGTTGGGTTCTAGGGACTACAGGGGACGGTTTTAATGAAGGGAGTCTCAAAATATCATTGAGGCTTCAGGATCTTCAAGAACTTTGGGGCCCCGTCCAGCTTGTTGGAGGAACTCCCATGAAGGCGCCACTTCTGCGAACTCAAAGGGGGTTCATTGTTCCTCTTCCCAAAGAGTACCAAAGTTCGCCGCATGGAATAAATTGCCATTGGACTGAAGATGTCCCAGACTACGTGGAAGAACAAGACCATATCTGGCTGGACAATACGTCGCTCATTATAATTGGAACCGATACGAAATCTCACGCGGTGATCACTGTCAATCCACGATGCAAATCAAAAATCCCTCGGGTAGAGGAAAGGGTGTCCTACAATTTTGGATATCTTGGTACGCGCAAGAACTACAGTACAATGGAAGGTTATAACGTTTCGGCTGGTATGGGCTACGGTGGATCCGGTGTTGGCGTCAGCCAGACGTTCAGACGCCGTAATGAAGTCACGTTGAAAGACAACATCATATGGCAATTCCAACAGTCCTATCCCGATTTTGAGGAATTTCTTCACCTTCAGGTCGGGCTCGAAATCAGCCTTTGCACTGGCAATGCTCGCAGAGTAAGCCTTTGGGAAGCTATACGACTTTATCATATCGAAAGGCGAGGCATTGATCCAGCGGGATGTGAACATTCAATTGCAGATCCAGAATGCGCCCGATCATGCTGGCTCCGGGAATATCGTGATACATTGAACTCATCCATCAATGTCAACTCTTCCTGTCGTTCAGTGGATATAACCACTGTCCAAACATTGCTACCAGACGTGCCCTTTGATCTCAAATTCTTTCGAGAACTGATGATCAGAACAGTGATGCAATTGAAGGACACGGGAATTGACCATGAGGGGCATCTCGGAGCCTGTTGGCCTTTCTCCCATCCCGCAATGATTCATCAGATGAAGACAAATAAGATCAACAGGTGGATCAGTATTCTATCGGACTCTCTTGATATAGCCACCTTCGCAGTTGTCACCTCGCGTTGTTTGGGGTTCGAAAAGGATAAATTCCCACATGAATGGAAGCCATGTTCGCAATCAAGCAACGAGCTAAGCCAAATCAACTGTCTATCAACAACAGTTCTCCAACGCCCGCTTTCCGAAGACGAAGAGCGATTAAAACGACGAAAAGTTGGACTTTTGACTTCTTCTTCGGGCTGTGACTCGGACTACCTCATTGCAGGAACAGCATTTCGTTTAGCGGAGAAACAACTCTGCATCAAAAGGTTCTGGCGAGAAAACGAGGCCCAGAGGATGATTGCTCACCCGTTTGCGGGTCATTATATTCGCGAGGTGGTTACTAGTATGGGATGGTCATCAGCAATTGATTTCAAAGAACAGATTAATCCTGACCTTAAGGGGAGTGAGCCAATTAACTTGGTTATCTTACCGAGGCCCTCAGGGTGATAATCAAGTAGTGTAATGGGGATTTCGGTCTCAACATCGGGGTCAGGTGACTGGGGCCTTAGCAACAAGGCTGCCATTTAGTTTCGAGGAAATAAGTAGCGTTCGTTCCCTAGTATCAATATAAAGAGGCATGTTCCCCTTTTCGAAAATACTCTACGGAGGCTGCTAAGGTTACAGTATCGATATACTGCCTAAGAGAAGTTCTGTCATTCGTTCGATTGTTCCTCTATAGCGTCACGCTCCGTCTACTACTCTCCTGCACTCTTCGAGTGGTGGTTTTGTCCTCTTGTGATCGACCCGTCTGCTTGACAGACAGCCAGCGAGCATTCCCATCTTTCAGTAGGTAGATCGTAAATTAGGGCAACTTTGTTACCAACTGGTTCCACATCAATGCCGACCAAGTCGGTCATAGTCATTCTCGATCTCATGGTCTTAATATATGGTAAATTTTGTGATCCAAGTACGTGTCAACATGGGACGTTTATCTTTCTCATATCAATGCGTTTTGTATGTCTCGAACCGAGGGCCGCTGTTGTTTCATTGGTGCGCCTCAGGCATCAAAGGTGCCTGCCATTCCACGGACACAGCCATTTGCTCTCTTTCTCTCACCCACTACCTCCCATCAACTCTAACAGCAAAGATCAAACTAGTAGCCATGCGATGCCTTGGAATGGATGAGATTGATCCTAGCATCCACAGAAGCTAGGCTACTACTTACAACCATCGCGAGTAGCGAACAGCTGAGGACGGCTTGGAAAATGTCCAAGAAGACCGCTTTTACCGCTACCCAGCATCCATCTACAGCCGAGACAAAACGTACGATCCATACGGAAGGCCCAGAGATCCGTCAATACCGCGGCTTTGGTCCGCAGCTGTAATTCCGTTGGTAAACCTGACTGAACCCCGAACATTGAAGCAGTGGAGAGCAAACCCCGAACGACCTTATCAATCAAAGGTGCGAGGGGGCCTAGAAATCGAACCCAGTTCTTTTCTGCCATTATTTGAGCTGGAAACCCATTCAGGATGAGTATCGAATACGCGCTATCACGTGGAAGTCGGGTCCTTGTGACAGGTGCCAACGGCTATATCGCCTCGCATGTTGTCGACCAATTACTCGGTCCTGGATACATTGTCCGGGGAACTGTTCGCTCCCCAAAGGCCTGGCTGGATGAATATCACGAAGGGAAATAATGACCGGGTGCTTTCGAAACGGTCGTCTTGTCTCCGTTTGAGGATCAAGTCGCGGTCGACACTTCATTAGACGGAGTGAATGCGGTCATTCATCTGATACGTACCATTTTGAGCAAATTTGACGTTTAACTTCAAACGGAGTCGCAATCATCATACTAAACACTCTAGGCGTCTGATTTGAGCTTTGGGACCGATCCCAATCCGGTGATACCTTGGGTTGTCCACGCGACACTGAACATCCTAGTGACCACCTCACGGAAGCCCTCGATCAAAAGAGTGGTGTTGACATCGTCTTCGAGCTCCACATATTCTTTGACATCGGAGCTAAACAGACGCGAGCTTTACGCTGGTCAGCCAAAGACAGACCTAGTGCGAAGAGTGCTTGTTCAACTGCTAAGAACAATGCCAGATACTTGGAACGATGCCGCCGTAAAGGCTGCATAGGATGATGATACCCCACAAGGAGAAAAGGGGGTCGCAGTATACGCAGCATCGAAAACCGAAGGAGAAAAGCAGTCATAGAACTGGGTTAACTCGCATCGACCTCCTTTTGAGTTTAATACAGTCTTGCCATGCTTTATGGTTGTTGTACTAGTCGTGTCGCTATCTGTGTGGCCCACTGATTTTCCTAGGTCGGTAAGATACTTCACCAAGAGATCCCCGGCTCGACGATGGGCTGGGTTCGGAAATTGCTCCAAGGTGACGCAACCGCATTTTCGCGGTTTCCCGAACGTACGTCTATTTCCAGCACTCTAATTTGTTACATTTCTTTTGTTTTGGCGATGAAAGATTTTAATGATGTATGTCGCCCTTTAGAATGGTATGTTGATGTCGAAGATACTGCTCGACTCTGCGTGCTTGGTCTACTTGACCCGATCGTCAAGTCTGAACGAATCTTTGCGTTTGGAGAACAAACAAAGTGGACGAATACTGTGAAGATGCTTCGCGAACTGCGACCCGAAAACACCCTCATTCCGAATGCACCTGAACATGAGATACGGGATCGGACTAACGTCATTCCTCGTGCAAGGGCTCGTGATTTGCTTGAAGCATTTTACGGTCAATCTGATTTCACTTCGGTAAAGGATAGTCTAGAGAAATGTATCGAGGGTTATTGATTGCACTTGGGTTTTTCATTTATGTTGCAGAATTGGTCTCTGGGGCGGAGATGAACGAGCGAAGTCTCAGTAAGTAAGTGGAATATTCACGAATATTCAATACTTCTATAGTTCAAATGGGCCGGCAAGTAGCTATTCTACGCTATCTCAGTTCCATGCCCTTTGAAAGAGAATGAAGTCAATTGAAAATTTGCATTATGACCAATATTAGCCCCATGCAAATATCGTTGCAAAGGCGCCGCGGTAGAAAGTTTTTAATCCATGGATAAAGGTCCGGACTTCAATAAGATAAATGTCTTTTAATATCATGGATTTGATGCCCATCAACCTCCAGAGAGTTTGTTCTAGGTGATGTGCCTATAGGCTTGAGCGATCGTGGCTTTCGTTGCGGAACGTGGTGTGTGTTTTCCAGTAGGCCTGGAGCAACATTACTAATTCCGTTATGGCACATAGCTGCATAGTGCCAACTTCTGCAACAAATCTTTGTGTTTCAATTCGCCCTAAAGCGATGCTTGTCCATCAGGATTCGTGAAAGAGTAATCTAGATTTATGCTTAATTTCGGAGATTTATGCATCCTGCACGGCTCGCCGTAGGACCTTGGAGCATTCAGATGGCCTCCGAGTCAGCCATAATCTCTTTTGGGAGGCAAATTTATCTGCCAATCACGGGCTCTGGATATTATCCACCCCAGTTATCAAGTTTCATATTTTGCGGTACAATAACTGAGTCAGTTTAGCGTCTAAGCCGTTAAAATCAGAGCTGCAGGCAAGTTAATGTGGGGCGGCCAAGAGTTTTGACATTCCGAGGTCCGAACCAACTTGTTGCTCGGCTCAACAGGCAGCCGAGATAGCCTCATCCCCTACTGCATCGTCAATTTACGACTTGTCTCACTATTTGTCTCACCATGGATCAATTTGAAAAGCTTCGCCCTGTTGGTGAGTCTTGTGATAGTATCTCAACCACTCTCGGGGCATGTAATTGACCTCCTGCAGGGAGGCTGGAAAAATACTCCACCGCGCGTCATCAGATTGGCTTCTATCTGAATCTCGCCGTAGCAGCAACATACAAGCTACCGAAGAGTTTCACATTGCCAGTCGAGGACTATGTACTCCGGGCATTGGCATCAGTCATCGCACAGCATCCCTCGCTCTCCGCCATCCCAGCGGCTGACGAAACACAAGACCCTTATTTCGTACGCCTCCCCACCATCGACCTGGATAAGGTAGTACAATTTACGCAGCGAGAATACGGCATCCCAAAAGATGCGCCTCTTGAAAGCGGCGAAACTTCCCCGGATCTCGATCTTGAGGTTCTTCTTCAGAAAGAACACAACACGCCTTTCGTTGCGCCTAATCCCTATTGGCGACTGCACGTACTTGTCGACAAACAAGACAAGCACCGATTCACCGCAGCCTTGATATTGCACCATGCACTCGGTGACGGTGGTTCTGGCAAGTCATTTCACACTTCTTTCCTGCGAGCATTGCAGACACAGGCAGCCTCCAACGTCGAGACGCCGCACTCGGTGACCAGTCCGGAGAACCCAATGCTGCCTAACATCGAGGAAATCCACCCTATGCCCCTCTCTCTATGGTTCCTAGCCAAGAAGATCTTCCAGGCGAAGGTTTATGCGCCTCGAGATCCGGCACTGTGGACCGGGTCGAAGATCCAGCCACCGACGAGTACTCGTGTCCGGCTAGTCTCATTTTCTCAGGGGTTGGTCGAGCAATTAAGAAAGGCTTGTCGCCAGGAACGGACAACGATAACTGCGCTCCTTCAAACAGTTTATGCTCGATCGCTATTCAAGCATATTCCCGAACGATTCTCCAAACTGAATTGCACCGGCGCTTTCTCCACTCGCCGATTTCTGCCAGATGTCATTAAGGAAGATTCAATGGGCGTTTTCGTAGCTGATATTGAAGAGTCCTACACGCGCTCTATTGTTGCCCCGGATGACTCCACAGAATTTCCTTGGGAAGAAGCGCGCCGCTCGCGACAGACTATCCAGGATACTTTGGACCGCAAGGGTGCGGATGTAGGGCCAAACCTCCTCAAATTCGTCAACAACTTCCAAGAAGAACTTTGTCTGTCAAGGGTCGGAAAAGATCGGGATAAGACATTTGAAGTATCGAATATCGGCGTCGTCCTGTCCACTTCGGCTCCAGATCAGCCTTCTATTCAGGGCATGGCATTTTCGCAGTGTGCCAGTGTTATGGGTAATGCAATCGGCGTTTCGGTTGTCACGGGCGGCGATGGCTGTCTTGTCCTGGCTATATCGTGGCAGGAGGATATCGTGGAAGATGAACTGATAGATGCTTCTATTCAGTCAAGTCGGGATGAACTGCGCCAATTGGCGGGCTATTAGTTGGGAAATAGATGTGTCCGTGTATATACCTACCTACTACGTACTCCAGTAAATTTCTAATGTCTAAAATTGTCTACTATTGCGCGGATACTACTAGGTATTAATACTACCTGACGCTGCATTAAGAAAAGCTTTTGGTAAACTTATCCATTGATGCACCAAAGAACTCTGAAATTGTCACCCGCTACCAGTGGTGCGTTAGTTCTCAAGTGACTCGATGGCTGCAGTCAGATTCTAATTTCCTGTCACCTAGTTTCCTACCTGGGTACGGGGCGAACATAGTAGGAGAGCCAACGCCTATCATTTTTATTTGCCGTCCCTATACTAGTACTAGGTAGTCTGGTTCTATCGCTCCGACTCAATCTCAGCCGCAGGTCCAAACCACCATCTCATAGCCCTCAGTTCCGTTCCGTGCCATCCCGGCATATCCTTCAGAGATTGTGCCGGTGTGGCTTCTTTATGTAGATGATTAATAAAACGTGCGATATACGCACCCATGAACGGCCGCGACAGAGTTTGTTGTAGGAATTCATATTCTGTATGTCCGGAGTTACCTGGGAAAAGATGGGCGACCAATAGATAGCGCACGGCCATGCCAAGCGGAAAGGTTGAACTAAGGGCTGCATAGCCGCCTGCGTGAGGTCTATAGGATAGGGGCAAAGCGTGGATTATTCTGTGAGCGTGCAGGGTAGGATTCCGTTCATCGTGATAGTTTGGGTACTCCGGCGACGAGAATGGAATCGGAGAACAGTGGGTGTCAACTTGGTTTCGAATCGCCTGATCCATGGCGATGTGAATGGTGGTGTATAGAATGATAGAGCAGCTCCAGTAAAAGAAGCTCATATGCAGCACTGGATAATCCCTATCCTCTTTCGGTAGTGGGAGGGTACTGCATGATCGGGTGTAGTCGTAGGTTCCTATATCATCTCCCATGCTAATCCTCCAGGCAAGTAATTGTCGCTCGATGCGGGAGCAATTATCAAGAAATTCCTCCCACACCAGTGGGGAACGCTTTGCCACAGGGGATGCTCGAATATTGTCCAGCTCTTCCAATAAGCCGGGGGTTTGGACCATAATATCGGTCAATTCCTCAAGAGGTGACTTTTTTGTCTCTTTCCAAGGAACTGTCATCCATTGACTATCATCAAAGGGAGAGCGCTCTCGTCGGCCAACGCCAAAAATAAACTAGAGATTGACAAATCAACACCAACATCGCCGATCTGTGGGCACAGTCTAAAGTTTCAACCTTACTCACCGATACGATACGTCCGCTTGCTAGTAGATACCTTCCCGGTTCGCTCCACTTCTTCTGGCAACCTCTATTCATGAACAGGGCCATTTCACCTTCAGTATGGGCATAGTAACCCTTGATCTGGGCGTTAGGGTTTGAATCTTTTGTACCATTTGACTCAGCGCCATATAGAATCTTGTATCGTTAGGAACTTGATCACATTCCAGAGCTGGTATATGAAAGTCTTACTAACCTCATAGAAACGAAAAAGCCTTACAGCCGCTAAAAGCCCATCCCCAGTGGCTCTTTGCGAGTCCTGCACAGCCTTACGCATCTCCTGCAGAGCCATGCGATGAGCCTGGACACCTTTTACTTTCATCTGACTGTCCTTATCCCTGGTGGCCAGCATTGACAGGCCATGTGCGAGCGTGATAAAACGAAGGGTCTTCTCGGAACGGCATAGTCCGTCGTAGTACTTCAGCCAACCCGCAGCCGAGATGTATGAGGCATCACGCGACAAGAGGCGACCGTTTGGCAGAAATGCGGCCAGATAGAGACCCACATACCGGTCCTCCCTAGTACTTCTCATGAGAGAGTCATCTAATGTAATGGTTGAGGGACCGCTTGTTCGTGTGCGTACAACGCCTGGACTCTTGCGGTCCTCGCCGTATGTTGAGTTGATCCACACCGAATGGTGACGGCCGTAACCTTCGCATACCAGCCCCGCTTCGACACATTGACCACAAAATGGTTTATTTTTATCACACTATTTCAGACTCAAGGTATCAGAATAAGCTTATACGAGGGGAGACCCAAGGCCCACAGCTGGCTTCAGGGTTCAACGTACGCCTTTCTTTCTCCTGCGACACGTTGCGCATCCACCAGATCTGCCTGGAACTCCCACCATAACAATCCAACGAAAGGGGTCAAAGACAGCGAGAGGGGGTCAAAGAGAGTAGGAAGAAAACTATGCACCGCGCACAAAGCTACCTGTTTTGGAAGCCGTAGCGGTGGGGACTGTTGCATCCAGTCAGCCCTATAACACGCAACAATGTATGCACGAAGGTCGGACGTCGTTCAAATTATAGGGACAGGTCGTAGTCGTCTCAGGTGATCTCAGAGGGATCATTTGAGTGAATGAAGCAGTTTTTAATAATGCATCAACGGGGGGCGAAGTCTGCTATGACGGTGATCAGCAACGATCAGCCTCGCGGGCTCGCTAGGCGGCGAATTGAATCCGAGCATGGAGCATTGACGATTTCGGCACTTCGCATTCTCAGCTGCTTGCTCGAGAAGACATTTTGTCAGATTATAATTGGCCATCTGGAGCGGCCAGCATTAGGCCCGCGTTAGGGCAGCCTTAGCCTCCGGCTGCGTCCGTTGCCTCAGAAGGGCAAGAACTGCGAGAGCTGGGAAACCATCCATACTCAACTCAGTCGCGGTGATTGGGCTCCGGATCCTCGCAGCAGTTTCTATATTAGCTTTGCTTCGCCATCTGATGGAGAAGGGAAACCAGGAAATGGTGCCTACATACGGATATCTGGCAGGGAGAGAGAAGGAGGGTGGCTGGGAAGGTGAGATGTGAAAGCCGGACGTGGTGGGTGCCTCAGGCACCACACCTCAGCACCGTCGTAATTCTTGCTTGCCGGTCGAAACGGCCAAATCGCCTCATTGGATCAAATTTTGGGTACAAAATTAGAATCTTGATTAGATGTGAACTTAGGTAGGCGCAGGTATTGGGAGCCCATAGTCCATGGCAAGAACAGGTAAATTACCCCTAACAGTTAAATAACTAATACCCCGCACTAAAGTTGGTTTTTCCCTTCAATGTTTTCTTGCTAGAAATCTAAAGACGGTTTTATGATTGGATTGGTTTAACTAATACTAGTCTTAGGTATTTTCGTCAACTGCACACAAGAACTTAAGCTTAGGCAATCTTCGAGCGCAGAGCCGGCGGTTTAATATTTTCGATCTTCTACTAGTAAGCAGACACAGGAATGCGGAACAATCATATGCCAGTGGCTTTGAAGGCCGATTCTACATTATAAAATGGTCTGGAGTAGATGGTAAATGAACTTGAACTTTTGACGTCATTACTTAATTTCAACTTGTACTAATAGTGTTCCGAATCTCTTCCCAGTCCTGCTCTGTCCGAATTATGGATTCTTTGCGCCAATATACATGAGTATCCAGCGCCATTCTTGGATGAGCCTCCGAGGTTCTTTACTAATCATTGTTTTTCTCGTCGAAACAGATACATAAGCCAGCGACGAGTGCCATGTCCACGCCAGGTGCCACTATCACACTATAATTGTCTTTTCCGAAGAACATATGACGAGCTGTGAAAAGCTTCCTGGAGATTCGAGCCACAGTATCGCCGGTCTGTTCTTCGACAATATTGGCAACATGGTCCATCCAGTTTCCTTTCATGGTTAAGGCCAATTCGTTGGCACCCGGGTCTGTAAAGGTGGCAGTGGCCTTGGAACCAATAACTAGTACGACAGTCAGAACTTACTGAACAATAGATGTGACCAAGTGATAAAACTTACTCTTGTGACTGCTCTTCACCTCACAAATTTTGTTTCCATCAGGTTCCTTCATGAAATAGGTGGTATGGATATGCATGTGCTCCTTGCAAATATCAAACAGGTGATTGCCTTGCATATCTTCGACTTTCTTACGCCCAGAAAGCGATGGCCAGGCACCTGTTACTTTCAAAAACGGTGCACCGTTGTCGAACTTTATTTCGAAGCTGTCGCCTGATAGAGAAAAAATTCTCTCTTTCAACACCAATACCTGTGGCTGTGTTGCAATGAATTGTTCGAAAAGCACCACAGGCTTAGACACAGGATAGAGACTGAGTTGAGACATGGCCAATATCGGTATCGGCTGAATTAATAATGAAAAGAAATAACAAGGGAGAAAGATAGAAGCCTCAGAAAACGGTTCTTATATGATTTTGCCCACCATTAATTCTTGGCAGCTCTCCGCGAGCGCGACGGGCTATACAGCTGAGGCTGTTGGGCGCTTGAGTGGAAGCTAGCCCCATTGGGTTCCAAGGTGCGACTAGTTAGTTTCGGCCCCGCCAAATTAACTCAGCCGACAGGAGAATCGATACTACAGTAATGGTAGTTTTATCAACTAGCTGAGTCACTACATCCTCGAGCCTCAGCTAGGCTGGTACTTTATTGATTGTAATGACCTTAGCGCTTAGAGACGGGGAGGAAATATCAGGGCTGAGCTTCTCTTATATGAGGTTAAACAAATTCCAATCCCTTGCTGATCTATTTCAATTCTGAGTGCAAACCACTGCCGCCGGGTCATTCATTCATTCCAGACTTGGAAGGTTTGAATTATTCATTCGGACTTGAACTTGAAGATTTTGAAACAATCTTTCTCTGAGTACTGTGCAGTATGTGAATTTTTTGCAACGTATAAAGAGCCATCGCTAGCTGGAAAACTAAGATATGCGACGTACCTACCTAGGTAGGTAGTAACTAATTTTGAACAAGCCTCTACATGAGTACCGGATTTACGTCGAGGCAAGTATACTCGGGGCAGTTATAATTTTTCAGAAATAAGTGAAAATTGCCGCTCAAAGCACGTACTAGTAGCACATTCATTAGTTAATGCCATTAGCAGCCAATTGTAATAGAAACTGTTGAGGACGGGTGCCTAGGCACCCCAGGGCGCATGCCTGCCGTCGTCTAGATAGCTTCTCTCTCCCTCTCATCCATATCACCATATTCCTCCACATCTAGCTTCTTCCCAGTAGCAGCCGCTGTCAGAAACAAAATGCCTATATCTACTTAGGTAGTATTAACCAAGCCCCCAGAGTTCTAACACGCAGCTACTAGTAAAGTTCTCAATTCAATATTTCCACGTTATCAGGAACTATATTCTGAAGCAGCGCCCAACGGAAATCGAGATATTTCAACGCTGGGCTGGAGATACTTGCGACTCGGACCAGCTTTCAACTCTTCAGCAGGCGCAAGGCGGTGGATTAAAAGTTTGGAATTCAATTGCGAAATGGCCGTTAAAAAAAGCCATTACATGAAAGGCGGACTTCACGGTGATTGAAGCTGAAAACTTTAACGCGAAGGATGAATTTTTCTCTTCATAACTGGGGCGCGCTTGGGCTCAGTTTTCGTAATTACGCTAAAATTGTCGATTGGGGGCCAATTGGGGCCAATTGGGGCCAATTGCGCTGATCACGACTAACTCTTTTAGGTCTGCATGGCGAGCGCCAATGAGAATTCGCCTGAGCCGAGCAATTGTATGAACCCCATGCACAAAATCAAAAGCTTGAAAAGATTAATCCTCGGGCTTTGTGCGTCATTATCGGGGTTCATTTAGTTTAGCTGGGGATCAGACTGGAGACAGCAGAGTCACCATTGACGCCCCTGTTCCTGACCGAGTTGGGATAATCACCTTCGACTATCGTCTATGGTTTGAATTATGACTGGTTCATCCGATTTTATGCACTTTTTAAGTGCCCCGAAGGTCACTCATTTCCAAATGAGGAGCATAACAAAATGAGTTCAATCTCGACTTAGGGAATGATCTGTCAATTTAGACAACTTGAACAATGCCCTGGAGCTGGCCCCGCATTTCATGGGGCTCGGTGGCTAAAAGGCCAAATACTTCGAATTCAGGTTGGAATTTCTTACTTCAATTGATAATTTCAGTGCTGCAAGTCCCTCCGTAAATATTCCTACTGGAGCAACTTTGAGCATAGCTCGCGTAGTCCCTATATTTAGAGAGAACTCCGCCCTAAAGATTGCTGGTCTGAAGTATAGGCAATGCTAGGCCTTTCTGCTCAGCCTTTTTGACTACTAATTATGCATCGCAATCGTCGCCATGTGGATCATTAGCCTAGATCATCGCAGTATTATGGAGATGCTGCAGCCTATTCTTCACTTAGGATTATAAATAGAAAAACAAAACAAGCTCATCATGACCGGATATGATTGGCCCTCGCATTGTTGCCTTATCCAGTACATGATCAGCATCGTCATTATCCAATCATACGCCCATCTTGGTACAGCTTCACCTTAGACCCACTCCTACAAGGCTGGGGTACGCCAAGTCAATTCCTCGCCCCCTCCCTCCAAATTGCACTCAATCCCGGGGGCCAACAAGTACGGAAAGACGGACCCGGGGGCCAGAGTTTGTTTATAAAGGAGTTGTCATTCCAACGGTATTTCTGTTGTTTTGTCATTATCCCCTTCCTCCTTCTCGGCCATATAGAAACATGAAGCTGCTTTCAAGTTCATCAGCTCTTCTGCCGGCCCTGGCAGCAGTAACCACTTCAACTTCAATTCCGACCGTAAAGATCGATGCTGGTACCCTTACCGGTGGAAAATGTGACGATGCAAATGCAGTCTATTACAAGTCAATTCCTTATGCTGAGCCTCCACTTGGAGACCTCCGTTTCGAGTCCCCCGTCGCCAAAAAGCAATTTCCGGGCGGAATACTTGATGCGACATCCGCGCCACCTGCTTGTATCCAATGGACAAGCGTGTTTAACGAAACAACAGCTGAGTCCGAAGATTGGTGCGCTATCAATCCAGTATCATGCTTCGTTACCCTGTCAGTAGTTTTACTAACTTGAATCTGGATTAGCCTCTTCCTAGATGTCTGGACTCCATCCGATGCCACCAAAGACTCAAAACTCCCCGTCAGAGTCTGGGTATACGGAGGCTCTAACACGAATGGTGGAATTTCCAACACTCTATACGATGGCTGCAACTCTGCAGACGAAGGTGCAATTCTCGTTTCCATAAACTACAGACTTGGACCCCTGGGGTTCATGGCACTTGAAAAGGCTGGAATTTACGGAAACCAGGGAATCCAGGATCTACTTCTTGGGCTGGAGTGGGTGCAAGACAACATTGCTCAATTTGGCGGTGACCCGGTATTTGAGCCTCTCGGTTTCCAATGGCGAAGAAATGTGGAGCTGACCATGATTTTCCAAATAGGATAAGGTGAACCTGTTCGGCCAGTCAGCCGGTGCCGAGGACGCTTTCATCATTTCCTCTCTGCCGAAGGCCCCTCAACTCATCAACAGTCTCATCTCTGAATCTGGCGGCGGCAAGAACCTCGTTACTAATGCTACTTTGCAAACCACTGGTGCGAACTACGCGGGTATCCTTGGATGCGACTCCAGTGACGTGAGACCAGACCATTGCTACCACATGTGTTTTCAAGGTGTTAACTTCTCTGTAGAAATCATGTCTTCAATCCAAATCTGCAAGCGATCTTCTCCGGGCCTACACAAAGGATGGTGAATCTGGCTATATCAGTTATGGTATTGGAGTGGATGGTGCCATTGGTGTCACTAGTGCTCACACTCATACCTTCTATCCTTATGTGGATGGCAAGGTCATTCCTCAGGAGCCTATCAGTCGTGGTTCGCGAGTCCCGGCGATCTTTGGATTTAGTATGTCACTCCTCTCCATCAACTTTTCATTTTACAAGCTAACCGATGAACCTCATTATCAGACCAAAATGAAGGCGTCATCTACGCTGGCGACACGTGCACGACGAACAAAACAGCCTGTACTGAGTCTGGGTATCGGGATTTTCTCAAGGCAAACTACGGTCCTATGGCTTCAACAGTTGAGAAGTACTACCCTCTATCAAAGTTCGTGTCTTTGGGCCAGTTGGCCGTTCTTGGCGCTATTTCCAAAGTCATCACCGACTCCGATTATATGTGCCCTGGATATCGTGGCGCGATTGCGACTGCGCGCAACAACGTTCCTACATGGGCTTACGAGTTCGTTCACAACACCACCTGTGCTTGGATGGAATCAGTTGAACAAGACGACGTCTCTTCACTGGGTGCTACCCATACCGCGGAGATTTCTTACGTCTTCGGTAACATGGCTTTCGACTTGTCAGGTAGAAACTCTTGCAACTCTACAGCTGCAGAGTACCATCTGAGCAAGCAGATGGTGAGTTTGTGGACGGCAATGGCAGGGAATGCGGCTCCTTCAACCGATGCCATTAAGTGGCCTCGATTCCAGCCATCTAAGAACGGCACTACTCCTGGATTGTACTTTGCCAATTCAACCAGCCCTGGAACGATCGATTTCAGCGCTTGCCAGCTCTGGGATAAAGTCAATACCGTGCTTTCGGCGACGACCAACTCTACCTCATTGGCAAGTGGATCTGGCACTGCAAAAGCCTCGGCTACCGCGAAGGCCACCTCATCTCCAACGCCTCAGATCGGTGCTGCTGGAACCATCTTGCCTGGAGGACTCCTGGCTCTGTTCGCTATGTTGCTTCATATGACTGTATTTGTATAGATGAGGAATGTACTAGTATCTACGAATGGTATTGATTTCTTGAAGGTTAGTATTATGATATAGAACCGGTCTAATCTAACGTATTATCATCCGAGTCGGCTGCATAATTAAACTAAGATGCCTAGTAAGTAGTACTAGAACCTAGGCAAGATACGACTCTGATCTATAGACATATTTCGGGCGTTGCGAGTTCAATCGGAACCTCTCGAATATTCTCTCGAATATTTGGACTCTTTCCAAATTTTCTATGGGGCGGGTTCTGTATCAAGCCAGCCGACAGAGACGATTGCATCGACTCGGAAGAGGTAGAAATTTAAACATTTTCTTAACTGTAACTGTGTGCTCATTTTCATCCTGGCGTACGGTAATTGAAAGGTGGAAACGAGATGGGACATTTGGTGGAGGTCCGAAAGCCCGGAAAAATCCCGACAGATCGGGAAAATTCCGATACGCATTGGGAGCAAAGCCCCAGATTTTCCCATGGCGATCACAGTTTTTGACTCATTCATGAATGACTTGTGACTCATTTATGGATGACTTGTGAAATTGGCAAGATAATTGTTTTTAAATACGCGCGAAATATCCTCTGTCAACCATGCATCCTCACACCATCCCACGATCACCCCTGATAAGAATAGCGCAATGTCAAACGCCAGTGACAACAGCACAGGTACGATATCTAAATAATATTTGGCAACGTTTACATTCTAACTTCGACAGCCTCGAGCCTCAGCCCTGCGAGCCGTAACCCCTACGGCCACGGCAATGGGGTTAGCGATTTTCTGAGTAATGTCTCGCGTTTCAAGATCATCGAGAGTACGCTGCGCGAGGGCGAGCAGTTTGCCAATGCTTTCTTCGACACGGAGAAGAAGATTGAGATTGCCAGGGCACTAGATGATTTCGGGGTCGATTATATTGAACTCACAAACCCCTGTGCCTCGGAGCAGTCGAGGCTTGACTGCGAGGCTATCTGCAAGTTGGATCTTAAGGCCAAGATTTTGACCCATATTCGGTGCCATATGGACGATGCACGTATTGCCGTGGCCACGGGCGTCGATGGCGTGTAAGTCCTCTGTTTGCCATTACTATCCTTCTTGACTAAGTTTGAATTAGCGACGTGATGATCGGAACTTCGTCTCTCATGCGCCAGCATTCCCATGGCAAGGACATTGAATACATCAAGAAGACCGCCATTGAAGTAATTAACTTCGTCAAGTCGCAAGGGATCGAAGTCCGCTTCTCAACAGAGGACTCCTTCCGCTCAGATTTGGTAGATCTCCTCTCAATCTACTCTGCCGTCGACGAAGTTGGCGTGGACCGAGTCGGCGTTGCCGACACAATTGGCTGTGCATCCCCACGACAGGTATATGAGCTTATTCGCGTCCTCCGCGGCGTAGTTAGTTGCGATATCGAGACCCATTTCCACGACGATGCTGGATGCGCAATTGCAAATGCGTATTGTGCCCTGGAAGCTGGTGCAACGCACATCGACACTTCAGTGCTGGGGATCGGTGAGAGGAATGGTATTACTCCGCTCGGAGGCCTGATGGCCCGGATGGTTGCCACGCATCCGGAATATGTGAAGTCTAAGTACCGGCTGAATAAGATCAAGGATCTGGAGGATCTTGTTGCTGAGGCTGTGGAAATTAATATCCCGTTCAACAACTATATCACGGGCTTCTGCGCGTTCACTCATAAGGCCGGCACGTACTCCTCTTCAACTCCCAAGACAACTTGAAGCCACTAACATTGATCCCAGGTATTCATGCTAAGGCCATCCTCAATGACCCCAGTACCTACGAAATCATCAACCCCGTGGATTTTGGCATGACCCGCTACGTGCATTTTGCGTCACGGTTGACTGGATGGAACGCTATTCGATCCAGGGCGCAGCAGTTGAACATCAAGATGACCGACAAGCAATACAAAGAGTGCACGGTTAAAATCAAGGCTTTGGCCGATATCCGCCCGATTGCGATCGATGATGCCGATAGTATCATCCGGGCATACTATCGAAATATTCAGTCGGGCGAGGACAGTCCGTTGATGGATCTCACTGCAGACGAAGCAGCGCAATTTGTGGCGAAGGAAAAGGAGCTCGGAGACGTCGTAAGTGCCTAATTTTCTGCAAGGGAGATGGGAAAGTACATATCTAAGCACCTAGGTGCAGAAAAGCGAGTCCAGTATACCTTATAGTAGTTAGTAAGAGTGTTGAGCGAGAATAAAAACACTTTGTATCGTATTAATTCGTCATTGTAAGTTATAAATCAACGCCTAGGCCCTATTTCGGTCAGCGTGTTTGATCTTAAGACTTGAAAAATTGAGTCGAAGAGTGTAGCTGTAAATCTGTTTTTGATACTGCTGTATCAAAGATGTGGCTGAAAGAAGTGGGGAATATTTGGGACCCTCATTGATGCTCTGCGGTGTGGGGTGCGGTGAGGATGAATGAAGCAGTGGGAATTTAAAACCGGCAGAATAATGAATTGCGGGATCGGATGAATTCGAGACGCTTCTTCTTCCCCAGTCTTACATCCTTTCCTTCTTCTCCTTGATACCCCATTTATCACTTTCACAATGGCTGCTCGCGCTCCTTATGTTGTCCCTGCTCTCAAGAAGCATACCGCCACGGTGATCATGGCCCACGGTCTGGGCGACAGGTTGGTCAACAATGAACTAAGCCCATCAAACGGAGTTAACTAACCACCTTTCTCGATCTACAGTGGCGCTGGATGGTATGAAACGATCGACAATAAACACTTGCATACCGAAAACAACACAACTGACTGATTGACCATCCAGGATGGCCCTCGCTCAGAACTGGCGCCGCCGCGGCATGTTCGACGAAGTCAAGTTCATCTTCCCCAATGCGCCCTCCATTCCCATCACAGTGGTACGTCAATCGCATAGAGAACGGATAAAGCACATCGCCTATCGTGAGCGAGCTAACAACTCTCCAGAACATGGGCATGAGCATGCCTGGCTGGTACGACATCTCCAGCCTCGGCAGCGACGTGAGTCCCACCCCATCCAACAAACAACAATCTCTCCCCACGAAGTCTCCCTGACATAACACCAACCCCCAGCTCCGCTCCCAAGATGAACCCGGTATCACTCGCTCCCGCGACTACTTCAACGGCCTGATCAAGGAAGAGATCGACAGCGGCATCGTGTCGACACGCATCGTACTGGGCGGTTTCTCGCAGGGCGGCGCCATGTCCGTCTTCACCGGCCTCACCGGCGATAAGAAGCTGGGCGGTGTCTTTGGTCTGTCGTGCTACCTCCTTCTCAGCGATCGGATCAAGAGTTTCATTCCCGAGCAGTGGGAGAACAAGAACACACCTTTCTTCCTGGCCCACGGTGACGAGGATGATGTTGTGAAGTACCAATACGGTAGCCAGTCGGCGGAGAAGCTTAAGGAGCTTGGTTTGACCGATGTCGAGTTCAATACTTACAGGTATGTCCTTATATGACTCTTTCTGGTTGTGCATGAATGCGGAGATGCTAACTAGTTGCACCAGCAACCTCGGCCACTCGGCTGATCCCGTTGAGATCCAGGATCTGGAGAAATTCTTCTCCAAGGTCATCCCGGCTGAGAACGGCCAGTCAGCTGGTCTATGACTTGATGAAAAGAATACTGATGTTGGGCGTGTTACCGATGCTGCTGGTAGATGGAGCTACGCTTTGATTCTCGGCTTCGTGGTTTTGATTGCTGCAGCCCTGTGGTCAAAATATCTCTCTCGACCGGAAAAGCAAAAGCAGCACCAGACCTAAGTTGAAACATCTACAATGTTTGTTTATTTTTCATTCGATCTGTACCTGCCAAAGCCGAAACGATCGATGCATGTGATAGAAAGCGCTCGCCTAGGTAATAATGCAATGCCAGATACTGGTAAACAAATAATAAGCACCTGGACAGTAGATGTCCGTTCAAGAACAGATCGAAAGCAAGCGAAAATAGTAAAATCCAAAACCAAAACACCTGCAAGTTCAACGCTTCCACCACCACCGCCGCCACCAATACCCCACTTCACCCCCTCATCGCCTTGGCAATCGTCTCCTCAATAGCCCTGATCATCTCCTTGTTGTTTTTAGGATCAAACGGAACCATATGCTTCGACCCATGATCATAAAAGGCCGCATTCGCCGGCTCACACAGCTTAAACAACTTCATACCATCCGGATAAAGAGGGTCCAATTTACCAACGATATGCGCCGTCGGAATTGAAATCGGGAACTCATCCTGCTTCGGAGCCACATATTCCAACCCGGAACTTTCCCAGGGTGCTCCACCGCACAAGAAGACAGCAGCGCGGAAAAGCGGTGGCGAGGTCGGATTTGTTTTCGCGTGGTGCATTATTAGAGCTGCGGCGAGGGCTCCGCCTTGTGAGAAACCCATTACGGCGTCGAAGGGGCCTTTTTCGGTGATTTTTTGATAGGTGTGTTCGAAGGCGTCGTGGAGAGATGAGCCGGGCAGTGCTGGAGAGCGTAGGTAGTGGTTATAAAAGGGTCCTTCGACGACTCCTTCGAGTTCTGTGGTCGAGGTTGAGTTGGTTTAGTATTTGGTTTTTGTGTAATGTCATGAGGGGAAGCAACTTCAAGTTGAACTCGAAGGTTGCGAACTGCCAGCGAGATATATATCCCGAGGTCGGACGAAGCATTGATAGGCTTACCTGCTTCAACGCTCGCATCTAGACTGCCGTTCACGAAGGTGAACCTATGACCCTTGGCTTCGAGGGCTTGACGCAATCCTCCGGTTTGGATCTCGAAGATCTGTCGGGGTTAGTACAGTATGGAGTGGGGTGTTTCAAGGTGGGATGAAGTGGCGGACCTCGCTATTGGTGCTGGCGCCGTGCAAACAGAGGAAATGCATTTTGTGGTAGTGTTTTTGGACAGTGTGTCCTATATGGGGAGTGGAAAGAGGATGAGAAGAGAACAAGAGGAAGCAGAGGAGGTGTATCTGCAGGTCGGAGGTTCCTAGTCAGAGCGCAGAGCTGCAGGGGGTTTCAGCCCTAGCGATGTGATGTATTTCCGGGTTATGCAGTAGGGGAGAGCAGATAAAAGTAAGCAGCATAAATGTATTATTTATTTAGTATACCTACCGTGTACTATACATCTACTCTAGTTAGATTATAGTAACTATAGCTGTAGACGAAGTAAATGAAGTATGTGATAGCCTGAGCTTATCAGATCGACACCTGACCAGGATGCCTTACCTTCACTCTTTTCTGCTCACCTCAACTCTCCTACAGCCTTGTCTTGTGGCAATTCCTTCACGGATCATTTCAGCTGCAATCACAACCTCTTTCACCAAGCAATAGGTTGCGATCCACTCATGACCTTCTCTCAACTCCCACAACAGGGTCATCCCCACATGTTTTGTTCCCGAATGACACCTCGGCCCCTCCACGCGTCATGGCGATTCCCCCATCGGCCATGAAGGTACGGCTACTCCTACAGCATCAACCTATCTTCCCTCAAAATGGACCTACGTGATATCCTCGCTACCACCGGCTTCGTGACCTATGGCCTGCGACACCCTCTGGAAGGCTTGTCGAGCTTCGGCCCTACCGTGAGCGAGGCTACCTTCGGCCTCCTGGGCTCCTCATTCAAGCCTGAGCGCGATCTCCCTAGCCTGGAAGGCAAGACTATCCTCGTTACCGGAGGTACGTGAAACATCTGAATACAATGCAACTAAATGATGTGTGTCAACTGACCCCTCCCTCCACAGGCAACACCGGACTCGGCAAAGAAACCATCCTCCAGCTCGCCAAACACCGTCCCTCGCGCATCTACCTAGCCGCACGCACCGAGACCAAGGCCCGCGATGCAATCGCCTCCATCCAGTCGGAGCTTTCTTCCCCGGCCGATATCCGATATATCCCGCTTGATCTGAGCTCCTTCAAATCCATCCGCACCGCGGCAGACAAATTCCACGCGGAGAGTGACCGGCTGGATCTCCTGATTCTCAATGCCGGGACCATGGGCAACCCACCCACCAAGACCGAGGAGGGATTCGAGGTGCAGCTGGGCACCAACCATATCGGCCATCATCTGCTGACGAAGCTCCTGCTCCCGACGCTGCAGAAGACCGTCGACGAGATCCGTGCTAGCGATAGCAATGCCACCCCAGACGTCCGCGTCCTCACATTATCGTCTGCCGCCCACGTCATGAGTCCAGCGACCTTTACCGGGTTGACATCTACGCCTTCCCTTTTGTCATCAAGTACCTGGCACCGCTACGGAGCCTCCAAGGCGGCGAATATCTTCTTCGCAGCGGAGCTCGCTCGTCGACACCCGGATATTCTTTCGGTGTCGGTGCATCCGGGTGCAGTCAACAGCGATCTATACGCCCATGCCAAGGCGACCAGCTCACTTATGAAATACAGCTTAACCGCCGTATCGTCATACTTCTTTCGAAACACCAGCAGCGGTGCATTGAATACTCTCTGGGCGGCTGGAACGCCGAGAAATCAAGTGATCAATGGAGCCTACTATAGCCCCGTCGGCGTCCGATGTGACGGCACTCAGTTTGTTCAAGACGCCGAGATGGCCCGGAAACTATGGGATTGGACTGAGAGCCAGATTTCTGAGCGGAGTTGATTGGGCGGATAACATAATTTTGACATTGGGTGCCATTGGATCCCATCTACTACCTTAATCTATATCATCACATCACCATGACAAGACTGTTATAATCGATGCAACTTTCACCCGAAGAGCTTCACAATGCATAGAGCATCCATCTACATTCCCATTCCCATCCATCTCCATTTCCATCTCCACCTCCATCTGAATCCAATCAATCTACTCACCCCGTGAGAACCAATCTGACCACCCCGTGGAGGCAAATCAACAACACGAATGTCATCACGATGACCATCTACCCAGTCATTCGACTCGCCATCCCAAAGCCTCACCTGGGCCCATTTCACCTGCACCTCCACCACTTTGCAAAGATTCCCACCCGACACTCCCCCATCGCCAGACCCCAAACTCGCACCTACACCAATCTACACCCGGGCGTCCCACCACCAACAGACCCCAACATGAGCCGCATCGTGGTAACCGGCGGCTCCGGGAAATCAGGCCAATACGTGATAAACGAGCTCCTAGCCGCCGGCCACCAAATCCTAAACCTAGACCTTATGCCAATGACGCACCCAGACGTGCACACGTTGAAAACCGACCTAGCGGACAGCGGCCAAGTCTTCAACGCCCTATCCGGCCAATGGACCCTTCACGAGCCGTTTCCCGAGGGCCTTCCTCCGCGCCCAGACGCCGTGGTCCACCTGGCAGGCTACGCGCGCAACATGCTCGTGCCGGACAACGAGACGTTCCGCGCGAATACGCAGGGCACGTACAATATCGTGGAGGCGGCTTGTAAACTGGGGATTCGCAAGATTATCATCGCGAGCAGCGTGACTGTTTACGGGGTTAGTTTTGCGCAGGGGGATGCGAATTATCCATACTTTCCTATTGATGAGGAGCAGGATGTGAATCCGACGGATACGTATGCGTTGGCGAAATTGTGCAATGAGCGGGTGGCGAGGGGCTTTGCGGCACGGTTTGGGGTTGATATTTATATTTTACGGATTGGGAGGGTGATTGAGCCGGAGGAGTATAATGGGGAGATTTTCTATAGTTATGTTCATGAGCCGGAGCAGTGGAAGGTGCATGGGTGGTCGTATATTGATGCGAGGGATTTGGGGGGCATGTGTGAGGCGGCGGTGCGGACGGATGGGTTGGGGTTTCAGGTTTTCAATGCTACGAATGATACTATGACGAATGTGCGGAAGACGGAGGAGTTTTTGAAGGAGAGGTTTCCTGGGACGCCGATTCGGAGGGGGTTGGAGGAGTTTGAGGCGCCGTTGTCGAATGCGAAGATTAAGCGGTTGTTGGGGTTTCGGGAGAAACATCCGTGGAAGAAGTATTTTACATTGTGGGAGGAGGGTGATAGAGATGGGGAGGGTGAAAATAGTAGTAGCTGAGTAGGAGTAGTGAGAATTGAATTGTTTTTCAGTTGTGTCTAAGAAGTGTATCTGTGTCTGATATCCCGTACCCGCAGACATGAGGCTGTCCCCGTCCACCACGGGCAGTATAAAGACTGCCGGAAAGAGATTGTTAGGGTTTAGCCGAGTCATCAATTCCTCCCACACAACTCCAGTTCCAACAAGAAAGAATTGATCTTATTAGATCTGATCATACTACCAATTTAATTAAATTACTCTCAAAATATTGTACAGGGAATAAATGTAATGTAGAATGAGTACACCCGAGAAATCCCAGGGTATTAGCGAAAAAAATCGAGAAGTGCACCCCACACAAACCAAACGGGCATCTTCACCTCTCAACTTGGCCTTGGACTCTCTCCGATCTCCATAACCCCTCCTACACCACCGGTACGTCAACACCACCATATAGCTTTGTGTTTACTTGGTTTTTTTGGATTTTCCATTTCCATTTGCATTTGCTATTCTCCGACTTCATCGCCTTCCGCGCTTTTTCCACTGACACCACTCTTCCAGATCCCCGATCACCCCTCACACAACCGACATAATGGATCAGGCCAAGCTGGCAAAGATGCAGGCGAGCGTGCGGATTGGTATGTTCGACTTCTTTTTTTTTCACCCTCCCCTTTTGTCCAATGCACAAGCTGGAGCTGGGAGCTGTTGATGCAACAGCTGGGGTCTGGTTGGTTGGGTCGGGTCTGGAGCTCGAAACCTCCAACCCGCAGCACACCACACACCAGCCATGATCTCATCTCAACTCGGCTTACTCGAAGTTGTTATTGCTCTTGTCGACTGGACTCAGCTTGTGCAGAGTTATAACTAAACTCATTTTCACATGCTGGAACAACCTGGAACGCGATCGCTAACCTTTTCTCTTTGCAGGGTATGTATCAATTCTATTTCTGTCGAATCACTTCTTCCTCCCACTCTTCCTTGACCCCTCCTATGGATTCCGGCGACCGTGGATATGAATGGAAATGGAAATGGCCAACTCGAGAGTGAAATGACAATACATCGGCAACTGCAAACTATCACCATCCCGCCGCAGTCTGGTCTCTCGCCTATGCTCCGCTTCGTTCCGCTCCATCGCCCCCATCGGATCGAATCGAATTGAATCACAATTACCGGTCTGGACACAGCGGAGCAGAGCGGGGAGAGCAACAGAGCAGCAGAGCGGGAAGAGCAGGAGGGCGGCACTTCCGATCACCATCACCATCACCACACAACTCGAATCCAACCGCCATTCCAATCTCCCCCACCTACCACCCACACGATGCAATCCAAGACCCCAACTAACAATTCGCAGAGGCAAGGGTACTCCCCGCCGTAAGGTCAAGAAGGTCACCCGCACCGCCGGCGCCGACGACAAGAAGCTCCAAGCCGCCCTGAAGAAGCTGAACGTCCAGCCCGTCCAGGGCATCGAGGAGGTCAACATGTTCAAGGAGGACGGCAACGTCATCCACTTCGCCAACCCCCGCGGTAAGCCCACGCCCCTCACCCCTCGCAAACCCCTCCGCAAAACTAATCCCCCCTTAGTCCACGCCGCCGCCCCCTCCAACACCTTCGCCCTCTACGGCAACGGCGAGGAGAAGGAACTCACCGAGCTGGTCCCCGGTATCCTGAACCAGCTGGGTCCCGACTCCCTCGCTTCCCTGCGCAAGCTCGCCGAGAGCTACCAGAACATGCAGAAGGCCCAGGGCGAGAAGAAGGACGATGACGAGGATGATATCCCTGAGCTCGTCGAGGGCGAGAACTTCGAGAACAAGGTCGAGTAGATCGTGTGATTCTTGGCTTCGAATGAATATGAGGGCTTGTTAGGCTGTTTAAAAGAAAATTAAACTGAATTACCTATCCTATTTTCTTTTCCCGCAAAACAGGCATTGCAGCTGCGGTGTCTTCGTAGTTGTGGTGGATGGATGAGAGCTTAGCGGTGAATTGTATTGGCTTTTGACGGGTTTTCCGGGGTGTGCTGTCCTTGGCCTGGATGCACGGTGCAGCGCGTGGTGGAATGGGATTGTCGGGAAGAGGAGAGAATGGGAGCAGATCACCATCATGCTACAGTAAACGCATACTATCGTAAACAGCACCTACAATTCCGTGACAACCAAAGACCTCGAGTTCATCAATACCACCCAAATCAAGGATGTATTCTTGTTCCTTCAGATGCAGTGCAGTGTAGAAAAGAAATCTAGGAATACAGTGAGAGTACCGGGAGAGGACATAAACCATTTCCCATGAAAAAAAAAATTGAAAATGAAAAGAAAAGCAAATTTAATAATTCCAACCACGACGCCTATTAATGCTTCCCAATTCGTTCAAGTCCAGCCATCATCGTCCTCCATCCGGCAAAGCCGCTGCGCTGCATTGTACTGCGTTGCGCTTTGTTCATGCTTCGCGTCGAACCTCGGCCTAGCACTTGGATATGTACGTGCACAGCGTGGAGCGTAGAGTATAGAGAGTGAGCCGCGACACAGCAGTCATGTACCGTGTGCAAGCATCCATCCGCTCAAGACTCCTCCTTCAGCCCGCACAAATCCGTGCCCAGGATCATATCAATCATATACCAGAAGCGCCAGTATGCGCCTGATTTGTCGTTGTCGAAGGTGCCGTCTTCGCGGAGCATGGGTCCGTCGCCGACGATGTCGCCGGTAAACCAGCTCAGGATGGGAATTGAGCGGAGCACGCGTTCGGTCATTGTTGGTTGTGGGGGTAAGGCTTCGGTGAGGGGGCGGAGCTTTGTGCGTCGCACGGTTGGGATGTGTGTCATGAAGTCGGATTCGGGTTTGGGTTCTGCGGGTCCGGTGGTGACGGTGACGGGTCGTTGGGTGAGAGTTGGCGAGGCGCCGAAGCTGGTTGAAGCTCCTGTTGCGGTCGCTGTTGCGGTTGTTGTGACTGTTGCCGTTGCCGTGCCAGAGGTGGCGGTTGTGGTTGATTCGTTGAGGGATAACTCTTCTTCTTCGAGGCCGTCGTTGGCCGTGCCGGCGAGGTTGTTCATGGCGAAGGATCGAGGGAGGGTTGAGGGTCCGCGGCCGATATCATTACTGCTCAGGAACGCGGTTGAGTGTGCGGTTGTCAGGGTTCGGGGGCCACGGTTTCGCAGCTGGTTGGAGCTGGATGTATCCATTGAGTCCTTGGGGACGGGGATATCCTCCGCCGGCCCGTGGCCGTGGTATAGCTCGCAGAAGACGAGGTGGCCGTCGATTTCCTGCGGGGAGTAGAAGCATGCCCGGTCGGCTGCCTGTGTCGAGTCGAATGTCACCTTAATCCAGTGGTAACCGCCGTCGTAGCGCTTGGATTTGCGATTGGCATCTGCGGAGAGGTTGGCGCGGATGACGACGTCGCCGGAGAAGAGCTGCCCATACTGGGCGGCGGAGTTGGGGTCGCTGCGTGGGTAATCTTCACAGATCAAGCCTTGCGAGATGCGCTCGTACTTGTCGATAACCTTCCATTCGCTGTCCTTGGCCTTGTATCCGCGCAGGATGCACTCGGTCGCGACCTTCTCCGTTTGTTTGCGGGGGTTGTCGAGACTGGATGAGGATGTTGACTTGGGGATTCCATGGACCTTTTCATCCTCTTGTTGCTTGGCGAATAATTGGCCGAATTCTGCGACGTTGGGGTTCTCGCGTTTGGCTGGAGTTCCGGTGCGGGTTCGAGATCGGGCGTTGTCCCAGCGAGCGTTCCTCCTCTTGCCAAAGGGTCCATGTTCTTCCACTGGTCGGCGGGGATTGCGAGTTTCACTGGGAGCTGGAGGTTAGTCTTCGGGAGCTCAAAGTAGCAATAGAGATGGAAAGGAGAGCTCACTCTTTATAGACATAACCCCAGGGTAGGAGGTTGCCGTTCTCATCTCGTGCGCGCTCCTCGGGCGGCACAGCGTGGTACTCCATGGCGGGTAGTGGGAAGAGCAGGGCAGAACGGGGTATTATCGAATGAGAACTTGAAGCTGGGGAGGAAGAAGAGATGAGAAGAGCGGAGGATCTGGAATGGATCGCACTGAGCGAGTTATCAAAATCGGCGCGGGAACTTTTTTGGTAAACACCGGCGAGCAATGGGTCACGTGATTGCCATACAGCAGTACTGGTAGTATACTGTGTGAGATCTTGAACTGAATCATTGATTCAATTGATTTCGCTGGCATCATATACCTGGGCATTCTAGACTATTGGAGGAAATCTCAACTTCCAATGTTCCAAGGTTGGAATTAACATTATCAACGTTGCCTAGGGCTGTGGCGGTAAGTGGTAGTAGTTATATACTCCGAGTCCGGCTGTATCCTGTTATTGGCCGGAGCAGAGTTATACTACTAGTACTACAGTACGGGACAGCTTCCACCCTTGCCCACCTGGCAGGTGGAAGTTGAAGGTGAACTTGAATGATTATACTACCTTCCAAAGCTAGTACATACTACAATGTACCAAATATCACTTCGAAATATCATTTCGCTTCAAGTCGCACCTAGCACCGGAATGCCGCGGAACTCCCATCTACTAACATACAATCCAATAGAGTACAAATCAACCATATAAACATGATGGAACCATAAAAACCCATGTTCAGAAATTCTGAAGCTGTGCAGTCGCCCATTCAGCGCCTAAATTTGGCGTGGGCTCCGTCTGATGGGTCGAGTGGTTCAATTTCACATCCTTGTTCTCCAGCTTCTGTCGCTCAGTCTTGGAGGTCTGTAGTTGTCCCTCCACTACTTCGGCCTTCATCTCGGCATCGCGGATCCTAGGCGAACATCGGGTTGTAAGAGACTGACGGGAGAAGATAATAGCAACACCTTACTCTTGTTGAAGTTGCTGCAACTGTTCCTGGAGCGCTTTGACCTGGGGGAAATGGTTAGCTGTGATGATGATGGGATATCCGATCGTGTTGGACTTACTTCCTCGGCTTTGCCCATGGTGATATTCAAGCTGATGAGGTGATTGTGGCTGAAGTGTGGATTTCAAAGTGGTTGTTATGTTGTGCTGTTATGTTTGGAAGGAGAATCTGGGGAGATATGAGGTATGGAGAAAAGGGAAGGGATGTCGAATAGATCTGCAAGGTGTTCGTTCTATTTGTTTGACAACTTTGTTTTGATGAGCTAATAATGAAGTCAATCGGCATGGAGTTTCTGCGTGGCTGAAACACTTGCAGTTGGATCCATCAGAATTTACCCCGTTTCAGATAGATCAACTGCGACCGTGGATTTCATCGCTAATTTGCCTGGGTGCGCGCGTATCTTCATTTCATCTTCAACTTCTCATCTGGGATGAGTCTTGGCGAAGCTGTCATCGATCGGGTCTCAAGTCCCAACCACCAACCACCAACCCGCTAATCCCTAGCCTGAAACAATCTAGTCTTGTCGCAGAAACGTAATTCGCTCAGCGTGTCCCTTTAATCCACACACCTCGCCGAAATCACCGAATGCCGCCCCGCGGCGGTGCACATAGTCTACGAAATCTGGCAACGCGCAGGAACCACCAGGGCCCGATCGGCACAAAGGCAAGGGCACGATGCGATCGTTGATATTGATCCGAATGTACGTCTGGTTTTCCATAGACGGACAGGCCAGCCGTTCGAAGGTGATTCGTGCGCCCATGGGGAGAACCGATGAGGTCTTCCATAGTCGGTCAGTCAAGGCATGCGTTGTTGGTAGACTCGTCTCATTCGGGTCGGACAAGATGCCCAATGATGCAAGTAAAGGGGACATATCTCCATCGTGAACACTGCATCAAGTCGTTAGACGCCTAGTTCTTGTTCGTATCCGGGTTTGTGCAAGACTCACAAGCTCAAGTATAACGTCCCGGCGGCCGGGCCAGCCTGGAGCAGAGATGTTGTAGCATTCAACCAAAGCCACCCCATAGCACCCGCATATGAGTTCCCCGGTCCTGCTCGATAATAATGAACAAGGTCCCGAGAATACTCAAAGTTCAGCCAATCGTCCTCCGTAAAGACGTCGCACCAAGGACTCGACCCGCGGATCATAGTTTCAAATCCACACATCTCTTGCATGCTGTACACTTCTGTGTTCGCGAATTTCTCAAGAGCAGGGTTCTTCTCGAGTAGTCTCTTCGCTATAGGTGGGATATAAATATCTTGGAATTGTGCAAGCATGTTCGCCCCGTAGTCGTGTCCATACTTCGGATCCTCGATATACTTTTGGCATGTATCACCCGGGGTCAGTGTGTCGGCGCCACGCTCAAATGTCTCGGGGATAACTTCTAGTTTTGCGTGACCTTTCAGTTCCCAGTGAAGGCCGAATAGACCGGTGGCGAAATGATAAGCTGTGTCTATGACGCGCTGGGAATCGCTAGCCCATAGTCGTGTTGTCGCATTGTCGGGGATTAATCGACTATATCTTGTCCGGAAGCGAGCTCCAGTTGTGAATGCGTTCAAGGTGCCGGCGTATGGACCGGTGCTGGATAATTGTCCAAAATCTCGAGCCGGGAGGTCGGTGAAGTATGTCCAATTTTTGAGAAACGCGAGAGGGCCATTCAGAGGGACTTGGAGTGATTTGACGCGGTCTAGTAATTCAAGATGACCTGAAGGGAATTTGTGAATTGTGAAAAGAAAGAAAAAAAGAAGATCAACATACGATTTCCTGCGGAGGTTGTGGGGTATCTTTCTCCATGACGCGACATCTGAGCCCGTCCATTAGCTTTTCTTCATTGAAGTCATGGAATAGTTTTTCGTAGAAGAACGAAGATTCATGCATACCAAATGCACCTGCTCAATCGAACACCCATCCGGAGGCGCGAGATTAGACGACTCCTCGCGATCATCGATCTTCTCGATCCAAGGTCCATTGCCACCGAGGTGCTGCAGGAGGTTCCACCCCTTGCGATGCTTTTTGGATTCGCTTCCTGCGGGAATTTGGAGAGGGTGGAACCAGGTCTTCCAGCTGCCGACGTGGGGAGATGTAGGGCTGCGGTCCCTCCCAGGCGGAGTAAATGACTGTATTATTGACGAGGACGCCGATTCATGATTGTAGAATGAAATGGCGCTGAATATCACGAGAAGGAGAATCGAAATCTTCAAAAGCGAGCGTTTATATGGCATTGCTTGGTCCTGGCTGTGCAGTAAACCGCGTACTCAGCCATGGAAGTTGGGGTGTTGTGGAGAAAAGATGCGAAGTTGGGCGATCATCCGCCCTTGCCAAGACAGGGCGGACCGAGGAGGAGTGCCGCCACATCAACTATTTATGAGCAAAGCTGATAATTTTACAATTCTCGTTATGAATAGATCAATGGCAACTTTCAAGGGTTCAAGTCATACTAATCAGTGAGCACGCATCATGGGGCGATGTATAGAATGGAAAGGAAGTAATACTAACTATGTGAAGCCACTCTTCTGATTAGCCGAAAACGCCTACATTGCGGATTACATTAATTTGCTGCCATTTATTACCAGGTTGAAAGTGCTTGACATTGAAACGATATCTAGACCAAGATGAGCATAGAAAAACTTAGGATAGAAGCCGAAGAAGGAAAAAGGACAACACATTTTTTCAGGAACTACTCCATTGGTTCAATATCAAATCGGAGATGAACGGTATCCGCAAAAGAAGGAGCAGTGACGATTCGTTTGATATGCTGGGTACCTCGGGGAAACGAGCCCAGTACTAAATAAGAAACTACCTTTCCAATCCGAGTCCCCAGAATCATATCAAACATATCCGTATTGGTAGCGGAATCCCAAATTTGTTCACCACTGGTCGGCCAAGTCAGGTTGTTAGCTTCTGTATACACATGGCGTTTTACAAAGGGCAACGTCTCCTCATTCTCAACTAGGCACACATATACCTGTTTAAGACTATCAGTGGGTTGATCTTTAGTATAGATGGCATGGCAAATTTCCGACATTCGAGGAGCGGTGGAGTCTTTATCTCGTCTAATTCCCATAATAACCATCGCACTCGGTGCGGTGTATCCCCACCAGGCAAATCTCTCAAATATCCAGGAACCTTCCAGATAGTTAAGATTAGGATCGAGATTTAACACTTGATGGTCGGGAATATGGTCGGACTTGACGTATCTGATCGGCAAGGCGGCGAAGGTTAGATCGTATGTGCTTGATATAGTTTCCCAACTTAAAGTAACCTGGGGGACGAAACAATTGGGTTCATTGGGATCTTCCATCCATCGCCGCCGCTGTGATCCGTGGTCTTTAAACCTGGTATGTCGAAGTCGCAGTACTTCAGGGTCTTCAATACTATCTTCACTATCTTCAGAACTCTCACTAGAACTTGAAGAACCGGTGGGATCTACCTTTGCATGATCATCGTAAGCCTGAGGGTGGCATGCGTGGTTTTCATCATTGGACTCGGAGGAACTTGGATCACAGCAGCCAAAATCACAACGGGGCATCATTTTCATTATATCTCAAATGATACTAGTAGCTCGTTAAATATCTGGACTGCCCAGGTGTGATATATCATAATAAATGCTGGCATTAAAGCGGTCTTTTGTAAGCTCGAGGCTATCTGTGATCAAAAGGCGTAAGCATATTGATAGCAAATAGAACAATGGAATTATTTCATTTGTTTGTGGCTCTTGTACGGAACAAAGCACTTTGTCGGCCCCTGGAGGAGATGAACAAAGCAAATTGAGATATAGAAAATTAGACAATATGGTTGACTCGGTCCATTGTGTACTCAAGGACCAAAGCAAATGCATGCAAGTTCGAAATGCGAAAACAGCTCCTTAGAAACACGCAGGACTGTAGCTTTACGCATCTATCTCTACAAACACTGAAGAAAGAAGAAGAAGAAATGTTGAAACTTCGCATTTGGAAAGCGGTAGCCATGATTGGATATTAAATAATTTACGGTTTAAAAACGGAGAGAAAATGTCAAGTAGATCAATGTAAAATATTGTGTTGGGAAAATAAGGAATGATCTGCAGGGTCGGTGCAGATTCGTAGGCCGGTGAGCCGACCCTGAAGATCACAAAGTCACAAGCATAGATGGAGTAATGCTTGTATTTTAGCCACTTGAATAAGTACAAATATGTATTCAAGCTTAAACTGGGAATCAGATATTAGGATAATTGTTAATAAGTAGATTCTACAATGTTCTACGATTTCATTCGGTAATTGTTGCGGTTAAATTGAGAAAATCTCACTCCGATCCCGCATTCTCCCCTTGCGAGATCCTTGGCACTCGGCAACCTTAGAAATCATCCTTTTTTTTCTTTCCCCAGACTGTCCCCGGAAACCCTATGTCCTATTCATGAGACATGCAGCCACGGTCATAACTCCAAATATTTCGGAGTTCATATTATCGCGTTATCGTGCATATCGCGTTCAATTGTCCGTTTTAGACATGGAGGGGCAGACCGAGGCCAAGGGGGACCGTGACGTGGGTCCGCCCGTTATTCACGACGATGAGACCAGCGAGGCACCGACGATTCTGGAGGAGAAAATGGAGCGCACGCTTGTCAGGAAAATCGATATGAATATCTTGCCTGTTGTCGTCTTGCTGTATTTGTTTAGCTTTCTCGACCGAGGTGAGTGGTGCCATTCTGACTCACTATTTTATTTGCGAACAACGCCCGGAACCGTGACGCTGACTAAAGGATTTTGTAGTGAATATTGGAAATGCTCGTTTATATGGCCTTGAAGAGGACCTTGGATTGGTGGGCGATCAATACCAAATCGCGGTTTCAATCCTCTTTGTTACCTACTGTGTATGCAGAATCCTCTTCTCCCACTTGACGCCGCTTGCTAATGCCACTTTCAGTTCTTTGAGGTTCCTTCAAACCTCGTCATCAAGAAATTGAGGCCTTCACGGTATATCGCTGCCATATCCATTGTCTGGGGCATTATTGCAACCCTCACTGGTATCGTTCAAAACTACAGCGGCCTCATTGCCTGCCGGGTCCTGCTCGGTGTTGTCGAGGCGGGTCTCTTTCCCGGGTTCATTACATACCTCACCCTCTTCTACAGCAAGCGTGAACTTGCTGTCAGAACGGCGTATCTTTTCAGCAGCGCTGCCATTGCAGGTGCCTGTGGAGGACTTCTAGCTTACGGAATCGGATTCATGGATGGCATCAGTGGACTGCGTGGCTGGCGCTGGATCATGATCATCGAAGGAATCCCAACTGTCATATTGGGCGTCGCAACTTGGTTCTTCCTAGCAGATGACCCCGACACCGCCTGGTATCTGAACGAAGAAGAACGCGCACTTGTCGCGCGCCGTCGGAGTCGGTACATCGGTCAGACTGAATCTGCGCAAAAGTTCCACTGGGCAGATGTAAAAGAAGGTGCTCTCGACTGGAAAATCTGGGCATTCTCCATCGGTCAATTTGGCGTTGATACGATGCTTTATGGGTACAGTACATTTTTGCCGACCATCATCAAGGGAATGGGTAACTGGTCGGTTCCTCAAGTGCAGGCTTTGACCATCCCATGTTACGCAGTGGGTGCAATCGCTTATCTGATCACCGCTTGGATCAGTGATCGGACGCAACATCGTGCGTTATTCGTTTGCTTATTCAGTGTGATCTCTGTGGTCGGGTATGGCATCCTGATCTCGGATTCTTCGGCTGGAGTTCATTATTTTGGTGCCTTGATGGTTGCCCTAGGCCTTTACGTTGCCGTCGGTCTGCCACTTGCCTGGCTCCCCACAAATCTACCTCGATATGGAAAGCGTACCTTTGCCACAGGTCTGCAACTCACATTCGGAAATATCAGCGGCGTGATGTCTCCATTTTTGTACAAGACTTCGGAAGCGCCTCGATATGTTCGAGGAAATGCAGTCACGCTTGGCTTGGTTGGCTTCGCTGGAATTGTGTACGGCATTATGTGGTATTGTCTTCGTGTTATAAACAAGCGTCGGGCACAAGGCCTCGAGGATGAAAAGATTGCCTCGATGTCCGAGGCAGATATTCAAGAGCTCGGCGATCGGAACCCACGGTTTCGCTACAGCACTTGAAGTGACGCCGCATGCTTTTATTTTTAGCATCTTCCTTATGCTCGTTTTTATTAAATTTCGGTCATTATTAGATTCAATAGATTACGCCGCTACGGATTGTTTCGTTATAAAGCACCTGGGCAGTTGAGCGAGGAAGCAAACATCTATTTCTAGCGAAGAATACAGAAACTGCGTTTTTTCCACCTTAGAACTCGAATTTCATCACTTAGCCGCCTTTGGGCTACCCTCGCTATGTTCAATCTGTTCAAGCTGGACTTTCAACGGCTCTTCTTGGTTCTCCTCATCCTTCGGGAGTTTGGCCAACTTGCTGGCAAAATGCACAGTTTCTGAAACGGAAATATCTTGCTGAAACAAATCCTCGAGCTGTTCAAGGCTTTGTCCCATTGTTTCTGGATAGAAGAAATAAACCGCTACAATGTAAGTAAGCCCAGTGATGGTGTAGACTATGTAGTACCGGTAACCGATACTCGCCAAAGCGATAGGCGTCACCATCTGAACAACAAAGTTCCTGCCAAATGTTAGATGAAGTAGGAAAGCAATGCTTATCAAGAAACTTACCAGAGCCAATGATTTGCAATCGAAACGGATGTCATAGCCACTCGCAATCTAACAGGGGCAATCTCTGTGCCATAAAGAAAGCTTGGACCCAGAAAGCCGATAGGGAAGAAGAAGTTGAAGAGGAATACAAAGAATGTACTTCCTATCGCAGCCCCGCGATTGCTGTTGCCAAAGCTGGATGTAATTGCCATACACATCATACATGTCGTAATTCCAAATCCACAAAAAAGAAAAAGCTTCCGCCGACCAAAACGGTCAATGGTAAAGAAGGCGATGAAGGAAGCGAGGCACTTCCACGTAAGAGCGCACGCCGCTAGGATACGTGTAATCCCATCTGATAGGGCCAGATTATTCTGGAATATAGTGGTTGTATATGTACTTATGACTTGCGCTCCTGTCATCTGAATCCAGAATTGTAGGCCCATGCACAGCATAAAGCGATAAAAGAGTTTGCCATCCTTGCTGGTAAAAATGTCCTTAAGTGATGCGGCATTGCGAGCTGTTTCCTCAAGAGATAGCTCAATTGATGCTATCTCACGTATGATTTCATCGGAATCTCGATCTTTATTCTTGATCCGAGCAAGCTCAACAGAGGCCTGTTCGATTTCCCCAGCGCGGACAAGCCAGCGAGGTGATTCGGGAAAGAAGAAGATGGACACACACAGCACCACCGAAGCAACCGTGGGAATGGCAAGGGGCACTCGCCATGACACAGCGTGCTTTTGAACATGCGAAAAGCCAAAGTTTAGCCAGTAGCTTGCCACATAACCGCTAGTAATGAAGATCCCATCAATCACAACATGTCTGCCACGGTTTGTAGCTTCGGAGGACTCGGACTGCCACACAGGAACAATTGTCGCAAGTATCCCAACTCCAAAACCTGTTATAATTCTGCCCACAAAGAGCTGTGATAACTGGAAGGATGTGCATGAGATGACTTCGCCAATGAATGTCAGAACACCTCCGAGGAATATGGTCTTCCGACGCCCGAGCAGATCCCCGACAACAAAGCAGCACAAGGACCCAAAAAATGCTCCAAGGGTGAACGAAGAGACATAAATTCCTTGAATGACAGAACGGTGAGATTTCAAAGCCCCGGTTGCGTGCACAGTATCAAGCTGAGGGAAAAATTCGGTCCAGCTTTCGAAGGAGATGAGTCCTCCTACCACAACTTGATTGTAACCAAATAGAAAAAAGCATGGAAAAGTAGCAAAAATTGTTTGCAGCAAGTGAAGCGATGCACCTTCAGCCATGATGGCTTGTTTATGAAAAGGGCTTCCAGCGGTTGGGAGAAAAAACTCGAATCGCCTGCCCAGGTGGTCTTGTCTTATAACGGCGAGAAATTATTACGCCATCCCCCAGTGCGGGGATATGCACCCCACTCTCCCCTCCACAATTGTTGCATTTTGCGGAGATATGCCGATGTTTTGAGGTTCAATTTCAAATCACAGCAGTCAACTTGGATAGAGTGGAGCGCTTTCTTTGTTCAGAGCCGAAATATACAACCGAGCTCGGCTTTATGGCCGCGCCAAGAACCCTAGAAGTCTCAAGGTTTCCCGCCATATACTGATGAGAACCTTGGAAGCCCATCCTTGGACCGCCATATCTAACCATAAGTTTTCCCGAGGTCAGAAATGGAGTGTCAAATTCTAGAGATACAGTATTTCCTAGCATGTTATATGATACAGGCTAGAGCTTAAGTGATGGGAAAATCTGTAGGTTTAACAAATAAACTTTCTTAGCTGCCAAGGCCCGGGCTCAGGCTCGGGCTCAGGCTCAGGCTCAGGCATACTACCCAATTTATTTCGGCTATTGGTACAATTTAGGGTACCTGATATCTAAGTGACCTTTCCAATATGATTCAAATTATTTTTTTGAATATCTACCTTATGCGCTTGGAACATATGTGCCTAGATACTAGTAATCACCTAAGCACCTGCCCATAGACTTGTGTTCTAGGCAAGGTTGTTAGGACACTAATTTCACTGAGTCCATTTGAGCGTTTGATTGGCGATTTCTTTCAAGTTCAAAGACTCGTCTAAAATTCTTTCTTTCCGTCTGCATTTAAGCTTATTCTTCCATTCATTCATTGTCCTTTCTCCGTTTTCATCTTTGTATCTTCCAAACCTGCGCTGTGCCTCAAAGATGATCAAAGACCCTTTATCCCGGGGTTTGAATCACTAAGCACTCGACTTAAAGGTATAAGACCGTCATTCTCCGTATATGAATATACTCAATCCTTTGAGTACGGTATCATCCAAGCTAACAATCGAGCATCATATCAAAAATTCTCAACAATTACGTGAATTCTGACATAGGTTCAACCATTACGATATCTTGCACAGCTTCCGATCAATAACAATCTATATTCACAAGAGGAATTTAAGGTGATTATATTATCCCCCTACTCTCAGGATGTCCGACACCCAACACAGATATTACGGACCTCGTAACAGCGACATTCAGTTAATGGGCGCCCTGCTACGGAAGTGGATACAGGATCCGGATTTGCCGAAATGCCATATCGAGAGAAGTACTATTACTTTGAGAGATCTTGATAGGTATCCTGGTATTCACGGAAGACTGTTACCCAATGAAGGACAAATTGATCCCGTCGAGGTGGTTTTTAGTGACAGCTTTTTACAGCAGATAAGTGATCTGGGGCTACCTGATGGACTTGACCGTCAAACAGACGCAACATCTCCGTATCGCCATTTTGATATCCAGTGCGCGGTACTTGATTGGGTTGGTTGCACTGGACCCGGAATGATTTGCATTCACGATATGCGCAGAGCTAGTTTGAATCTCTTTGAACCGAGAATATCTCAGATCACCCAGGCACTTTATGAGGAGCATTTCTCTCTTCAAGATCTTCGATACATTTTTCTGACCAACATTCCCCAGTCCCCCAGGGTCCCTGAGTCGCTTGATACTAACTTTTTTATCACTAATTTACTATACCCCATGGGAGACGTGAGATGGCCAGTATATGAGCCACAGTTATGGGAAATTGGTACTCCTGCATATGAGGCTATACTGGGATCTCAGCTTGGCAGAATTTTTGCTTATTTCGTTTTAGGTGCGTTTCCGCGAGGTACTCGACAGATTCAGGGGATTGCCGTATGGGCTAGTAGCAGAGGGCTGCCTTGTCTACGTTTTGATATCGAGCCGATTTCGTAAGGTTTAAAATGTTTCGAGGTATTGAATTATCTTGAATCGCCCTTTCATGAGCAATCTAACATGCAATGCGTTATTTTTAAAGCAGTCTCTACTTTGTTTACTAATAAATAGAAATGTTCGATCACAGGAATTTGGTTACTAGAAGTACGACTCGGATGGGCCAGGGCAGTCAAATGAGGAAATCTTGAAGAACTTTTGTCGTCAAATGTTATAGAATAGTTTTTCCATCATTTACCCGCTTTTGACTTGAGTTTTATTCTCAATGCTAGTATCATTATTGTTCTTTTCAACCCTGGGCCCTATAACTGAGTATTGTAGTAGGCTCTTGAGTAGTTCAGGTTGACTTTTTGACATTTTTTCAACACCTGGGCGCTGCTTCGAGTATTGCGGTGGTCAAAGCCTCGGCTTTGAGTTCTCATCAAGATGACTACTAGTAGTATGTACTATTGTTTTGCCAGTTCCAAGATTTATTATACAAAAGTGGAATACACTGGACATTATTAATATATCACTACATACCAAAAGAACCTTGCTAATTATAATTATACAACTCAGGTGGGCTGGTAAAAAGTGTTTGCTAGTATTTAATTAAATGCAAGGCGTAATATTAGCACGATCAATTTCAATTTGAATAACTTCAACAACTACCTAGTCAATTCTGGCACTATCTAAATAGAAACCGGCTCAATGTCAAATCGCATTTGGACCCGAGGGCCCAGAAGCCAAGAAGGCCAAATCGCAACTCGAGCAATTCTAAAGGAGCCCCTCTCGAAACCGCCAATAACGATATATGAGATCAATTTTCCAATCCTTGTGCCAAGTAAAGCATCATACTCAGGTGTTCCATGCTCCCATGTCTCAGGATCTTCGAGATCAACATCAGATTGGGAAACTGCCCATCTAAGACCCTTATCTTCACTATAAAGTTGAGTTTGGATAAATCTCAACGTCTCCGGGTTGATAACCATGTACACAAAGACATACCGAAGGTCATTGATGTCAAAAAGATGCTTAAACAAAGCCAGAGTAACCTCAGAGATTTGAGGTGCATCGGAACCCTTTACCCTCTCGATATCTATGAGAACAATCATGTTATTCCACATGAGGCCATCCCATCTCATATTGTCTTCATCGAGAGCCCATTTGCGGTAGACGGATCGTTCAACCGGATTGCTGAATTCATCAGGGAGACCTAGCTCAACCACTTGATCATAAAGAGCGCCAGGGACATTTTCATAACCAGGATCACCGGGTGTATAATCAGCTTGAATATTGCCAAATGTTAACTGAGAGCTCAGAATGGTGCAGCTTGTGTCGTCGGGATCCTCAATCCACTGCCTCCGTCTCTCGCCATCCCGCTGGAACTTACCGTATTTGTAGCTTGACAACGCAGCGCTACACACCTCCGGATTTGTATCGGGATTCATTGCGGGTGAGCAGGCTGCTGTGTGAAACGATGCTTGCTCAGAAGAACCCACGGATGCCTTACCTTCCTGTTCAACACCCCCCTGCTGAGTGGTAGAATGGGCTGCTATTGGCTTGGGAGGAATAGCTGGAGAATGTGTCTGGGGTTGATTCTGAGAGAATTCCTGCTGAGTAGCAGAAACAGTAGTTAGTTCTATGGGGTGGGACTGGGCTGCTGGGTCTTGTGGTCCCGGGCTACCACCCTCACTAGAAGAGTCTGACTGGCCATCGCAACAGCTCGAGATACTGAGGGCACGTAGGCCGCTAGTGACGATCTCGCTCAAGCGCCGAGACATGTTGCTTTCCGTTTGCTTTACAATAAGCAGTGTCAAGTTTGCAGGATTAGTTCTTGGTTGTCGTCTCCAATCTGGAAATCTTGAGCCTTTTTCTTTCTTGTACTTGGGATCGAGGACAGTTCTCTTCCAAGATAATAAGGGGCTGAAGATAAAGATATCACACAGGAGGATTGTTCTGGCGAGAAGAAAGTGAACGCAAACAAAGGCGGACTTTGATAAATCACAAAGGGTGCAAAATTTATCCAGTCCGAGGTCGACCATAGCTATTATATTATAGTCTATTTTCCACTCATTGTCTGTTACAAAAATGAGTATTCATCCTCGAATGGTCAAGTCTTCTTTATACCTTTGTCTAATGTTTTATCATTTAGCCAAGGAAGAGCCTTGGCTGACATTGTAACCAATGAGAAATGCTTAGACTCGAACTGGTCGGAGTGTTTCACATAATAATCGTGTCTTTGTACTATCTTCCCACTTCATCGATGATATCGTCATGCAGCTTTGTTTTTCAATGTAAATAAAGGATTCACACAAGCCTTGAATCCCTAATTATCAACCAAACTCCAAGATAGTCTAACATTATTTAAAAACCATAGATTCCGAGGTAATCATCGAACCAGACACTAAGCACAGCAGTTGAAGTACCAAACACAACGGCCAAAGTATCTGAAACCAGAATTTTACACCATTTCCAGTGACATAATGTCTCGACGTCTAAGTGAAGCTCTTATGAGCTGTCTTCGCTGTCTGGGAAATTCGAAAAGTTGCGGTTGCTTCATTGACATCTCCGGCGATGAAGAGCAGGCTGCTCCGCTTCCATTAACAAATCCAGTATCTTCCCGATCTGCCCCAGTTGCAACAGGCGCAGTTCCAGCCGAAGGTTCAAATCAGCAGCCACAACCACAGCCTCCATTGCAACCCCCTTCTCCTGCCCCGGTCCAAGCTGCAGCCGAGGCAGCTACTACTACTACTACAGCTTCTCAGCCGATATTGAACCATTCAGGAGCTATTGCTGGGCCTTCTCCACCGAATGAAAATCTAAGTATACTTGAAGCTGCATTTGAGGAGGCTCCCATCACTTTTCAGGAGCCCCTCAGCGCTACTGATATTGCTAATAGACTACAAGAATGGTTGAGCGCACCTGACCCTCTTTTTGACGATGATCCTGCTCTCGCACATCTCAAGTATAACAAGTTCCAAAATGTTGGGGCTCAGCGGCGGCGATGGATGGAAGATGCCAATGAAGCAGATTGTCCTGTCCAGCCTTCTACGTTAAAATTTGCTGATCTCAGGCAAAATCATAATTTTCGCGAACCCAAGATCGGAAATATTAACTGGATACTGGAGGATCAGGTGAAGAGGCTTGGGCTTCCTAATGAGTTCGGTTCCGACTCAGGGCCTCGATTTAATATTGAGGTTTCTAATAGTAGCGGTTCTTCCGAATCTGATCCAAATACGACCGTATATCTGCGATTTCAGGGCGGTGCATCGTACCTAGACTTCAATTGGACTGGCAGTACTGGCCCAGGGATTATTGTTATGGATAACATATACCGAGAGCCTTGGTCAGCCACTCCGAAAGTTGCATATGTGGCTAAAGCCATATATGAGTCTCAGTTTCCTCTTGGGAGTTTGAAGCATGTGTTTGTCACGCGTATCATGAATGTCAATACAGAACGCTTCGTCCGTGAACGCCTGTATACCGAAAACAACAATCTCACCTGGCCAAAAACTGACACAGAGGAGATAGAGGATTATCCTCCTATTGAGTGGGAGAATGGCACGGCAGGGTATGATGCCCTTCTTGGAACTACATTTGGTAAGATCCTCACTTACTTGGTCCTTAGCGCGTATCCCAGGGGTAGTCGAACAATTGCCCGTGTCGTCACCTGGCCGGTTCCTTTCTGCATGCGTTTTGACATTGAGGATTTGAAGTGAAACTACCCCGTGTGAACACAATATTCGATTAATTGTCTAACCTGTTGATTTTTATTTATTTATTGCCCTCGTTTTCCAAATCGATCTACACATGAACCGAGTTTACATGCAAATACCTTCACGTGCCACAGACCTAAAAGTAGAATAACTCAGACACTGTCCATTTGTAGTTAATGGGCAATGTCGTATACAGTCATGTTAAGCGAACTTGAAATTGTCCTACACGTATAGCCGCATACATCATGAAAGACTCAATATTGCGGCAATCGATAGCTTCGAACCGCCCCGTAGGCGATCTTCGTGTCGATCTCCGGCCGCGCAGCGAAATGCACATTCCCGCACCCCCTGCCACCGACCATTCCCGAAGCCGTAAATAGTCCGAGTGTACTTTTCAAAAAATAATAATTATAGAAATAAATAATATTGGAGGACTTTTACATTTATACATTTATGGGTCGTCCTTTTATGAGACAAAAATAGGCTGCCTAGCTGTCACTTCCGCCTGATCCCCGAACGAACGCAAGGCTACTAGCCTGGGGTGGCCCCATCTCCTTCGCGAAGAAGTCGGCGTCCCCTACACGATGAGCACAGCAGCCACCAGTACCATTGAAGAAGTGGCCGCAGCCAATGGGGATGGCAAACGTTGGTATCAGCTATACTGGCCGCAAGACGACGATGTCACTTTATCGCTGCTTAACAGAGCCAAAGCGAGCGGGTTCGAGGTCTTGGTGATTACGCTGGATACGTGGTCGCTCGCGTGGCGACCAGCGGACCTGGACAATGCCTATGTGCCTTTTATCAAAGGGGTTGGGTGCCAAGTTGGGTTTAGTGATCCGGTATTCCGAGAGAAGTTCGAAAAGGAGACTGGGTCTACAGTTGAGGATGATGTGCTAGGTGCGTCTCGGGCCTGGATCGGGCAGGTTCTTTCCAGTAGCCCCCATTCGTGGGAAGATCTGGCTTTCGTTCGGAAGCATTGGGACGGGCCGATCGTGTTGAAGGGTATTCAACATGTGGATGATGCAAAGAAGGCGTTGGAGTATGGAATTGATGGGATCGCAGTATCTAATCACGGCGGTATGTCTCCACTCTTCACGGTCTAGAACCGTGTTATATCTCTCAAGATAAGCTGGGCCGTACTAATTCGTTCGCAGGTCGTCAAGTTGATGGAGCCATCGGGTCCCTGGATGTTCTCCCAGAAATCGTCGATGCGGTTGGTCATAAAATGACCGTACTATTCGATTCGGGGGTTCGCACTGGGGTGGATGTGGTCAAAGCACTGTGCCTGGGTGCAAAGGCTGTACTTGTCGGTCGCCCAGTCATCTATGGCTTTGGGATTGACGGTCGCAATGGAGCTCGCCAGGTATTCCAGGGTCTGCTGGCGGATTTCTGGCAGAGTATGGGATTGGCGGGGATCCGCACAGTGGGCGAGTGTAACCGGCAGTTGATCCGCAAGGTACAACACGCAGGCGATGTCAAAGCAATGATGTAGGGGAAGACAGTCAACAGTTCTAGACTGGTTACACAGGTTCAAATATAGAAATAAGTAGATGTACTTTATATTTGGAGAAAACACCCGCGGGGAAGAAGTACCTCTACGTCATTCCCGGATTATCACATGCCAGTCCAGTCCCGGTTTCTTCATCCTCAACAAACTACAACCTTTGGAACCCCATAAACTATCGTCAATCATCCTTGCTGGCTGTATAGATGCAGTTTCATATTTTGATATCTATTTTCATGGCTCATAATGAAGGCTCCACTTGCTATTGCACATAATGCTGAAGATACAGATTCAGCTTCACCTACAAATGCAGTCGCGCTCTCTAATCCCCCCACTACCTCGGGCATGACCCTCCTCCCACGGCCAGTCGCATCGTTAGTATCGTTATTGACTCAGTCTACTTCACTCTCATTACGTGTAGGGACATTCTTCGGAGGTGTGGCCCTCGATGGCGCGCGAGCAACAACTCTAACTAGTCTCGAACTGGGACGCGCCGTGATCGAGGGGATTCTCACGCGCGCTGGGCGAGATGTGGCTATTCGCAGTGGGGATGAACACGGGAGGATGGAGGCAGAGTCATTGCTAGAGCGAAGTGTATGTCCTAAATTGACTTCGATCAACATAGGCTTGCGAGATCTCCATACTGATATAGATCCAGTTGGCAACATTGCATACAACAGTGACCTCGGCCTCATTCTTCGCCGCTGCCACATTCCACTTCTCATCAACAACACTAGCATCAGTGGCGAACTTCTCGCAGGCTCTCCTATCGACATTAGATGCTATTCTAGGTTCTACTGAGTCATCTCGAGCCATTGCCGCTATCATCACTCTCATCCGCCGCGAGTTCCGGTCTGTCGATGCCAATGCCAACACCAATGCGGAGAAAATTGGCGTCGGAGATCTATTTATCGGATCAGTGGGGTTTGCAATTCTGCAACGATGGGGCAAAAAGAAAACCGAACGTATCCTTCGAGAAAAGGGTGGAGATGAAGTTGTCTGGGATACCGTCATCTTGGACAACGGTGCTCGAGCCGATGTGCTTGGAACCCATCAACTACAGTTTGGGAACGCAGATACAGATCGTGAGGAGCTTCCTATTGAGCCTGAAAGGGCGTCCTTTGTAATGCCTGGCAATGACGACGAGGCTTTCGGAGCGGTGCGTCGTCGATCTAGCATTGGCGATTCCCTCGCTAGCCACCGACTGTCAATCCCCTTGGATAATCAGCACCAGATATCTGACGAAGATATTCAATCATACATCATGGGTCAGTTGCCACATGGCTGCCACGCCTCGATCAAATCCGAGGTCTTGACGGCCCGTACGATCACTGTGGATATCTTCGACGACGACATGGCGGAAATCGCCGCTCCCCCTGGCACCACGATGGTCGAAGAGCGTTTTCACCATGATCAGGACTACGATGCGCCCGCGACCAATAATTCGGAGAATCAAAGGCGTCCAAGGCACACAGTAGTTTTCCGAACAGCTTTCAACAAGTCTCACAGCACGCAGCTGCGCCCTCAAAATGTTCCAAATATGACAAGCTCTCCTGCAGTGGAACGGCCTCAAAGTCCTTTAGCACAGTATGCATCACCACCAGGGAATGCCAAACCTCATCCACAAAGATCACAGTCCTACCCCGAGGTTAACCACTCTGCCGCGAAAAGACAGTTGTCTAGCCCCGAGCCATCCAGCGAGCAAAATCAAAAACCATTCGGGAGAGGCTCTTTTTCGAAGTTTGCACAGCGTGTCAAGCCAAGTATGACAGAAAAGACAGAGGGTCCTAAACGACCCCCGGTCAAAAAGCAGGCCTCCAGACCGCCAGGAGCGTCGGGGGGGGCCTACTATCCGGCCCCCTTCTAAGCCTGCTAGAGGGACTGCCTCGGTGAAAGAAGCGTCAACGCGAGATATTGCCAATCGAGCAGATCCAAAGAGACGCACGACTGAGATACCAAATCGACCAACCACTCCTGTCCCGAACCGAGGCCTGCCGCGATCACCATATCCTGGCTCGCCTCAATCACCACGGACACCAGCGAGGCCGACTCCACGCGAAGCTCATGAACGCAAGAACCCCCGAACGGGCCACTTTGCCGTTCGTGAAAAGAGTCAAGAATGTCTCCTCACTCAGACCGATGCGTTTTCCCATCGTCGCGCCGGAGAACTACGTCCGGGGTCCCCAGCCACAACGCGCCATGTCCGCAGCAGTAGCTCGATGTCTATTGCAAGATCCGAAACAGATGGAGCCACCTCGGTCAATGGCCATCGTCCAAGCTCCTCGGCACTACATCGACGGTCCAAATCATATACACCGAGCATGTACTCTGTTGCCACAGCCGGCTCAGAAACATCCCTCATCCTAGCCCATCGACCCCGGAAAAGCGCATACGAGGATATAGACACGATCCAGGCGCTCAATCGCGATGGTCTTGTCCCCGGCATCTTTCCGGAGAGACATTTTGTTCAGAATATTCGCCGCTTCTGCCGTTTCTCGTCGGCCTCGTATGGATCCAATGCACTAAAAGTCATGGGCGTGCCAAAAGGAGGTAGCGCCAAAGGTGTTCCCCAAAGTGCATCGGATAGCCACGAGCACAGTGCATTTTCAGACTACGCCGGCCTCCCACCATCTACAATCCTGCTCTCTTCCTTCGTCGATCCAGCTGGCGGCTCCAATGCAGCCGGTGAAACAGAAAGTGGCTTCCCACTCGTCCACTATCTCTCCATCGATCACGATTCCAAAGCAGTCGTCCTCACATTACGTGGTACCTGGGGCTTCGAAGATATCCTCACCGACATGACCTGCGACTACGACGACCTGGAATGGCAAGGTAAGAGCTGGAAAGTGCACAAAGGCATGCACGCCTCAGCAAAGCGACTTCTCGAAGGTGGCGGCGGACGAGTCATGATCACCCTCCGAGCCGCACTGGAAGAATTCACAGACTACGGCGTCGTTCTCTGCGGACACTCTCTAGGCGGCGGCGTCGCAGCTCTCCTCGCAACGATGATCTCCGAACCAAACCTTTCCCCGACAGCAACAACAGGGAATCGAACGGGGTCAGGAACAGGATCAGGAACTTCCTTCGTGACAGCCTCCTACGAACCCACCCCCCGTCCACGCCTCTTAACAGTCGACACCGAACCAAGCCACGCCACACCACCATCACAAATCTACACCCTCCCCAGCGGCCGACCAATCCATGTCTACGCCTACGGACCACCAGCAGTAATGTCCCCATTCCTCCGTCTCGCAACCCGCGGCCTAATAACCACAATCGTAAACGGACACGACGTGGTCCCGAGTCTATCCCTCGGAATCCTGCACGACATGCACACAGCGTCACTCTCATTCAAATCCGACATCAGCGGGGCAAAATCGCACATCCGCCAACGTCTCCACGAATCACTGCGCCAAAGCATTATTCACAAATTCTACGTCAATCAGCCGCCGCTGGTCATTAATGCTGGCGACGGGGTCGGCGAGGACGCGTGGGCTTGGAAGACGCTGAATCTTCTGCGTGATGAGATGCGGGCGCCGAAACTTGTGCCTCCGGGTGAGGTCTTTGTTGTTGAGACTATGCGGGTTCTGCAGCGGGAGGCGTTTACGCCTGTGTCGGACTTGGAGGGGGTGGGCGCGGGCTTGGATGGGTATCCTAGGCTTGGGAGGCCGGCTACTAGGGTGCAGATGAGGTTTGTTAGGGATGTGGATGCTTGGTTTGGGGAGTTGAGGTTTGAGGGGGGCATGTTGAGTGATCACAATCCGGCGAGGTATGAGACTAGTCTTGCAGCGTTGGCGAGGGGTGTTCTTGATGAGTGAGTGGGTATGTGGGATGATGGAAGGGATTTTATTGACAATTATGACTTGATTTTTATTTGATTTGTGATGGATGGGTATAGGTATGGGCGCAGGCTAAAGATATTGGGAATACGTTTGGGGTTATAGGGTTGGTCTCTTGGGCAGCGGGAACAGGATTATGGATGCAATACATGAACGAACAGGATACAATGAATTTGACGACATACTTTACATAGATAGATATAGATAGATATCCATTTCGAATATCATGAATATAGTACCTACCACATATAGGGACTCGGCCGAACTCGATGTTCTCAAAAGTAAACCGAGTCAAGTCCTCCACGCCACCGCAATATCATATCCAAGCCCTATACTCCCGCCACCACCACCCAACCATCACGCCACCAGCCAAGAACCTGAACTTCAACCCCTCCACGCAAATCCAACTCGGAACTCAAAACAAGTTTAGACGCCAAACCCCGAATCCAATTCACGCCAGAAGTGACTCTACCCCAACCCAAGTCAACCCCTCACAAGTGAAACCCGCAGAAACCCACCAACCCCGAAAATGCCGCAATCCCCCACTCCGATCAGGATAATGTCCTCCACTTAGTTGCATGAACGGAGTATGTTCCTACACGAGGGCAAATGGGCAGAGATAAGGAAGTGATGTGCGAATAATCACGATGGCAATGACAATGACAATGACGATGACTATGGCAGGATAATCGAGAAAACGGGGGTCCAACTCAACTCAACCCAGCCTAGCCCTCTCAAGCCGGGATATCGATAATGAACAGGGCTACAGTCATACAAAGTATAGGTATTTCAAGGGAAGAAGTGTCAGACATAGTAAATAATACATTTCTCATAAAATAATTTATCAGGAGATTCATCCATCCATTCCAGGAGGATTATCCCATCTATACCCAATCCGATCCAAATCCGATCCATTCCAGTCCAGACAAAGTAAAATCATAAAAATAAAGATAAAAACAAAAGGGTATCACGGCAAATAAGCCAAGCCAACCACTCAGAAACGCCATCCATTTCATTTCACACTCTCCCCGCCGAAAAATGTAGGCTTTGTAAAGGGAGAGAGAGGAAAAGACCCAGAAGAAAATCCCTTTTATAAACAGGAATCTTGGGAGGAAAAAAATATAAGAACACCAGCTCGCAACTCTCAATTTATGCAACCAGAGCCGTAGCAGGAGGAGGGCCCGCGCGGCCAGAGTGACAACCACGCTCGTGACGCTTCATGTTGCTGCGGACAGAAAAGGCCTTGCCGCAGCCGGCGTGTGTGCAGCGGAATGGCTTCTCGCCGGTGTGCGAGTGCGAGTGGATGCGCAGAGAGGAGGGGCGGGAGAAGGCCTTGTGGCAGGTGCGGCAGATATATCGGTCATGGTTTTGCTGATACGGGGTTGCGGTTGAAGGGGGGAAGTAGTGGTGGTGTTGCCAGGCGGGGGTGACTGGGGAGATGAGAGATGGAGAAGAAGCCGAGGCGGGGGTTGCAGCAGGAGCAGGGCCAGCGGCTTGAGATTGAGGTTGTTGGGGGAGAGACTGCTGGGTGTGTGGTGGGGAGGCTGATTGACGGTGGGAGAGGGTTGGTGGGATGCTAGGCGCGAAGTTTGTGCTGGTTTGGGGGCGGTAGTACATGGGTCCATCAACTGGGGAGCTGTATGATGAGACACTGGGTGCGGGCGAGGCGTAAGGGCCGTGGTGATGGTGGTGGTGAGAGCTTGTTGAGGAGATGGAGGTGCGGTGGACATCTTTGGCCTCGACTGGAGAGCTGCTGTGGCTGTGGCTGTGGTGGTGGCCGGAGCCGGAGCCGGGACGCAATGGTGGTGTTGGTGGGAGATGGACAGAATCATAGCGGGCATCGCGCTGGTGAGCAGGTGGGCTCAGGCGTTGACGTTCTTGAATGGAGGTTAGTATAAAGTGGATCCCGTCAAGGCAGTGTTCAAATATACTCACTGGCAGCATGACCATCAGCACCCTCGAGGAGAGCAGTGATCGAAGGCAGCGAGCACTTGGGCTGGTCCTCCACCGGCGGCGAGAGAGGTGGTTGCGGGGAGCGCTTGTATGTAGTAGGATACTCGAAGTCCTCAGGGCAAGCGCGCTTAGGAGCGGCGTGAAGGAGACTGGCCAGATCCATGATGAGGATAAGGATAAGGATGTGGAGGATTGGGAGTGGTTGGGTTGTAGACTTGAGAATAGTGAAGAAGGGCAGACACGAGGGTTATGTATGAATGGAGTGGAGGGAAATGTCGCGTGGATGATCGCCGGCCGATGCCGACGGGGGGGAAGTGGAGGGGGTAATTTTAATTTACCAAGTGAGACGGTCGGTTCCAAAGCTTAATTGAGAAGGGAATGGATTAATGAGAATAAAATTAAAAGAATTAAATTATAAAAGAATTAAATTAATGAGGATTAATGGGAAAGGAGTATACCAGACTCGGAGATTAACCAGTGGGGGGCCACGAGGTAATGTACATACAGTATATGTACAGTATATAGTGTACTTCGTACACTATACACTATGGGTACTGATATACTTTGATAATATACTGTACAGGGGCTGTTTGCAGTACCAGCCTAACCTAGATTGGAAGCCCGGAAAGTCCCCGTCCTCGGCTACGGTTAGTGCAGATCCTGCTTACCTGTCACATCGCGCTCAGCTCCATAAACGGTTGATCGCACCGAACTGATCGTGTCGATCTTGTTTCACATCGAGGACTAGATTAATGATCAGTATTGCATCTACAGTATACGTACGGTGCCTAGGTAGCAAACACTGGACACATTCAGGATGACTCTAGGTAGAGTACCAGTACCTAAATGCTGAGGTAATGATATAAAGTCACTCCACCTTCTATTACATTCCAGAATATTACTGGTACCCAAGACCAAGACCAAGACCAAGACCAAGACCAGGACCAAGACCAACATACTGTAGGAACCTCAGGTTGTCAGATTTCCGCGTGGCAACCAAAAAGGGAAGGTCAGAACATACACACTAACCCAATTTGTACATAACTCCGGCACTCCTTACTTACAGTACTCGATACCTGGATACCTAAGTACTCTATGCTCAGTACATGCACAATACTGTATTCTCGTATTCAAATGACGGGGTGGCGGCTCCAAGCGCCCGCCATGTGGCTCGCTTACGGCAACTTTGTTCACCCTTGCTTTGCCTTAGCTTTGCCTTCTTTAAAACCTTGGGGAGGTGATTGTCATTGACATTGACATTGGCCTCCCAGGGTGGCCAGTTGCCAAACTTGTGATTGCCGATCTCAGCTTACGGATTGCTGTCCCTGTTACTATTCTAAGAAGGTCGGTGATCGTAGGGTCTCCTGAAGATCCAATTGACCCACGGACTATCTCCTTGGACCAACCGAGGAGCTCCCTCCAAGCGATCGTCGATCTGCAGTTCTGGAAGGTGAATCTTGCTCCGACTCCAGTTTCTCCCGTAGGTACAAAGATCCATACAGTCTAGGTACTGTGCACATTCTATGGGTACGGAGGATGATCCGTTCAGAGATAATCTGCTCAGTCTGTGCACATTCTGCACATCGGCGATTGGCCGTTGGTGGGACCCGCCATCCCGGCCTCGTGGAAGCGAGCTCCACTCGGTCGTTTTGGGTGGGATCGCCTGCTCTGTGCGTGCCGTTGAATTGGCAGAGTGAGAGCAGGATCAAAGGGGAGCAGGCAGGGCAGGGGATAGCAGAGACATTGGCATAAGGGAAGGCATATGAGAAAAGGTAGAAAATACCCGCTGTACATCATGATACTCTAGCGGTTTGGTGATCATCCCATACCAAGACCCCAAATAATCACATTATCCAGCCACCCTGGCTGGCCTGCTGGCCGGCACCTGCTAGACTCCCTGCTGCCATGCCTGTTTCTATGTCATGATCCGCGACGATCCTCCTGATCGCCTTCTGGAAAACCCACCACTTCAACCCTCGGCATTTCACTCGGGATCGACTAGCGCTAGACCCGGTTTTACTATTCCATCTGCCTTGATTGGATGCGGCTCTCGTGTCCAGGAATGTTGAGTACCCCTGGGTAATCAAACTAATCAAACTCATCAATCATCACGGTTTGATGGGGCTCTCCTGCCTGCTTCCCCCCTCAGTGGTCCCGAGTGGGACATTCCCAGGACCCGGTCGTACCAGATTCATCAAGAGTCCAGAACGTCCATGTCCCCATTCATCCCACGAAGGAAGGTCAAAAAGTCAATACAAACCCTTTTTTCTTTTAATTTTTGACTTCTGCTTTGCCGAGATTCTGAGTGTGGTGGGTGCGGTCGCTCTTCATTTCCACAGAACTTTGATGGAACTGCTGGAACTCTGTCGACTTTTCCTTCCCTTCTCGTATTGCCCAGGGTAAGGTTTTGCAGGAGGGAAAAAGAGTGGCCCGGTCCAGTCTGTCGGTGATAATTAATTTTTTTTTCTTTTGGTTTGTTCCTCTGGATCCCAGCCACCTAACCCCTAGAATCATTCCCGGATCCGACTACCACATCCCAGGGCCTAGGATGTGTAGGAAATAGTCAACGGAGGAATAGCTAGGGTCGGGTACAACGCCTAGCTTGATGCACACCGCACTGAGTAATCCCTGAGTCAGTATTCCCTTTTCAGCTATTCGCCCGGATTCGTGGGGATCGATCGGGGATCATCCGGGGCATGGGCCCCATTGCCACGCGAGATCCCCCTTTCTTTCTTTTTTTTTTACTTTTTTTTTTTACCCGTGTTCCATATTCTGTACTACGTATCCAGTCGTATTCTGGATGTGACAGTTTGGAACATACGCAATGTCCACCATCACCATCCCTTTGACTTCTCAAACACTTTTTTTTTTTGCTTTTGCTACGTCCGTACTCATTTGAACATCGTCACCAGTGGGGCGGCGGACTGCAGTATGTACGGTGCAGTGCAGTGTCGCACAAGCACAAGGGGCGAGCCACGCGAGTTGACGAACACATGGCACTTGCATGCATCTGACCTATCTGGCTG